TCTGGGACTAGGTGCTTTGCAGTCTCCCTTTCTGCCAGACAAGAAGCAGCTGTGGGCCGAGGGCCACCGTGGATCTGGCCTGCCTGGTGCCTGCCCCTCAGCGACCTCATTTGCTGTAGGACTTGGAGCAGCCCCATCTGGCTACATTGGGTCTCCTCAGGGTCTCTCCTGAGAATAAGGAATTCTTTACAGCATAAAGAAGGCTCATTGGGCAAATACTGTAAGTAAAACACCTTGTGGATTGCCTGAGGTCTTAAATGTCCATCTCTGTTAGCCAGTGTTGTTATCTGACACCTCCACTGCCCACCAGCCACAGTGGGTGTGAACAAGAGTATACTTTTAGTTCCATCTTTCAGAAACGTCCTCTGTGTCTCTAGTGTATCTCCTCTTCTTTGCTTACAGGGCCTTGTACCTGCTAGACAAGCACTCCATCTCTGAGCCACATCCTCAGCTCTTGTAGCTCATGCTCTTTCACCTTAGCTTCCCAGAGATCACTGCCTGTGCTTCAATCATGTCCTTAGCTAATTCTTCCCAGCACCATGGCAAGCTTTCTGACTGAGTATCTTGAGCCCATGTGGAACACTGGGAGAGACTCGCTTAGTGATAACCATAATGCCCTTTGTTTCCTGGTGAGGAATATTCTGCTTATGTTCCTGTTGGCAGGGCTGCAGTTGTTGGAAGTTCCTCCATGTCTCATGGGATACTATGCACTTGTCTGAAGAGATAGAAGCAAAACAAAAGTTCATATTTAATCAAACAGCTTTTTTTCTTTTGAGACAGGGTCTTATGTAGACTAGGCTTGCCTTCAACTCCCTGCTTCTACAAGTATTAAAGAACTAGGATTAAAGGCTTGTACCGTCATGTCTAAGTCACATAGAAGTCTTTTCTGTAGTTCCTTTTCTGAAGGCATAGTGTGTATTGTAAGTTTAAGGCTGTTTTTTAAGTTGGTGCTACAAGTTGGTGATAAATGGTACAGAAATTATAAGAAACAGATGTGAAATATTTCCCAGGCGTAACTGATACTGCTTTTTCCTCTGCACCACATGGTTGCTGTACTTGTTTTATTGTTTGTGTGTTTTGGGAGCTGTGCTGCAGAGGTTCTGACTTTTTAGTGTCAGTGTGGTGTCTACTGTATAAACACATTATAATTACTGTAGCTGCCATCTTTGTAACTGTCAGCACATGAGGGATTTCTTAGCTTCCATCTTTATGAGTGCTTCTCTGAATAACTTTATATGCAGTGTGTGGTTTCTTATGCAGGTGAAGGATTGGGTAAATTTATAGAAGTGCTTCTGCTGAGATAAAAGTCTAAATTTTAAAGCTCACCAGATTTTACAATATACTCTCCATAAAAATTGTGGTTTCTTAGACTCTGCCTTGAGAATTAGCGTAACCTGCTATCAGACTATGAACTCTATGAATCTGATAAGTTAAAAAGTTTCTGGGAGGGGGGGCTGTAGATGACTCAGAGGATAAGGAACTGACTTCCGAAGCTTGTACTCTGATCTCCACATGTGTGTTGTGACATGAAACACCCCCCCCAACACACACACATAATAAATAAATGCAAGTAAAATAAACTTTTGAGTCTATACTTTCAATTCGCATTTCTCTTGGGAGGAATAATACCAAGCAAGTATTACAGAAATGTGGACTGGAAAAGACCAGGAGGCTAACTTTATTTGCTAGAACTTGCTGTGATACTCTCATTCCATTAGCTGGGCTGTTTAGAACTATTTCAAGAATGCAGTGTCCACATGAACTGTCTTTTGGTCATATCACATGGGAGTACTGGGACAGTGACAGTGAGGTGCTGCTGACATACACCCTGACAGAGCTAAGATGTGGTAGTACATTAGTACCTATTTTCAGATGGGGAAATGGAAACAGGAGTTGGAAAAGCACCTGCTACAAGTTATGGAGCTTTGGAACCAGGGGACAAAAATGTGGTATTGGCTCAAGGCAAGAGGTTGTGTCCCTGCACTGCCCTCTCGGGGCTTTGATCACCCCCTTTCCAGAAAAGCAATGGACTTGCTACATTCAACCAATGAAGCTAAGTAAGCTTCAGGTTAGTGTCTGTTTTGAGCTTCCTCACTATAGAGCAGGTGTAAGTTTAAAAGAAGGAAATCCAAACTCAGGTTCCTTGACATCTGCTAGCTTAGCCTTTGCTATGCTGTTTAGGCTAAGGAAAGACACCATTGATCATTTGATTTATTGACTCATTGGCTTTAAGCATAACGGGTTTGCACATTTTTTCAGAATATGTAGGGCTAGATTAGAGGAGGGGACAAATATCCGTTTTTCCAGTGTGTGCTGGAATAATGCAGCAGTTCTTCTCATAGCTGTGGAAGTGGTAGACATAGCATCAGTATAGAAGGGGATGTGTGAACTCCTCATAGTTCACCTCTGTGAGTGCCCTGGTACCCTGCTGTCTCTGAGCAAGTGTCAAGTACATGTTCTTGAAAATGCTCACATTTTGAGGCCATGCTAGAGGAAGTCATTAAGGAGAGTTTGCAAACTTTGCAGAAGAGCAAGAATGATGAGCAGGGCTTCAGTTTCCACCACCATCTCCAGCCATGTCTAAAGCCCTGGCTAACCCCACTTCTGGACCTCACACTGTGGTCCTTGTGAACGTCTGAGGTGGTTGTAGGTCTGTCTTTCTCCAATGTGAGTTTTCTCTGGGTGGCAGCTTCACCTTCATGTTCTTGGAAACTCAGCTCTGGAGCAGACTTCCAGCAAGCTAGTGGGTGGTGTGGGTGGTAAGAGTGAAGCCCGCAGGGTGCCTGCTCTCAGAAGGCAGTGCTCCTTGCCTGTTGTCTCTGTCTTCATTTTAGTATGCTCCTGGCTTTTCCCAAGCCTGTGTCCAGTGTGTCCTCAGAGTCTTCATTCTAGGAACCCTGGAAACCTGAGAGTAAACAAAACATTTATTGGAGACCCAGTTCTGTTCGTCTTCTCTTTGTGAACCTCAGTTGCTAGAAAGAACACCACTTCTGTGTGTTCTGAGTCCCAGACAAAATCACAACACTTGAATGTCATGTTTCTCAATTGGGTCTTCTTAATATAAGTTGAAGTAGATAAGATGGGTACAAATGTGAAAGTTAAAAACATTTGCTTGTGAAGATCTCCCTAGAAGTAGGCACTTTCCTAAACTTACTGGTGGGAATTCGGTGGGGGATGTCCAGCACTTGCAGAAGGGAATTTGGCAACATTTAGTAAGGTTTCATGTAAATTTACTCTCTTTCACTTCTAGGAATTTGAGCCAGAGATATACTGTAAAAATAGTAAAAGATCATTCATTGAGGTACTCCATGAAATAGCAAAAGATTTTAAACAATGTCAGAATTCCCAGTGGTAAACAGGACTGGCTGAGAAGCTAGTCTGTATCATAGACTGCTGTGCTCCTGTGAGGTAGAACTAGGAGCTGTGTGCTGTCAGACGTAGAGGCTCGGATATACAATTAGGAGAGAAAGCAGAGGTAGGAAGTGATATCTGTATTATGCTTCTGTTTATACAGGGAGTATAAATACATTCTTTGTTTGCATGTAGCTTATAAATGGAAGGAAGTCTTCCTCCCCTCCCTCCCTCTCTCCTTCCCTCCCTCCCTCCCGTCCTTCTTTCCTTCCTTTTTAAGGTAATCAAAATAGAGGAAAAAGACATAAAAAAAGGAACTTCTACTCAAACTTTGTTTTGTATAGATTTGATTTTGGAATCACTTAAACATTTATATTATTTTATTACATGTTTTTGTTTATTTATGTGTATGCATAGATATTATACTTGTGTGGAGGTCAGAGGAGAGCTGGCAGGAGTTGGTTCTCTCCTCCCACTGTGCAGGTCTTGGGGAATGAACTCAGGTTATTAGGCTGGGTAGTGAGAGCCATACCTGCCGAGCCGTCTTGCTTGTCCTGTATCATTCTACAGTAAAATTAAGAGGTTGTGACATTTTTTGATAAACCTTGTCACTTTTTTCTCTAAATTGTTTGTACCTGTTTGCCTCCCATCAGTGCTTGAGAATGCCTCTTCTACAGCTTCAGCAAGTCTACATGTTATCTTCTAGAACTTTACCAATCTGAAAAGAAAAAAGAGGCTATTTCTCCCTTCTGTGGTGACACCAATTCAGTGTCCTTGCGTTCCTTTATTAGCGCTTTCTATTCTTCTGTGAATCTGAGCCTTTCTTCCTCAGAAAGCTTCTCATTAGTTTATAAACTCTTCATACCCTCCTTCCTGTTTGTTGGCTAGCTCCGGTTGTGTGTCGTCGTCCCAGCTCAATTGCTTAGTTCCTCACTGTGGAAGCTGGCTGTTGCTCTGTTGTCTTATGTGCAGTGCATGCTTATGTTAGTGTAGAGTAACTGAGTCGGACTTGCTATGTGATTCATGTGCTGGCCATTAGCTCTACATTTCTTTGCTTCTCTTTTTCAGTTTTCCAGGGCTCATTTCCTATGTGTGAGCAGTGAGTTCTAAGTGTTCACTCAGATCGGTAGCAGGAGGAGATAATGGGATGCCATTGATTTTTTGGCTTGAAATTGCTTCTTGGTTTACGGTGATACATGATAACTACTTATATGATCTGTTCAATGTGAATGCCTGAGTGAAATATTTTCCCTGCAAATATACACTTCTGTCTTAGAGTTTCACTGTTGTGAACAGACACCATGATCAAGGTAACTCTTATAAAGGACATTTAATTGAGGCTGGCTTATAGACTATCATCATGGCATGAAGCATGTCAGTATCCAGGCAGGTATGGCACTGGAGGAGCTGAGAGTTTTATATCTTGTTCCAAAGGCAAACAGGAGAAGGCTGTCTCTAGGTAGGTAGAAGGAAAGTCTCATAGCCCACCCCCACAGTGACACACTTCCTCCCACAAGGCCATGCCTCCTAATAGTGCTACTTCTTCGGCCAAGCATATTCAAACCACCACAGCATATGTAGATAAAGTTTTGTAGCTGTCAGCATTGCCCTTGTTCATGGGTACATGGACCGTGATGTTCTTCTTCTAGGTCATCACTCCTTGTAGGAAGCTCATCTTGTGTGCGGACAACAGGAAAGAAATGGAAGATTGGATTGCAGCACTCAAGACTGTCCAGAACAAAGAGCATTTTGAGGTTAAAAGAGAAGCATATTGTCTATGGGTGCCTGCTATTTCCTCTCTTGCCTTCGCTCTGATCCACCCCACCCCTACCCCTCACCCCAGAGTATCTTTCAAGTAGACCCCAGAGTTTGTCTTGTAAAATTGAGGCCCATGGCTCTTTATTTTGATGGACCTGTCAAGGCTCTGGTCCTGTTGTTCGTGAACCTCTCTGGGGTACTTTATGTAATTCTAAGTTGCTGCATTAAAGAATTCCAAAGAGAAATATTATCTTTTCCCTCTTTGTGTCACTCTTCCAGCCTACCCAATATAGCATGGACCATTTCTCAGGGATGCACAACTGGTATGCTTGTTCCCATGCACGACCAACCTATTGCAACGTGTGTCGTGAAGTTTTGTCAGGGGTCACATCCCATGGGCTATCCTGTGAAGGTAAGAAAGCTACATTTGTTACTCTGGTGAAAGGTGACTGGAGGTTTTACTTGATATTTGTTTAAAATTCAAATACAGTCTTAATAAATAGGTATAGCTGCCTGAGGGTAGTCAAGAGGGAGAGGTCCCCACCACTCCATTCTTCTTGATCTTCTCACAGAGGACTCAGATCTTGGGTGTCTTTTACTTACTGAACTTCTGCAGCATGAGCAGAAAGAAAGTAGCAATGAGGAGACAGAAGGTGCGGGCCCTTTCTGGTTGTGTGCTGTGGATGCAGCTTGTTTTACGTTTATCTTAAATGGATAAAAAATCCAAAAGAAGAGTATTCTGTAATGTGGAGTTAGATGAATTTCAGATTTCAGTTCCATCGTATTTTGTGAGTCTGCTTGTCTGCTGGATAGAGGTGAGGTGCTGTGATGGGGGTCAGCATGGTCTGCAGAGCCTCAGTTGCTCACCCCATGCTTCTCCACCAGTTCTCCCCATGCTCTGTGGTTACGAGTTGCAGCACCAAGTGACTGACCTCAAGAGCTCGTTCCACCCTAACTTTACTAAGCAGCCATTTGCCCTACAGGGAGGCTCCTATTGAAGCTGAAGCTTGAAGGATTGTGTATTTCTTTTTCCACAGTGTGTAAGTTTAAGGCTCACAAACGGTGTGCTGTGCGTGCAACCAGTAACTGCAAGTGGACCACATTGGCCTCAATTGGGAAGGATATCATTGAGGATGAGGATGGGGTATGTCCAGGGGGATTCTGCTTGTGACCTGCAGAGCACCTCCTATTTCCTGCCCTCCCCTACACTTGTCATTTAAGATATCATATTAGGATCTGGACCTTTGTGGTCGTTGTACTCTCAACTCTGCCCTAATTCCATTAAGTCTGGCTATCTTCCTTCCTAGTAGGTGCTGTGGTGTGGGAGGTACCTCATAGACCCTGCTTGTCCCTGCCCACACTGGCCATCAGGGACAAGCTTGTGTGGGGAGGAGTGTCTTGAAAAGAGCACTTCTGTCCTGGGGTGCCCAGCTGAACCCTGTATTGGAACTCTGGGATGTCTCTAGCATGTCCCTGCTTGGTCTGTAGATTGCCATGCCCCACCAGTGGTTGGAAGGGAACCTGCCTGTGAGTGCCAAGTGTATTGTGTGTGACAAGACTTGTGGCAGCGTGTTGCGCCTGCAGGACTGGCGCTGCCTCTGGTGCAAGGCCATGGTGAGTAGGTCCTGTGTGTCCTGCCTATGGGTATGTGGATACACTCTGGGCTCCGGGCTTTGTTTCTCTCCTTCCTAACTCCTGAATTTACCCCAGAGGCTTTCTAAAAGCTCTGAGTCTTGACTGTCTCACTTGGGCCTGATCATTCTCATTTTTGACAGTTTTGTTAATTCCTTTCCTTTGACTTTGATCCTATCTTTTACACAGAAAGTACCATATCTGTTCCAAGTAGCATCTCAGCAGGTTGTGAAGGGGTCTTTTGGGACAGATTCATGAACTTTTCTGTGAGTGAGAGTAGGGACACTTATGAGGAGCACTGAGAGAACTTTGTTCTGGGACAATGATCATAGAGATCAACACCCTCAAGCAAAGAGGAGGAGCCACAGCGTGGCTGTAGCCTCTTGAACACAGTATCAAGTCTCGTAGGCCCTGCTTGTATGCCCACACTGGTCAGGGAAAAGCTTGTGTGGGGAGTAGTGTCTTGAAAAGAACACCTTGTTTTGACCCTGTCAGTGACTAGCAAAGAACCTAGTCACATGAAGGCAGGTTGTCCAGGAGCCCTGAAAATTAAGGGTAGCTGAGATGGAAGCAGAGGGCTGTGGTTCAGTTTCATGTCTGACATCTACTGGGTAGAACCCCATCTGATTTTTTGCCTCCTATTGTGCAATGCCAGGCAGATTACAGGGTTCTTGGGGCCACAGGTCCACCTGCTCTAATGGTGTTGGCCTCTTCTTGGGAGGGATTTCCAGATGCTGTGCCAGAGAGTTTCTGGTGTATAGGAGAAGACTGTGACTCCTGGTGACATGTGGATTTTTATTTCAGGTTCATACATCTTGCAAAGAGTCCTTGGTGATGAAGTGTCCACTTGGCCTGTGCAAGGTGTCTGTCATCCCTCCCACAGCACTCAACAGTATTGACTCCGATGGTGGGTGCTCACATGCCATTTCTCTATGCTGCCTTCCTTACCAGCCCTGGAGATGAATGTCTTGACAGTTTTGAGACATGATCAGCAAGAGGCTAGGCTCAGATATGGCATGGGAGAGTTGACATTCTGGGAATTGCCATAGGTCTGGCAGCTTGAGCCAGCACTTTTCTGGAAGGATTGATAGATGTACTTGGCTGTTGAGTGAAGTGTCCTGGTCTGCTATGAGCTGAAGGGCTGTGCCTGTCACCATCTGTGGCAGAGCCTAGCATGTTTGTTTGGACCACAGACAAACATGCTGCAAAGGATTGATGAAAAGAGTCTCTGGGGTACATGATTCAGAGGAAGGAGCTCTTGCCAGGCTGGCAGCAAGAAGAGGGCATAATGCAGTGAGGGAAAATCTGGAGTCCTTGAAGATGTGAAGTGAGGTGAGGTGAGCTCACCTCCTCACACCTGGGTTGTCCCTCACTGACTCACTGGCTCACGCTGTGAATTCTGTGCCTCTTGTTGCTGCTTATTCAGTCCACAACACCTCAACAGCTTATAAGGGTTCTTTCCTGTTCCACTCTCACTTCTAGGGTTCTGGAAGGCCACCTGTCCCCCATCTTGTACAAGCCCCCTGCTGGTCTTTGTCAATTCAAAAAGTGGAGACAATCAAGGTGTGAAGTTTCTCAGAAGATTCAAGCAGCTGCTGAACCCTGCCCAGGTTTTTGACCTCATGAATGGAGGACCACACCTTGGGTAGGGATTGTATGAGACATTCCATTCTAGGAATTTACAGTGTTTTGTAGATAAGACATACTCGTTTTAAAAGGATCAAAAATAAGATTTTTCTTTTTTTAGTTCTGGAGAGATGGCTTAGTACATAGGAGCATTGGCTGCTCTTGAGAGGACCCAAGTTTGATTCCCAGTACCTACATGGCAGCTCACAACTCTTAGCATTCTGTCTAAGCTCTGCCCCACAGCTGCCTGGCAACAGCCAGGTATGCCTGACTCAATATAAAAGGGGCTGCTTGCCCCTTCCTCGCTCTCTTGCTCTTTCTATGCTTCCCTTATCCCCTCTCTCCCCATCCCCCCCGCCATGTGCTCATGACCAGCCTCTACTTCTCTACTCTCTCCCTCTCTCTGCCTTTCTCTGCTTTTACTCCCCTCTTAACTCTCCTCCCCATGCCCTGAATAAACTCTATTCTATGCTATACCATCGTGTGACTGGTCCCTCAGGGGGAAGGGATGCCTCAACATGGACCTGCTGAGCCCCCCTCTTCCCCCACACCTCACTATACCTTCATAGAACATATCCCCCCTCTCTTTATCTTTTTATAAACACATCAGGTCAGCTGTTTATAATTCCAGTTGCAGGATATTATCCAACACCTTCTTCTTGTCTCTGTAGGCACAGCACACATGGTGCATGAACATACATATAAATAAAACAGCAGTATACATAAAATAAAAAATTTTTATAAAGAAATCTCAAATAGCAAAGAAGTTCAGCTGCCCCTCACAAAATTCTACTTATGAAGGACCTGCTTCTAATAGATGGTAGATGTTTTCATCTTTCCACTGCAAAAGCACTACACCCAAGTGAACATGCATGCACAGCTACTCTAGTTGCTATGTACAGCATGTTCACATGCATCAGCTCCTGTGCTTGAGACATTTCTATGCTGGTGCTTACAGACCCGCCTTGCTCTCTGTATTGCCTGCTTAGTTCTTAGAAAACCTTTCTCCAGTGAAACCAAGGGGACTTTTGTATCTTAACACAGTGATATCTTCATGCAGGTACAGTGAGTTGTGAAGCTTCTTACTTGCCAGCCAGGGAGACGTGTCCTTTCCTTTTAGTTTTAGTATTTTCCATGGGTTTGCAAGAAACATTTGTTCTTGTAAGGTAGGACTCAGAGGGCATGCCAGCATTTGGGGAGATTGAAATGGAAGGTGCTTGCAGCCCTTACTTCCATTGTGAGTTCTGGGAGGAGCTTAGGAGAGGTTCTTTTAGAGTCAGATGTTGCTATAGCTTGAGCCTGACTTTTTCCTCTCTGTGCCTAAGCTGTGGGGCTCATGCTGCCCATCACTCTTGGGTGCTGGGCCTTCAGTGTTTGTTTTTTTCTGTACTTGCTCACTTGCTGCACAGCTTGCTGGAAGACAATCACAAGTGGCCTCCTACAAGCTGTTTGCTCAAAAGCAGCATTTCTGGAATTCTGCAGATACCTGTTTTCTGAATGGCACAGATCCATTCTTTCTGAGGTTAACGAGGAACTAGTTAGTCTCAGTTCTGTAGGGATATTGAAAATATCATATCTACTGTTTACACTACACTGAACAGGCTCGGGTAGGGATAATTGCTTGAAAACTTCACAGTACTGTGGCAGGTGAGCTGGACTTTGACGTGCAAGAGCTCCTTGATATACAGCTGGAGCTGAGCAGAGGTTGATGTGACACGGAGGTCTAGAAGAGATGGCATGACAATTGGTTTACTCATTTTCTGTTTCTGGGAAGCACCTGACATCATACAGTTTGTTACCTACCTGAGTTCTGGCCTCGGTTGACCTCTGCTTCTCCTGAGAGCAGGGGTCCTCATTGGTGAACATTGAAAGGATATATGTAAATATTTTTCTTAACCCTTGGAAGTCAAATGCAGCCTTGATGCTCAGACATTAGGTTCAAATCTGAGGCAATGTCTTACTGCCCTTCCTAGCTTGTGTTCTGAGAATTTGCTCTGCAGCCAGCTCTATTGGAGACAGAGTCTGCAAGGTCCCTGGTGAGAAGGCAGCATGTGTGTATAGTTACTTGAATGGAAGGAGGGAGGCACTGGTTTCTTTGGGGTCTGCAGTGAGGGAGACTATGTTAAGGTAGTGTTTTACTGTCTCCAGTGTCCTAGCTTCTTAGGAGGTACAGTGTGCCCACTCTATACTCTTGCCTTCACCTTCTCCTATATGCATGGTAGGGACTGGGTCAGACCTTGGGGGGAGCCGAGGGCATCAGATACTTATCAGAGAGGGCTCCAATTATTTGCTGAGATGTTTGACTCTTTCCTCTTAGTTAGCAAGCCATTAGACAAAACATATGTTAGAACTCTCGTTTGAGAAGGTGGTTTTTTTTTTTTTTTTTGGAGGCTCCTTAAGGACTCAGAGCAGCAATAGAGGCTGAGCCTAGCTGCCTTTACTCGGGGAAGGGAGGGCTGGGCTAGCACATGAATGAGGAAAAGCAAGAGTGAGGATTCTTGGGCCCGGTATTTGGCTGGGATATGGAAGACTGCCCACAAGTCCTCCTAGGAGGTGACATCAAGTGAGACTGTCATGGTACTCTGAAATGTGTGTATTATCTTCTTCTTGTTTCTGGTTGGAGGAACTGCTGGGATCTGACACCACGTCATTCATGTAGATAAAAATGGGCCCTGAGCAGAGGGGCTTAGCAGATAGACATCTTGGTAACCTTGTAGACCCTGTGTATACATACCTGGGCATAGCCTGGGTCCAGGTTTCACCACATGGAACAGGTGTTCCTCTCAGCTTAGGACAGACAGACCCATCATTGGTTTTTAGAGTGTACTCATTTCCCTGGCTTCCCATTCTTCTACAGCTTACGGTTATTTCAGAAGTTTGACACCTTCCGGATTCTGGTTTGTGGCGGGGATGGCAGTGTTGGCTGGGTCCTCTCTGAAATTGACAGCCTCAACCTTCACAAACAGGTACTACAAATAGGTGTTGAGGAACACCCCACTGTGACGGATGAATGGGAAAACCATGTAGGTCAGGGGAGCTGTGAAAACACCTTGGCATCAGGCTCTATGTGTATGGAATGAGTGTGGGGGCTATAGTCCTGGGAGGTGATGTCCCTAATTGTGGCTGCCTCTGTCTTGAGAAGAAAGGAAGAAAGAATTCTCAACCTCTAAAGTTTGAGTTGTGGTTCATTGAACCTAATTGCCTAGTTTTTAACACTAAAGTAAAAATACATTATCCTGATTTCTTACTGTGTTCATTGAATTTTTACCCCCAGTCTCCCTTTTTGGCAATTAGCCATCGTGCATACTGTCATAACCATTGCTCAGATTGTGTCAAAATGCACACCGTTCATCTGATATTCACCTGTGAGTTGGTTACTGAACTGTTGAAATAGTGGTGTGTGTGTGTGTATTTCTATACTCTGCTCCATGAACAGCTCAGAGTGGCAGTTCCCCATGGGATGCAGTGGGAGGATCTGAGTTAGCACTTCTCCTCTAGTGCCAGGAGGTAGAGGGCTGAGACAACCTTGCCAAAATCCTGTTTATGTTCTAGAATCTTCTCTTTGAGGACCCCCTTGCACTTGTCAGGGATGCTCCAGTTCACATTCCAGGTGTCATGGAATCTTCCTTGGCCTTGAGGCTCATTCTTTTTGTTTTGCCCAAGTGTGTAAGCAGAAAGTGTTAATTTAAAATAATACTAATAACAATAATAATAGTAATAATAATGTCAAACACAGTTTTATTGGAAAGCTGTTTTAAATGAATCCCCTGTTCATGGTTTTTGCCTTGTTTTCTGTTGAGGTAATCATATGTACAAAATAAAAATGGCTGTCTCACCATCATTGTTCTGCCAGCACCTCACCTGTCTGTCAGTAAAGATCAGTTTTTTTCCTGCCAGGCGGTGGTGGCACATGCTTTTAATCCTGGCCCAGCACTTGGGATACAGAGAGGCAGATGAATCTCTGTGAATTTGAAGCCAGCCTGGTTTGCAGAGTTCCAGGATAGCTAGCGATACACAGAGGAATACTGTCTTGAAATGACAACAACAAAACAAGACAGACTGATTTTCCTAGTTTTCTGGCTTGTCATTTTTTTCAATTTTTTTTTTTTTGTTCTTTAGTTTTCAGTGATTTTGTGTTTGTCTAGTCTTACTCACCAATCGTATTTTGTGTATTGTCTGGAGAAGAGATGGTCCAGGATTTACTGATAGGCACACCATAACTTTAGGAAAAGAAGCAGCACCCCTCAGTGGTGGGATTACAGTATACAGCCTTGCTGACTGGCTTTTGAGCTTAATGTTTGGCTTGCTAGGAAGGCTATGAATGTGGTTCTTGTACTTAGTCAAGTTCCGTGAACACTTGTTTCCTATGGCTTCTTTGTGCTCTTTGGAGCTCTGTCCACTCTCTCCCCTGCACCCCTGGCTTCCCCAGCCCTGTATGTGGTAGTTAGTATTTCTTCTCCTAGCTTCTAGTACATGCTATATGGTCAAACCTCATGGGTCCCATCCTTCTCCTTCACACTTTTCCTATGGGGAAAGCTTTGTGACTCACTGGAGTTTGATGCCATGTCGATTTGGGGGACACTCTGGGTTTTTTGGGTATTGTAATGTTGCAGGTTTCCAACCTTGCCTGTCACTCAGCTCCTACATTGCCTGAATATCTTCATGCATCCAGGGCCTAAGGAGAAACCCCACAACTATTTCTGATATGTTGGTCTTCCTCTTTCCCCACTTCAAGCTAGTTTCTGGCTTGCCCAAATGACCCCAGCTCTGTTGTATCTCCCCTTGTCTGGGCCATCCATAGGCTGCTGAGAGTGGCCCTCCCTAGGACAGTTACAACCCTTGGTCTCTCTACTGACAGCAGACTTTACTAGAGTTCATACTTGCCCCTTCCTTCTTCTCTGTTCTGCTTTCTTCCCTTACTTTTGCCCTCTGTTAAGTCTAGGAGGAGATAGCAGGGCTGGGGCCAATTTGGGGAACCACTACCTCATAGGTAAATGGGTACAGACTAGTTCTTGTATGTTCTGACAGCCTTAGCATGGCTTTTGATAGGACCTAGAAGTCAGTGGGGGGACTTTTAGTGGTGTGGAATGATACTAGTGACAGCTTTTGGAAAGTGAATTTGGCATCAATGAATGAGATACATAGTAGGGTAGAGAGATGTTTGAGGAGTTACAGAATGATTCCTCAGGTCTGAGTATTTCAGTGTCTTTGGGAAGGGAGAGGTTGTAGAAACCAGGAGGTTTCAAGAATTGATTGCCAAGACATGTAAATAAGTGAGGAAGGGCTGGGGATCCTGGAATCTGTTATTGATCCCAAAGCTCATTTGTCCCCTCTGGTGGACTCTGCTGAGAAGGTACAGGCCACATACTTCAGATCAGACTTCTGCACTTCTTGTGGCTATTGATGATGTCAACAGGGTGGGTGCTGCATGGGAATGGTTCTTAGACTTGGTGTCTAAGGGAATGTTTTCCTCACTGTTTTTCACCAGTGTCAGCTAGGTGTGCTGCCCCTGGGGACAGGGAATGACCTGGCCCGTGTTCTTGGCTGGGGCTCTGCCTGTGATGATGATACACAGCTCCCTCAAATCTTGGCAAAGCTGGAGAGGGCCAGCACTAAGATGCTGGACAGGTGAGTGGGACAGCCAGGATGTGTGAATGGAAGCTGGACCAAGAAGCATTGGTCGCTGTGGCCAAGCTTCTTACTCTTAGACCAATGAGGACTAAGACTAGCCCCAGTCTCAAAAAACCAGAAAACTAAAAGTCAGAATAGAACTAAGGTCAAGGCACCAGACCACAACATTGGAGTGATGAGGGGTTGGATTGGGGGAGAGCCCTGTAGACCCCTGGCTGTCAGTGGGCAGGCTGCAGCTGAGCTGACTTTGGATCTGTGCAGGTGGAGTGTCATGGCATATGAGACCAAGCTCCCTCGGCAGGCCTCTTCCTCCACTGTCACTGAGGACTTCAGCGAGGACTCGGAGGTACCACTGTCTGCTTGCTCTTGCTCTTTCTCTTGTAGTGCTGGGCATGGCGCTTCACACTCAGCACTGAGCTGTCCCCCAGCCCACCACCTGCTATTTTACTTTTTTACTTTTTTATTAGCTTTTTTACTGCATCCCTGCCACTTTTGTGGTTCTGAGAGGGAGTGGAGGAAGAACCTTGGGCTGAGCTTCAGGCTGAGCAGGCTCAACTCTAGGGTTTCATGACTATTGGGAAGTTTCTTAAGTTCTCACCAGGATTTGAGGTGCTTCCGAATGCCTAATCCCGTGTCATGTCTTATGCTCCTTACTGTAGCTCAGCACCTATTGCAGTCTGCTGTTCCTTCCTACACAGCCTCCTCCTGTCTGCTCGTCTTTCTGCCCACCTGTCTCTCTCTGATGTCTGTGCTGCCCTTGCAGTTAGCACACACTGTTTCAGCATCAGTCTCAGTCCTTTGTGCTGAACAGTGGCCACTCTAGGGATTGAGTTTTGGGATCCTGAGGGGTGAGGTTTTGTCTTTATGTCTTGCTAGGTGACTGGTCTGACAAGCCCATGACAAGCCCAAGGGGTCAAGAACAGTAGCAGTCAGCAAGCCAAGTCAAGCTTGCTTTTTATGGCTTCCCAGGTGGAGCATGGTCTGTGCTTTTGTTTTGAGAATATTTGTGTAGAGCCTGAGAAATACCCAGGGAAATGTCTGAGACTCTGGCACAGATGATTTCTCTTTGACCTGTGAGAAAGCTTGCTGGCTATGGGGAGGGCAGAGAGCAGTGGTGCTCTCCTGGCTGTGGGTAGAGCTGAGTGAGGCATGAGTGGACAGCTCTGATAGTGTTTGGAGATGGTCTGTTCTGTGAGAGGATGGACCAGAAAGGCCTAAGAAAACTCCCCAGTCAGATACTAATGGAACTTACCATTGATTGTGAGACTGTTTTGGTATGATTACAGGTACAGCAAATTCTCTTCTATGAAGACTCAGTTGCAGCCCATCTTTCAAAAATCTTAACTTCAGACCAGCATTCTGTGGTAATCTCATCAGCCAAGTGAGTAATGGAGCTCTGGGGACTCAGAGAGGTGGCGAGTGTGCTGCAGCTATATGAGCCAGCCACGCTGCCCTTGGTAGAAAGGCAGCGAGTGTGCTACAGCTATATAGGCCCAGCCATGCTGCCCTTGGTTTCCTACAGAGTGCTCTGTGAGACAGTGAAGGACTTCGTGGCTCGAGTGGGCAAGGCCTATGAGAAGACGACAGAGAGCTCTCAGGAGTCTGAGGTCATGGCCAAGAAGGTAGGTTTCTGGGCACAGGGTAGGTGGAGCAGCAGGTACACAAGAGCTTGCTCTCCATGCCACTTTTTCTTGAATCTAGTGCTCTGTTTTGAAAGAGAAACTGGACTCTCTCCTCAAGACCTTGGATGATGAGTCTCAGGCTTCATCCTCTCTGTCCAACCCACCTCCTACCATTGCTGAGGAGGCTGAGGATGGGGACGGATCAGGCAACATCTGTAGCTCTACTGGGGACCATCTGGTGGGCTCGGCATGTCCCTCCCGGCCACAGATCTTCCGGCCCCGGGAGCAGCTAATGCTGAGAGCCAACAGCCTGAAGAAAGCAATTCGCCAGATTATAGAGCACACAGAAAAAGGTAATGGGTCTCTTAGTCCCTAGGTGGCACTAGAGTTTCCAAATTTCCTGGGTGTAGTTATAGACCAAGAGTGGTACGTGAAAGTCATTTTGGCCCAAGGACTTCCTCACCTCCATGGTCATATGACATTTCCCAATCCTACCTCACTGTCTCCTACCTTCTCTCACTGCCCTGGGACAGCACTTGATACCATGCTTTCCCTCTCACTTTACCAACTCTCCTCCTGTCACTCTGAGCAGCGCTACCTCTTCTTGCTTCTGACCCTGTGGTCACACCACACTTCGTCACCGTGTGGCCATACTACCCACTTTCTGGCTAGGGCCTCTAGTTACTCTCTTCACCTCCACGTCCTCTTGTGTCAGAGTCCTTCTCTCCAGCCTGTTAGCTGGAGTGCCCAAGTCCTAGGACATTAACTGAGCTAGGGAACTGAACTAAGTATGTTGTGGTGGAGATTTTGGGTCTGAGCCTTGGGCCAGACTACCATTGAGAAGAGAGTCTTAGCAAGAATGTTCTTTCTTTACCAGCTGTGGATGAGCAGAATGCCCAGACCCAGGAGCAGCAGGATTTTGTCCTAGGCCTTTCTGAATCTGAGAAGAAGGACCTAAAAACTGACAATAGAGTGTGCACATCATCTGCCCTTAGTGAGAGCTGTGTGGCTGCCAAGGGGAGGAGTCAACGCAAAGGTATGGCTGTGCTTTGGTTTGGGCAATACTTGGTGAGCTTGTCATGGACACTTTAGAAGGTACTTTTTCTCTTTGCTCTGGCCATTGGAGTAAATTGACATTCTCACCTGTAGCCTACACCTGTACCACCTTCATGTCACCAAGGTATGATTAGTAGAGGCAAGTGCACTGTATCACCTGTAGGAAACAGGGCCTTCCCTGCTGAGGACCATCCCTGTCCTCCCTGTATGTCCTTAGAGCCTTCTTATGGCTGCTCATAAGTGTCTGGCAAAACTGAGACCTTCATCTCTCTCGGAATAGACCCCAGCAGAGGTCTTCAAAAGGAAGGGCTTCTCCCCATCAGCTGTCATGGTGCTGTGGGAGAGGGAAGGGGGCTTTTCCCCACTTATGCATAGACATAACAGTATGTCTAGAGTAGACATACTGTTAATTAGCATCAGAACTCTGTGCCTTCTGTACCCAAACTATAATTAGGGGTCAGCCCCTCTCTGTCCTCATACTGCTGTCCAGGTCTGTGTCCTTTCAAGATGAGCCAGGCCCACAGTGGACGTGTGACTACTCTTCCTTCACCTTTTCCCAGGGACTCTTCATCGTACATACTACAGGCTAATGAGTGGCTCAGAACTCTCCTTCTTTCCCACAGCCCTACTGTCTGTTCATTTTGTTGTGACTCCTCTTAGCTGTGTTCTGCTTTGGACAGTGTCAAGTGTGTTGTCCTGTTTTACAGCATCCAGGGCCCCTTGTGAAAAGCTGATGAGCAAAGGTCTGTCACTTGGCAGCTCTGCCTCGCTCCCTCCTAATACAGGAAGCCGGGACAGCCTGCCTGCTCTGAACACCAAGATCCTATATCCAAGTGAGTGACCCAGTCCCCCCTGGGGTGAGTCTTAGTCAGGGGGGTGGGGTACAACGGAGGCTAGAAGTGCTTGCTGGCCTTGGCTGGGCTTGTGGCACCCTGTGGTCTTGGAAAGAATAAGACTATTGCTGTCCTTGGAGATCTTGCAGGTCCATGGAAATATACGCAGAACTCTGTAGCTTAACTTATGTGACTGTGTGAAAAAGGCCTTTTTGGCTGTTTAGTGTTTTTTATTCCTTAGCAATTTCATACATGTATATAATGTGTTTGACCATATATACCTCTAACACTTCCTGCCAGACCACCACAATGGCCCTCCAATGTACTCTCCCTACTTTATGTCCTTTTTTTTTTCTTTCTCTTTTTAGAGTTTTTATAATCCACTGAGTCTAATTAGTGTACATAGGTCTGGGCCACCCGCTGCAGCATGGGCAACCTAGTAGTAGCTGCCTTTCTTCCCCAAAAGCTATCAACTGCCAGTAGCTCCTAGGCCCAAAGCCTTAGGAACCCTTTATCCTATGCCTGGATTCTGACCAGCTTGATGTTGTGTAGGTGATCAGTGCTATGCGGCTGTTATGTCCACTAGCCCATCATTTCAAGCTCTCTTTCCCCATCCTCAGGCTCTAACAGTTTTTTCTGTCCTATTTGCCCCAGCGTTCCTGAATCTTTGGGAGGGATTGATACAGTTGTTTCTTTTAGGGTTGAGCACTCAACACTCATTTATTCTCAGTACTTTGACCAATTAGGGGTCTATACATTAACCACTGCTCACTGGAGAAAGAAGCTTCTCTGAGTTTTTTCTGGGTGTTAAATTCATACTTTTGAGGTGAGTGTAGCACTAATCTATAGGTAGAAACAATTTAGAATATAGTGTGACATCATGAAAAACTTGCAGCAGCAAGTTTTCTCTTAGGACCTATACTCTTCTCAACCATGGAGTGTTGGCCAGGTGTATAGTACTAGGCATGAATCCCCTGTCTGGTGGTGTGGGCCACAAATTTATGTAGAAAGTGATCTACCCCACAGTCGTTATATCACTGTTGCACTAGTGGGCACATCTTCCTGGCAGGTTGGTATTGCAGCATGCAAACAAAGTCTAGTGCTGGGTAAGACCATTGATATCTCCCCCAGCCCCCAACCCCAATAGAACAGACCACATAACACATTTCAGCTCCAAGAAAACTAGCCAGGAGGAGGAGTACTTCCTAGTTATTTCCAGATTAATTTCTCTCTCTCCTGAAGCCCAAGTTTACTGTGTCTTTAGCAAGAGAGGTGTATATATATCTATATCTATATAGATATATATAGATATAGATATATATAGATATATATAGATAGTCACTGTCTTTAGACACACCAGAAGAAGGCATCAGATCCTGTTACAGATGATTGTGAGCCACCATGTGGTTGCTGGGGATTGAACTTAGGACCTCCGGAAGAACAAACAGTCAGTGCTCTTAACTGCTGAGCCATCTCTCTCTCTAGCTCTTGGGCAAGAGAGTAGTTTTGGTGGACAACCAAAAGCAATGTCAATAGCCCATGTTGTTTTGGTAGCTCTTGGACTCTTGACCAGTAATAACTTACAGTGTAGTATCCCAAGTCTAGAAAGGTACTTGTTTAAATAAAAGGCATGTAATGTACAAACAGTGCCAGGTAAATGAAAGAGACAGTTTTTATGTGTGTTCTGGGTGTTAAATTCTACTGTCCGATGTAACTTATTTTAATGTGGGATGGTAGTGGTGATTTTGAATTGTTAATCAAATTGGAGTGCTTGTTAATAATGTTGTCCTGTAGGGTATGTGGCACCAACCTTAGAGATCTGTCTTGCTCCATCTAGAGCACCTGGCCAAGTACCTCTTCCTCTTCCCTTGCAGGTGTTCGGGCAGGGATGTCTGGCTCCTTGCCAGGGGGCTCAGTCATCAGTCGCTTGTTAATTAATGCTGATCCCTTTAATGCTGAACCTGAAAACCTGTAAGTATGAGGCAGTACCAGTGGGGCATTTTGTTAGGATGCAGAGAACAGAGGTCTGATTCACAATCAGTCAGAGCCATCAGTGGACAGCGGGCTCTTTTTCAGCTGTTCTTGGACATGTACCTGAGAGCCTTCCCTGTAGGCTAACATAGGACAGCAGAGGACAGACCTAATATTGTCCTGTCCCAGGCCCTGAAACAGGCCAGATCAGTATTGACTGTGTTGATACTTCTTTACTCACTACATTTTGTCCTTGTCTCTTGTCTCGTGGTGTCGGCCCTTTCTTCAGTGATGTAGCTTCCAGCATTTCCGGATTGAAATTTTCCAGGTGGTTGTTCCCTGGGTGTTAAGAGTTCCTAGAGACAGTGTCTTACTTTGAGGATTTTAGTGAGAACGTCTGGTGGCTCCTCTATGCTGTGTTCCAGAGGTGGCGTGGCCTCTTCTACCATGTTGTGAGGCTGTAAAGACATTTGCATAGTGGTTTAATGCTGTGCATATTAGAGCTCTCGTGGATGGTGTTTCTCACACCAAAGGAGACAGTATTTTAGTCATCTTTTTTTCTGCTACTGATGGCAGCTTTGTGGGCAGCTAGAGGCTGGTGGCAACTGACTATAAGTTGCCTGCTCTTACTGTCTGGTGTGATGATGGATTACTTGTGTGGTTCACAGATGGCCTGTTTTTTGAAGGGGCTCTTAAGTCTCCAGCCTAGCGGTGCATGGGTCTCTGCTCCTGGTCTAGTCTTGTGCTCAGATTCTGATGTATTTCCTTAGCAGAGGCAGAGCCATAGTTCCTCTGGGAGCAACACTCTTGGGGCCTTGAACCAGGAGACCTCCTTTGTTTACCTCCTTTGATGTCATAGAAGGCCCCCTCTGTGGCCAAGCCTGTTTTCCCCGTCTCCGTCATGGGCTTCTGCTTCCTCCTTGGATCCCTGCACCGAGCCTTTCCTGCTCTTGTTCTGTATTGCACCCTATTTTCTGTATTACTTTGTTTTTTTTCTTCATAGGATCTATAAATACTGCTCATCACATGCTCTTTAGTTTAGAAAGTAATTTGGCCCCAGAGCTCTACTGAGCAGTCACAAGGCACTTGAACTAGATGTATGATCAGGAAGGACTCTTGCTGTACAGATTGATTCTCATCAGGTTGCAAAAAACATAACCTAAAATGTATTAGAATTCTAGCAAAAACTTGACGGAGCCCCTCTTTTTGTCCAGTGTCTATGAGTGTTTTCAGAATTTATCTTCCTCACAGTGTCTGTCACATGGGCTTGGGGGAGGGCATGGGGTAGGACACACCTCTGGCTCTAGAAGTGTAGGTGAGTGCGTGGACAGTGCCACAGAAGTGTCATCAGAAGTGTTTTAGGGAAGGGAGGCTTTTGGCCTTGGTACAGGGGTTTTCAGTCACTGCCCTTTTCACCTCAGAGACTGGTTGGACAGTTTAGCAGTGCTAGAAAAGCATGCTGTGAAGACCTCTGGGAAACAGGCTGGCAGTGCTTCAAGGGCAATCCAGAGGCCGTGTGTCCCAGTGGTTCTGCCCATGGTACAAACTCTTACCGATTCTAAAACACATGTCTACAGCAACATGGGTACTAGTGTTCACAAGTCATCACTAGAACACAGATCAATTGAATGTTTATCATGATGATGATCATCATTAATGATGACAGACACAATGTAGTAAAGCCACATGATAGAAGATTGCTTTGCATACAGGTAAACTGTGGATAAAGGGAAGAAGCCAGCGAACACTGTCTCATTCCATTTGACACGTTCTGGTTAGGCAAACCCAGAAGATCAGTAATTTCTAGGGCCTGAACAGCGAGGAAGTAGGAGCCAATGCAAGTGATGATGGTTATGAAACTGATGAAAAGACTCTGAAATGTACTAGAAACTGTTGAGTCATGTACTTTGACGTGGGAGTGACATGATATGTGAATAACATCTTGGTAGAGCTCTTACCAAAACAAACAAATACCCCACACAAACCCTGAGTTAGGGCCCTGGATTCAAACTCTAAACACAGGAAAAGGAAACAAAACAAACCTAAGTGAAAACAACAACAAAACATGGAAAAAGCCAGGAGTTTTGTTCTGCGGGAGAATGGCAGGATAGTCACAGAGGAACCTGTCAGGTAGAGCCATTGAGAGACTTTAAACTCGCCTTTGCAGAGAATACTACACAGAGAAGTGTGTCATGAACAACTATTTTGGCATTGGCTTGGATGCAAAGATATCTCTGGACTTTAACAACAAGCGTGATGAACACCCAGAGAAATGCAGGTATGTACTCCTTATTGTCAGTAGAAGTGTGGAGAGGCAGCCAAGAAGCCAGCTCAGAAGGGGAGGGACTCCACCCCTGGATTGGCCATCTTGGGCAGACTGAATATCAGGAAGCCAGTGATGTGTATGACTGTAGTGGGCTGTCTCTTACCCAGCATTGGAGTCAATGATTGATGTGTTGGAGGAAGGTGACATGAGTGTGCTGCAAAGTCACCATCCCAGCACTCTTCATGGGGATTTGGGGATTCAGAGATTATTTTCTCCCTTGTGCTTTTCTTTGTTTTATTTATTTACTTGTGTGTATGGGTGAGTGTGGATGAGCAGATGGGACAGAGTGCATGTGTAGAGGTCAGAAGACCACCTTAGGTGTCATGTGGTCCTTGGCTTACAGTGTGTTTTGAGACAGTCTTCTATTTTTCACTGCTGCATTCCTGGCTGACCTGTCCTTGTGGTTCTGGGAATTCTCCTGTTCTGCTTCCCATCAGGCCTTGGTGCCCTGGGATTTCAGATATGCTCTTTTGCATCCAGTTGTATGTGGGTTCTGGAGATTCAAATGCTGGTCCTCATGCTTGCACAGAAAGCACTTTATCCACTAGTCATCTCTCCAGCATAATTTTATAGCCACAATTCATGATAGATAATTTCTTTTCTGAGGGTTACTTACTTCCTTTTTAGAGTGTGATTGCTTTCTTAACAGTGTCAGTTTGTAGCATACTTCGTTGTTGCTAAATTTACTCTTCTTACATGTCTGAGAAGCCCAGACTGTTTTGTTCCAGTGTCCTGCTGTTCACAGTTGCTGAGTCCCCAAGCTTCATAACAGTAATTCAGGTTATTGTAAGAGAAGCCCTGTCCAAGGTGGCATTTCTTTTTCTAGGAGTCGGACTAAGAACATGATGTGGTATGGTGTCCTTGGCACCAAAGAGCTGCTGCACAGAACCTACAGGAACCTGGAACAAAAGGTCCTGCTGGAGGTGAGTGGTGGCCTCCTGGCCTGGTGGGTGAGCTCCCAACCTTGGATATAATCATTTCCACTGAGCCTTGCCTCATCATCCCTGAGGAGCCCTTGCCTTGCCCCAGGCCCACCAGCATATCAGATTGGTGCTAGGAAGAACTGGCACATGCTGATATTGCTTTTTTCTCTCCATCTGCCTTTCTGCGGCACAGTGTGATGGGCGTCCTATTCCCCTCCCAAGTCTTCAAGGAATTGCTGTCCTCAACATTCCCAGCTATGCTGGAGGGACCAACTTCTGGGGGGGCACCAAGGAAGATGATGTACGTATGGGGTTTGAGGTGGGTGGGCTGGGCTTAGCAAGGTCAGTGAGGTATGACTAGATGCGATATCTCCTTGGTCCTGATAGTGGGCATGGTGGAGGACCAGACAGACAGGTCCCTCACCATTGGCCTAGTGTCTAGAAGGCAGGTCTAGCACAAGAGCAAGTGAGAAGCAGCTAAGACTTGAAGGGAAACTTAAGTTGGCCAAATTGGCAGCCACTAGATGGTGAATATTTCATTTTGGCAGAAGAAAGAAGATGTGGAAGCTCAGAAGCAAGAAGGGGCAGAGCACGTAGAGGACAGTTCCCCACTGCAGTGTGGATGTGTGCAGGGAGGAGGGAGATGCCTGTAGGGTCTCATTGCATGAGGCAATAGAAGCCAAAAGCAGGAGTCTGGAATTTATGCCAAGAACATAGGAAGATATTGACAGGCTTTAACCAGGGTTTGCATGTAGTTAAAAAAAACCAGCTAGCACTTACTGCAGACTTATGTGTAGGCTCCTGTTCTGAGTACCTGGAACCTGTTCACACTTTCATTCTATATACCTCCCCGTCCTAAGGAGCAAGCAGTATTATCTCCCTTTAAGGAAGGAGGACATGAATAATTTGCCTGAGGTCTCATATCTAATAAATAGCACGTTTGAGAGGTAGTCTCAGGCAATGGGCTTCTGGGTAACAGATACCCAACCCTGCACTACATTCACCACCATCACTGTACCATGTGTGGGTGTGGGCTTGTCTGTCTCATCAGAACCCCAAGAACAGGAAGCAGAGCAAGAGGGGCAAGAGGGAGACTCGTTTGGGGAAGTGAGGCAGACAGCTTTCATGCTGGCCCTTTCAGACTTTTGCAGCTCCATCATTCGATGATAAGATTCTGGAGGTGGTTGCTGTGTTCGGCAGCATGCAGATGGCTGTGTCTCGTGTAATTAAGCTACAGCATCATCGGATTGCCCAGGTACTGGCCATGCTGTTCTAGAGGTCGAGCCCACCCCCTTCTGGGACTCATCCCTATTTGGAGAGGCAGGGCCTGGCCTAGGATTCTTGGATTTGCTCACAATAGAGACCCAAGGAAGAGAGATGCCTAACTAGGACCTAAATGCAGCCCCACCCTGCCTCTCTCTCCCACTGAGTGCTCTGATTCTTGCTGAGGTAGAAAAGGCCAAGCTGAGCCTGGTCTGCTGCAAGAAGCAGTGCAGTGTGGACATGGATCTGTCCATGGCAGTGAGTAAGCCCACCAGGACTTGACAGATAGCTCTGAGGATAGCCAGAGAGGGCAGTCAGGTCAGGGCTCCTGGCTTTAATTCTGACAGCACTGAGGAGCTGGTACAGGTCCACCCACTTTGGGGGTGCAGGGAAGGAGTGACTGTACATACAGTGCAGTGCTGATAAAATCTATTTCGGTGAGATTTGCTGGTGTCTTCCTGCATTCTATTGGTTCCCAAACAGTCAGCTGTTTAAAGTTTACCTTTTTGTTTTGGGGCACATTTTTGTAAAAAGAGTTGCAGAAGCCTCAACTGATAGACTTGAGTTGTCAGTCTGCTGTTAGACTTTGGTCTGCCCTGGGGATGTTTACATCTGTCAAGGACCATGACTCTTTGACTCCTTTAATCTGATATCCCTATCTGCACCCAAGATCTTCTGGATCTACCTATCCCAGACGTCTGGGGAGGAAACAGTGGGGCCAGAGGGGGCAACAGAGCAGAGGCTAGAAAAGGAGGGCCAAGTAAATGGCTGTGGGTAAGGGGTGGGAGTGCAGACACTCAGAGCAGCACAGCCTATGGGCACTTTAAATCTCCTGGCACGGGAATAATAGTATGGCATCTGTTCAGTGTCGCACAGTGAAGATCTCCATCCTGGGGGATGAGGGCGTTCCTGTGCAGGTGGATGGGGAAGCCTGGATCCAGCCACCTGGGTACATTCGGATTGTGCACAAGAACAGGGCACAGACTCTGACCAGAGACAGGGTAAGAGCAATTGCCAACAAGGCCGGGGGGGGGGGGGGGCAATCTGGGTTACCAGTGGCTTACTCATGGGCTCCCCTGTACATTCATAAAAGAGACAAAGGGGTTTCTTCTTTGTTCTTGAATTTCTCTTCACCATAAAGAGATTAGCTGACATAGTGATATGCCCTGTAGTCTCAGTAATCTAGAGACAGAGACCAGCTAAGTTTATATAGACATGTTTCAAAAGACACAAAGTTAAATTAACATCCTTTCTATACATAGCTTTTACCTTGCTGAACCCCTGTGTGCTGTGGGTAGATGGTATGCTCACCCTCTGGAGGGCACAGGAGGAAGTCTGACTCTGGGTTCTGTCTCAGGCCTTTGAAAACACCTTGAAGTCTTGGGAAGACAAACAGAAATGTGAGCTGCCCCGCCCACCATCCTTTTCCCTGCACCATGAGATCCTGTCTGAGGAGGAAGCCACCCAGATGGATCAGTTTGGGCATGCAGCAGGAGTCCTCATTCACAGGTAGGCTCTGCTGTGTTCCTTTAGACCTTGCAGGCTTTGTGGCCTGGTCCTGTGTGCTGGCTGTGCTTTACTGTGGGGGCTGAGCCTGACTTCTCTGGTTTAGTTTGCTTCCTTAGTCTTCTTGTTTATTATTCAGGTTTTTACAGTGAAGACATAAGATACACAGGGATTTTTCTGAGCCACTAAAGCTTTAAATCCCATGCTGGGTTTCTGAGAAAGGCCACAGACTGCTCTAGAGAGTAGTGTGTACCCTGCTCTGGTATTTATACAGGAAAGTCAACAGGCTTTTTCTTGTTTTAGCTGTGGTTTACAAGTGGTTTGTAGAACTGCCGTTGCCCTTGTGGCATTGCCACTGTAGGCTCCTCCCTGCTCAGTTGGGCTCTCTAGACCTTCTGGTCCTTTCAATAGCTTAGCCCCTCTTAGCTCTCAGGAGTGCCCTTGGCTGTCCATTTTTTGTTTCTCTTTGACTTTTTCTTTGGCTCTGGCTATGGGTTCTCTGTGTGTTCTTCCTGGAAGAACAGCATTACTTTGTTCTGGTGAGCAGAGGCTTCAGGCTGCTTAGCAGGCCAGTTTCTCTCTGGTCCTTGAGGGCATCTCTGGCACCTCTGCCTCCATGCTGTTGTCTCTAGACAAGCAGCTGATACTGGTGCAACCCCATTCTACTCCTTCCCGTGTCAGCCATGTTCATCTAGCTCCTTGTTATAGGAACTGTGGCCCTGTCACCTTGTAGTCCCTGGTAGCCCAGGAAGGCTGGCTGCTAGGAAGGCATGCTTACTAGGTCAGCCTTCTGAAAGCCACAAGTATGTGCTTCACACAGTATGTGCAAGTTGCTCTCCAGCTTTTCTCCCAGCATGCTCTGTTCCATCCCACCTCACCCAGCTTCTCTGAGATACCCCTGGTTGACTCTTGGTCTTACTCAGGCTGATGTGGCTTCGAGCTCATCAGCACACCAGGTTTCTCTCTCAAAGGTGTGCCTAACTTGAAGTTCCAGAGTGTCTTAGCATAGTGCAGCATCTGTGTCCCCGAGTTTATTGATTGCCAGCCTGCATGCAAAGCTGTTTGCTTGCTTTTCATTTTATGAGAGATTTTATTTTATACATTTTTCTCCCCGGAAAAGCTAGGATTTGGTATCAGATTTCCCATAAAAGTCCACTATTTGTTGTTATTGGGATGTGATATGCCTGTGGCTGTGACTGAGAGGCCGTCATGGCAAAGCTGCTATCTCCACTGGTGTGTCATACTATCCTCATTGCATATATCCTCTGGGTGTGTTCATAAGCAGTGTGTAAGGCCTGATATGTGCCTCTTTCCTTCAGCATTCGGGAAATAGCACAGTCCCACAGAGACATGGAACAGGAACTCGCACATGCTGTCAATGCCAGCTCCAAAGCCATGGAGCGAGTATACGGCAAGCCCAGAACTGCAGAGGTACTTAGTCTTTTTGGGTCTGGCTCCTCACCTTTACAGCTCTGGACCTTTCCTATGGATGCACTTGTTCTTTGCAGGGGTTGAACTGCAGCTTTGTTCTGGAGATGGTGAATAACATCAGAGCCTTGCGCAGTGAGACGGAGCTGCTGCTGGCTGGGAAGATGGCCCTGGTGAGCTGATAATCAACAGGAGGGTTCTGGCTGTATGTGAGGTGTATGTCCAGGGTGCTAGACACGTAGGATAGCAATTTTCAGTCCAGGGTCCTGAGCCTGAAGAAAGGGTGCTCAAAACCATATAGTGTGGCCATTGGGTTGTGGCCAAACTCTTTGACAGCATCTCAGCCAGCCCAGGGTGTTGTCAGATGTTAAAGATGACTTTAACAGTGTCTGTGTGGCTAGGTTCCAGTCATAACCTTGGTGTTCTGCACTATCATCTGTCTCCACTCAGCATGTGAAACTGGCTGCTGAGTTAATCCTTAGTTCACTCGGCAGGAGTGGGGGTGTTGCTGGGCTCTAGGAGCTTGCTCAGATGGCTGGCCACTAGCCTGCATATGACATGGAAGAGCATTGCTGGAACTAGTACTAGTTCTGTCCCACTCTACACACCAAAGAGGTGCTGTCCTGAATGCCCAGATGTTGCATTAGCTGCCTCCTATGCTTGTGCAGGAGGAGCATGGCCTGCCCACTTGGTGACAGAACCCACAGGGACTGCAGCTGGCTGGGTACTAGGGATGCTGCATGTGGCTTCCCTAAGCCAGAGCCAAGGTCCACCCATCCTCACCTATTCTTCAAGGAAGGGACATTCTGGGCTCAGGCCTTACCTTAGCTTCAGTTCTGCTAAGTTTTTTATAGCAACCAAGGATCTTGATCTAAGTCTTACCACCTGCTTGGCTGGTCCAGGTTTGCTGTGTTTAGCAGCTCCATTTCTCTCTCCCTCCCTCTGGAGCAGCAGTTGGATCCCCCTCAGAAGGAACGGCTCGGGGCTGCCCTAGTTGAGATGGACCGGCAGCTCAAGAAGCTGACAGACACTCCCTGGCTTTGCCAGCCCATGGAGCCTGGTGAGGAAGAGGTATGTGGGTTCTGTACATAGTTACAGGGTTTAGTGGCTCATGCCATTAGTCCCTGTGTGCAGTATAGTCTTTGAGGCTTTGGAATTGAGGCAGCTGGTTTGCCTTCTGGAGACTTCTCTACTAAAATGGCCTTCAAGGCAGGGAGAAATTTAGAAATGGAAATTTAGGAATTGAGCGTTGGCAATGAAAATGATCCATGATGAATGGGTCCTCACTGACTCTGAAACAGACAGGACGGGGTGGGGTGGGGGGCAGGGGAAGGGAGAATAGGTAGCAAGAGATGGAGCAGTGGGCAGCTTCTTGGAGATTGGTGACAGGAACTCAGTTGCTGTGTCCATTCCCCATTCAGTTTGATCTATGGGTACTTAAGAGATTCTTAATTGTTGCTTATCTGATAGTTTAAATAGACAGGGACCCAGTGCATACTGTTCCTGGATAGAATCCACCTACAGCAGGAGACAGAAGAGGGAAGCATCTGGCAAGGATAAACCTAAGCTTCCCCTGGGCTTCTGGTGTCTTAGAGATGGAACAGAAAGAGCCAAGAGAAAAAGTCATCTTGGCCTCCTATAACCCAGGAGACAGCGTCCTCTTTAACAGTCACAGGAGATAAATGATATGAAACAACACCTCTGTCCAGCTTAGTCTATTGGAACCTTTGACAGCAATATGTAAAAGTTAAGGATGAAGATGTTGGGACTGGAGAGATGGCTTAGTGTTTAAGAGCACATATTGCCCTACCAGAGGACCTGAGATTGGTTGCCATCACGCAGGGAACTCACAACTACTTGTATAACGCCACTTCCCTGGGCACCCATACAAATGTATAAGAACAGATAAGAGTATAAAACATTTAATTAACAAAGTATCTCTTCCTACTCCCAACCCCCAAGTATAGATTAGATCTTGACAATGAATTTCTGACTCTGTGTTTCTTAGTCTCTCCAACAGAGTGTGATGCTGGATCTTACTAAACGCAGCCGCAGTGGTAAATTCCGCCTAGTGACCAAGTTTAAAAAGGAGAAAAACAATAAGAACAAAGAAGTTCACAGTAACCTAGGAGGCCCTGGTATCTGCCCCTCTCCTGTGTCTCTCTCTGGCTGTCAAGGCCAAGTTCTCCTGGTCTCTGCTTTTCTCCTCAGCATTGAGGCTCTTCCCTTTGGTCTTGTGCTATAATCCCTAGTCACATTGGCTATACTAGTCTGTCTTATAGCTGTAAGACTATACCTTGCTTGTTTTCTCTGTCTGGGTACTGACTGATGTCATGCTTTGCTTGAATGCACCTTCCATGGAGACTGTGGGGTGATGGGCAACTGAGCTGACCTGCCTACCCTGAATTTGGGGCTGGAAGTTGGGAGGACAACAGGAATGACGAGACGAACTTGGAGACACAAAACTCTAGACTCAAGACTGCTGGAGTCCTCTGTGCCTGTTTCTTCTGGCAGGCTGCTGATTCCCATTTAATTGACTCACTGATCAAGGTTCTTAAGCTTGGCCCTCCAGGCCACCAGTGATTGTGGGTGAAGAATCAATGGGAAATGGTGCTAAAGAACATTTTTTTCCCCTTTGGATCAGTGAATTGGGTCTTTAAATGTATCTCAGTGGTTGGCCCTAAGTATTGTGTCTGGCACCTTTAGAGGCCAGGGCTGGAATTGGTGTGGCATCTGCTACCATTCAGGGCAGTTCCTGTTTGATTTTTTTGTCTTTGCATGTTTGTCTAGAATTGGGTTTATGTGAATGATGGTGGATCTGACTCTGCATGGCCTAAGTCTCTGCACATCTCCTGTAGTGCTCCAGCTGTGAGCTCCTCTGGAAGCTGGAGGAAATACTGGCTTTAGTCACAAAGATGTTCCCTCTGTGTTTAGTGCTGTTTAATTCCTCTGGGACACAGAGATATCCAAAAGGCTGGTGACTCACCCGGCAGGAGTAATCAGCACTTCTGCAGTGCACATACCTCAGAAGGGTGGCCCTCTTGTCTTCTTTGTACTGCTGGAGCACAGTGCCTGTGGCTGGGTGATGGTTCTGGCTTTTGGGGACATCTTGGGTGACACTGCTGGAATGTCTTGGGTGCTGGCTGCTGAAGGCATCTTGGGTGGCACTGCTGGGTGTCTTGGTGTTGGCTGCTGCCTACTTGGCGCTGGGCTCTGGGCATTCACTGCACTCGTGCTTTTCCGTCTCTGACAGTTCACCTCTGGGGGACAGAGGAGGTTGCTGCCTGGCTGGAGCACCTCAGTCTCTGTGAGTATAAGGACATCTTCACGCGGCACGACATCCGGGGCTCTGAGCTCCTGCACCTGGAGCGGAGGGACCTCAAGGTACTTCACAGGTGTCTTCTCAGAACCCACACCTGCACTTTACACACCCTTTCAACTATGTCTTCTTCCCTGTGTCCTCGCATCACTGGTCATCAGTTTTTCTTAAGCCTTTTTGTGTACCCCAGGGTACAGAGGTCTTTGATGACTCCCTCTGATACAAATAAGTAAGGCCAGGTGCAGACATGATGGGAAAAGCCTTGATCTTCTTAGCCACAAAGCCTTAACTTTAGAAACTAGGGGATACCGCCCTGTGGTCACAGGTTCAGCTGACAAGTTCTAAGTTCTAGTGGTTGTTGGGCCACAGTGCTCCATCATGAGTGAAGATGGAAGAGCGTGCATTCTCAAGGCTGGTTTCACAGGCAACCACTTGGCTCCTGGGCAGCTGCTGCCACTTCACCTCACAGGGAGAAGGGTCAGGTGGTTCATCCTCCCATCCCTGTGCATGTGAGGTCAGGTCTGCACCCACTGCACTTGACTCACATAGCCAAGCCCTGGCCTGCTCAGTCATGCAGAGCTGTTTCTGGGTGGGCATTGCTTCTGGTTGTGTCCAAAGGCAGAAAAGGCCATGGGGGCCTCCTTAACTGGTAGCTCTCCCAACACCACCCACTTGCTGTCAGGCCTCTGTTCTTTGTCTGCTGGCTGTCCTTCACAACAGTAGTCTTTGTAGGACACAGGAACCATGCATTGGGTGTCTGGATGACTGACATTTGTGCTGATTTCCTTTCTATTTCATCCATTGGTCATTTTCCTAATTTGCTCTTGAAAAGGAGACTGAGAAAGCTTGTTGGTGGCAGCCCATTTGTAGAGCCTCTGGCCTGAGCCCTCTTCCAAATATCCATGTTGCCTGTCTTCCTCCTCTGTTGCAGGACCTTGGTGTGACCAAAGTGGGCCATATGAAGAGGATCCTTTGTGGGATCAAGGAGCTGAGCCGGAGCTCCCCTGCCGCCGAGGCCTAGCCTCTGCGTTCTCTGCCTGCATCCTCCGCTCCTCCCGAGACTGAGGCCTAGGGAGGACACTGCCAGCACTCAGCCCCTGGCCTTTCTCATGGTGCTATTCCTTTTGTTAGTGACCGAAAGCCGGACGCCTGTCAATAACAGCTTTGGAGTCTTGAACATACCAACACAGCTACCTTTGAGAATACTTTTCCTAGCTGCAGTCATTTGGAGCAGACTGAGTCAGGTCTACTTGTGGCTCTTGCTAACCTGCCTTGTGGGCCACAGGGAATGTGGTGAATGAAGCCTGACTGCCCAGCACCTGGCACCCCTGCAGAACCTTCTTACCTGGGGCACATGCTCAGATTGTGCTTTCCACTCCTTATCTATGTCCTTTAGTGGCCACACTGGGTTGTGCCATCTTCTGTCTCTGTTGGCTCTCAGAAGCAGAGTTGGGTCTGGCTTCAGTGGCCCTCACCAGAATGTTCTCTGTGCCTGCTACCCACTCTGTGTTTCTTCCCAGCAGCCCCGCAAAGGCAGCCCACTGCTGCTGCCCCCTTTGTTCACGAGGTTTCATCATTTTAAAAAACAAGCTTATTTACTTTCCTGGTTTGAAAGTGGCATGGATGTGTTTCCAGGCTTGTTATATATAGTCTGTGAGGAAGAAGGAAAGTCCTCCTGCTTAGGCCAGGCCTCAGAACACTTGGTTCTCTTCCCTTTGTCCTCTGAGCTGTGAGCATGTGGACACCCCATCTCCTCAGGATGCTACAGGTGTCTGCAGTCCAGTCTGGGGCAGATAAGGATATGAGTTTACACTGACTCAGCATTCCTGTGGAGACCAGGCTTCCTGGGGGCTGGAAATGACATACGCCATGGGATAATGAATAGTCAGTAGGGGCAGTCTGGAGCCATTTCGGGTGGTTTCTCACCTGCGGTGAGGTTTGTTGTCCCAGGAGATGCCTGTGAGACATCTGACCATTGCTGCTGCCCTGCCACTATGTGCTGAGCAGAACTGGCTCTGAGTCAGCAGGTGGCACTATTGGGGGCAGAAAGCTCCCCAAGGCCCAAACTACATCCTGTGGCCAGTTCCCAGGAGAGGCTGCCCCGGCCTTCACTGCCACTGACTTACCCTTCTCCACTTTCAGAGACCGCAGTCCTCCACAGGGACTTGTATAACAGCTGGAAAGGGCTGTAGCTCAGCCCTGCAAGGAGGGCGGCTGCTGGTCTGTGGTCCTCACCAGAGATGACAGGTCTGTGAACTCTGCCCGTGCTTCCCCATCTGACATGGGAAGGAAATGCTGAACTTGGACACTGGGTAGAGTCTGCAGCAGCTCCAGCTGGGAGGCAAGGTTGACCTGCTGTTTGTTCTGCAGACTAGACTCCTTGTTCATCTTCCCTTTACTGATGACAGATCTGAGAGCCCTGGTCAGCAGAGTGGAGGTATGGAGAGGAGCCTACAATGTTATTCCTGCCGTGTTCTGTCCTAGGCCTAGAGTTCCATCCATTGTATCTTAGATGTGGGCTGGGAGAATCTCTGCCATGTGTGTGGATGTTGTTGCCTCCCTGAATGGAAATAGTTTCCATTTTTCCACCTGGGATTCTATTTCCCACCAAGCAGTCAATGTAGACCAGAATGTGGAAGCAGGGATAACCTCAGATAATTCAGAGCCTGTACCAGCCAGATCAGCTGAAACTTAGGTGACTAGGGTCCTGAGAAGCAATTTAGGGCAGTGGCTTTCTTCAGAAAGCTTCATGTTTGGGTGAGGGTGTTAGAAATCATTGTTGTCAGCAAAAAAGTGAGAGGTCCAGTCTGAGTGCTGGAGGGACCTGTCAGGTGGCTGGCCATGGGCTCTCCACAGATGTGTTCTGGCCATCACTACCCTGCCCCCAACACCCAACCCCTAATCCCACAGCAGTTCTTTAGAGTTCTGGAGAGGGGAGAATGAAGGATCCCAAGAAATTGGAGTAAAGGTTTTGTGCCTGCAGGTGGGGCTAACTTAACCCCTCATATTTATAATCTTAATTTATAGTGACCATCTGGAGCAGATGCCTCTTGTATTGTTATGTACATAGTCTGCATCAGAGAGTTGTAAATAAGTTCTTCTGTGTATAATAAAATAAGCCTGTTTTTGATCTTCCAGTAAGCATTCCTGTCCTCATTCCTGTGCTGACAGCTGCTAGCTGTTCTGAAGATAGGCTGACTTGGTGGCTGTAAAGCAAAACAGAGCTATTGTTGTCCAGGGGTCTGCTGGATGTGCAGTTCAGCCAGCACAGCTCTGGGTTAGTTACTAGCAACAACAAAAACTTCTGGACAACAGCTGCCATCCATGCTTCTTGTCAAGGTGTCGTCAGTCACCTTCACACATTGATGTTTAGCTTGCTGGACAGCTGTGCTCCTGAAGGTAGTGTGGCGGTTCTGGTATTGTTGACCTAGAGAGAAGCTAGCAGCTATGAAACCAGTTTTGGACTGTTAGGAAATCCATAGTACCTACCGCCATGGCCCTGGCCAGATCCTATTCCCCAGAATAGTAAATAGAACCACTCAACAGCCAGTTCTTCCAGTACACTTTGCCAGGAGTCTACATTTATTTTAAGCCAAAATATACTTGTTTCCAAATCAGTGTTTGTAATATGTCATGTTTGTTGACTGTCTAGAGTATACGTGGAGAAAAAGACATACACGTTCCTCAAGCATCAGAACATAGGCAGTGTATGACTGAGCTGAGGACCGCAACTTCAAAAATGGTTTATTTTTTTCTTAGAATAGACGAAACGGAAAAAACACTATCCCCCAATTAAACAAAACAAAAACAAACAAACAAGAAACCAACCAAATAGAAAGGCCTGCCAACAGACTTGGGGTGTAGCCAGCACTTGAGGCATGTCTTCTGTCTCTTCCAGGTGCTAAGCGGGTCAGGGAGCCTCTGGCTTCCTGAAAGCAAAGTGTCTGAGCTAGTACATCAGTATGTATTGCCAGAGTCTGGGGTGAAAGGACAAACTAAGGAACTATGTCAGTTACAGTACAAGAAACAGTAGCTAATACCCAGAGGACTCAGTTGTGGTCAAGTAATGTTTACTGTTTGGGTCTCCCAGAACCCCTTGGTGTGTAGCTACGAGGACATGGCCAGAAAAGGTAACTACTCCAAGTCCAACATCTTATAATACAAGTGCTTCAATAGAAGCAGTCACCTAACATGACACCAACTCTGGCAAATGGTGTCTGGAAGACAAGAGGAAGATTAGGATTACCTGCTAAGCATCAGCTCCACAGAGAAGCCAGCATAGCTACACCAGAATGTGAAAAGCCAGCAGGGGCCAGCTGAAGCCCAGGCCAGAGTAAGTTTTTCTTTGTCTTACACCACCTCAGTTCTGCTACATGAAGTAAGAGCTGATAATCTGATGGCCTGACAACTCCTCTTAGGAATACTGTAATAGGCTAAGTCAGCCTAGGGTCCTAAACCTGCCAGTTCAGTAATAGATGCTGTTCTGATAGTGTATTAATTATAGTACATAAATACCAAATCTCTTCAGTTACCTGTGCTGACCGAGAAGGAAGAGGCCTCAGTTTCTCCAGGACAACTGGGAGCCTGGATCTGTTGTGCTGGGCTTCTTTCATGGTCCTGCCTCTTGCTAGAGTGTATAGGTGGTAGACAACAGAGCAGGTGAGTGCCATACATAGCTCTTCCTGCACAGCTGGCTTAGAAGTCCTACTTTGAATTTGGCCCAAGAGGAGGCCCATGGCAGAGTGAGGGCTGGAACTGGGAGTGAAGTCAGGACACACATCCTTTCCTTGCAGCTTCAGTGAGGTGCTAGCACTAGATGACTCACTGGTCACCTCACGAGTGGGTAAGTAACTGACTTTGTGGCTTACCTATCAGATTTGTCCTCTTTGAGCAACTTGCCATTACCCAGAAGTATACCTTCTGGAAAGAGGCCACTGAGGCCAGGTGTGGGAGGTCTATTCTGGTTAGCACAGTGTCTGGGTCTGGGCTGACACTGCAGGTGCATTTGCTTAGTCTGACAAGTGCCATACCTTCGCCTGTCACAAAGCTGAAGACTTGAGATCACTGGCTGTGAAGGCAACCAGCTTGTCTACCATAAACCCACAAGGTGTCTGTCATAGAACTGACAGGACGGTTCTATCTGGAGCACAGGACATAACTGCTGCATGGGGCTATCTGAAGCTTGCAACATGGATGGACAGAGAAGCTTCTGGTCCCCGGGGCCTGGTGGGCATCCCTGCATTGGAGAACACATCGCTGCTCTGTGCACGGTGGACTTCTCGGCTGTGGGAGACAGAAGGTATCATTGATACACAGTCATGGGTTAGGGGCTTAGTTGTTGTTTGTTTGTTCGTTTAAGATTTATTTTTATGTGCGTGAGTATTTTGCCTGCATGCCTGGTATGTGTGGAGGTCAGAAGAGGGCACTAGATCCCCTGGGACAGGGGCTATAAATAGTTGTAAACCACCATGTTTACATGTGTGTGCTGGGAACTGAAGTTAGGTCCTCTGCAAAAGCAGCAAGAGCCATGTCTCCAGCCCCTGTGTTGAGAGTGCTTAGAATGGCTCCCAAATGAATTCCAGATACTAGGGCTCAAGGTAGAATAGAGTTTGCAAGTTGGACACATGTTTTTCAACTGCTCATCTGAGGCCCCAGTTTACTCTCATGTGAGAATGGGGTTCCCCACGTCCTGGCTACACATTGTTATAGGCAGCTGTGCACAATCATTTCACAGCAGAGCGACCTTTTTCTTCCTCACACTTTAAGTTGAAAATTAACATTCACAGTGTACCCAAATCACACCCACATACCTATGTGACAGTTCAGGCAGCTCCCTTTTGCTCCCTCAGTCTCTGTACCCAGAGAACCACCACTCTGACCACTTAGCAAACTAGTCTTCACTGTGCCTTCCAAACACACAGTCATGGGACTGTGGCTCCTGGGTCTGGCATTTACAATGTACAGTACCCTCTGCAGATGCTTCCATGAGACTCGCGCTGAGGGAGGCTGAGCTCAGGTCACTGCATTTTCCTGTCTGTCACGCTAAAAGTGAGTTTGTGAGGGTATTGCTGTGTGACAGGTGTGTGTTCCCCAGTATTAGGAAGCACCTCCAAAGTAGCATTCCAGCTCTATACCTGCTAGCAAAGCCACAGACCTAGGCACTGTCTTCTCACCAGTGTGGCATCATTTCAGCATCATTAATGGTAATGGATGAGTAGTGGTTTGAATTGACATTTGATTGATGAATGAGCTTAACTGAACATTTTACCTATGTATTTATTGGCTTGCTGGCTTTTTCTACCAGAAGGCATACTTATACCAGTAGCCACAGCTTTTGACCAAGCCACTGTGCTTAGAGACATGCTCTACAGATAACCCAGGATCTGTGTTAGCAGCTACCATGAAGTTCACTCACAGCAGAGTGCCATGCTCCCACCACTTGTGATGGGCTGACAGTGATGAAGGGCAAGCATGCTCTCTGAAACAGTATGTAGGTGTCAGTGATGCCAGTCCCTTATGAAGGTGAACTCACAATGAACCTCTTTGGTGGCTTTTGAGTCTGAAAGCCTGTAATAACATTAAGTATCAAGAGATAAGATGGGAGAAGGTGGGATGCAGTGCAGGCTGGTGAGGATGCATCATTCCAATAGCATACACATGGGTGATGCCGGCCGAACACAGAACATAGTGATAGTAATTCCAGTTCACAGTGTTCTAGCTCTGCATAGGGATGAAGATGACAGGGCCTGATTTGGAACATTGCTGGGTGACAATGAGGGCTCTGTAGAAGATCAGATGAGGTGTCTGAAAAGGTAGTGAGTCGCCAGGTCTTCATCCCTGGTGGCATTGAGTGGAACATGGCCAAGCCTTAGACTTACTTTTTCTTTTTTTCCAGAGCTAGCCGCTTCTGGTTTTCCTTTCCAATGTCATCTCTGATTGTGCTGAAATCCTCACTGTCATCAAACAGGAGATTCTACATATCAAAACAATAAAGACCAAGGTCTTCAGTCTGGCCTACATTTAGAACAGGCAGATAGTAAACTATCCAAACTAAAAAGAAAAGATACTCAGACTTAACTGATTTTTGAAAAATTCTACATTTTTTGCAGACAGTATTTGTATTTATTTGTATATGTGGGGGGTGGCATATACATAACATGTGCATGCTACAGCACACGTGTGGAGATCAGAAGACAACTCTGTAGAGAATATTCTATCCTTCCTATGGGTGGGAAGATGGCTCAGCAAGTAAGAGTACTTGTGGCTCAAGCATGAGAACCTGAATTCAGAACTCCAGAAACTATGTGGGAAAAGTCAGGCATGTTTGCTCATGCTTGCAGCCTTTGTTCTAAGAGAGGTGAAGACGGGGACCACCAGGGCTTGCTGGCCATCAGCCTAGTTCTAGCTTTAGTGAGAGAATAAAGTGGAAGGTGACAGATAGAGCAGGACACCCAACATCCTCCGCTGGCTTCTGCATGCACAGGTGGTCACAGCTACACACAAATGAATAAAAATAACTGCTATTAAAGCCCAGACTGGCCTGAAAACTTAGAATCCTTCTGTCTCCAACTCCTCAGTGCTGAGATTACAGGTATAAGCTACCATGCCAAGCCATTTCATAGTATTTTATTTAGAGTTAGATTTTTATGTTTCTTGGGTGTGATGGTTCATATTACCAGTCAACTTGACAGAATCTAGAATCACTTGGGAGGGAGGCATACCTATGGGGGATGGTCTTGATTGCCTTAACTGAGGTGGGGAACCTGCTTACTATGTGTGGCATCATTCTCTGGACACAGAATCCTGGGCTGTAGAGAATGGAGGAAGAGCTGAGCAGCAAGCACACATCTCATCACTCTACATCCTGACTGTGGTTGTGATGTGACAGGTTTCCTCCAGCCCCTGTCACTGTGCTTCTCCACCATGACAAGCTGCAGTAAACCTTCTCTCCCTTATGTTCCTTTTGTCAGGATGCTTTATCAGAATGATGGGGAAGACACAAGGACAATGGTCATCATCCAGCCTTTGCTATTGTCCTTGACAGTGCTGGTCTCAGGGTCTACCTGCTGTCTTCACACAATGAATTATCACTCTTTCTCTCTTTCTCATTCACTCTCTGAAATAATTTGTGTAAAATGATACTATCTGGTAAGCTTCTCTGAAATATTTGATCCTTGGTTCAAAATGATAAATTCACTTTTTTCCAAGTCTTAACTTTTATTACTTAAAAACATTGCATATTTATTTTGCTTTCTGACTCTATGCTTGTGCCTTCAACACTTTCACAATGATATTCTGCTCCTTGATAAGGAAAGCCTGCTTGATCCTGTCACAGATACACTTGGCACACAGGGAACTACTATGGGCCCTGCTGATGTGCTGCTTTGTCTTAGACAATCTCATAAGGACTTTGGGTCTCACAGTATAAACCCCTCGCAGTCTGGACCATCCTGAGTACCTCTAAACACTGTCCCCCAAGAGCGATGAATTCACTTTAACCTACCTTAATGCCAAGAGTGTCTCCATCTTTCAAGTAATATGGTCCCCCTTGCAAAGTATCTTGATTTTTCTTCTTTTTCCTTTTGGCAACTTGCTGATTCTATTGGAACATCAAATATCAATAAAATTCAACTTGAAGTTTTCACTGGACTCTCTCTGCCACTGTGAAAGACCTTTGTTCTAATATCAGATCAGTCAGCCCTGGTTTCTCTGAGAAAGTCCGACTTACCCAGCTAGATATTGGAAGCCACTCAAACTTTTCAGGAAAATATTTGGCAATTTCGATTTTTTCCACAGGAAGAGAATAGAAGTCAGCCACTCTCTGCCTCAAGGAGGCAGCAGTCCATCCCTTGGTGGTGTCCCATACCAGGTCTGTTGCCAGGGAGTAGGCTCTCTCACCAGGGATGCGTAGCTGTGTCCTCAGTAGTACATCCTGGGGGCTACAGAAGAGCAAAGGAGACACAGGGCAAAAGCACAGAAAAGATGAATACTGCAGAGTGATGGGTAAGGCTCCCCACCCTTTTCCAGTTCCTCAAAGGTGCTCAGACGGAGGTGGAGACCCCACCCCAAGTCTGCAGAAGAGCTCCTGCAGCAGCATGGCAGGGGGCACAAGGCTACTCTACTGTGAAAGTCACACAAGTTCTGCATATTATCTAGAGTAAAGTCACCCTAAAAGGGGGCCAAAGCCATTCAGATTGTCTAAGAAACTCACAGAACAATCACCAATGCTCATAAAGTACAGATTTATAAGTATGTTGGAAAAAGGCACAGTCTTACTAGCAATCACAGCACTAGAAAAGTTGTGAGCAAGATGACCCGTTTTCATTTGCCAATCTGGAAGCATCTAAATGACAAATATTCAAGGTGTATTTGCAGGTGAAATCAATACTCATGAGCTCCGTGTATGGGACCAGAAACCACCAGAAAGCTTACACAGAGATGAAGCATTTCAGAGATCGAAAGTATCCACACAAGTTGGTTCCTGATCTTCCTCCCTACAGAAGTGCTCTTAGAAAGTCACTGGGGTTGACTTAGGATCAGGCCTGGATGGAAGGACAGGTTTTCCAGAACAGGCCGACAGTAAGAGCAATCTCAATTACAATGGGGAGAAGGGAGGCAAGTACTCACTGATACTTATAAAGTTTGTATACACATTTTCCCATGTGCAAAACACACATGACACTTTGATTATAGATGGTTTTGGGGTGCTTCATTAGTCTATAAATAATTACTATATCACAGATACTATTGTAGGTCTTGAGGGTGCAGAAATGAAGAAATGAACATAGTGTTTGCTCTCGTAGGCACTTATATCCCAGACCAGGAGACAGACACTTGGAAATCCATCTCAGCACACAGTGGGAAGACGTGTCTCATCAGCAGACACTGGGAAGAAGGCAGCACAGGGGCAGAATGATGGGTGGCACTATAAGTCACATGCCCTGGGGAGGGCTGTGTGGCTAATGCCTCTGGTTGTCAAGGGCTCAGGAACGCCTTGAGTATGAAAGAAAAACCGTTGCTGCTGTTATCCCAGAGTGAGTCACAGGGAAGCCATACAGATCTCTAGAATACAGTTTAGTTTGTTTTGTTTGTCTGAGGCAGGTTCTTGCTGGATAGCCCAGGCTGGCTTTATGGTGCCCTCTTGCTTCAATCACACCCAAAATTGTGGGACAATTCAGAAGCAGGGGAAACAGCACACTTCTGATCAGGCTCCTGAATTTTCAGGAAAGCTACCACTCTATGGGAAATGTGCAGCAGACTTCCTTACCCCAAGTCCTCCTCCTTCTGAAGGAGCTCTAGGCAGAGCTCCACTCTCCGGCCCAGTCTGTACTCCCTGGGAATTGAAACGGAGCAACTGAGTAAGTCACTAGGTTTTCTGTAATCCCCAGGCCCCAAATCCAAGTATTTTCCTGAAGAAAAGGAGTGCTTTCTGAATGATGCCGCCAAGCGCTCAGGCTTTCAGAAATGGAGAGCATCTACAACACTGTGGTAGCTGCTGCACAGACACTGGGTCACTCGTCACTACACAGGAAGGCCCAGCTCTGAAGATGGCAGACAGGAGTCAAACAGCCCTCTAGCCACAGTTGGTTGGATTGCTTTTTGGCTGATAATCAGACAGACATGAAGGAATGTGTTAGGGCTGCTTTTGCCAAAGGAAATCAAATGCTCCAAACACACCCATTAAGATTTCTGGAAGTGGAGTAGCTGGTCATGTGTGTCCTGAATATCAGAGGGCTCACTCTAACTTCCACATCACTCTGAAGTCCTTTAAGTTATGGTCCTGTGGTTTCTAGAGCACAGAGAAAATGTACAATGCTATGTCTGGTCTTAGTATGGAGAGGCTGATGTTCTCCCAGAGTTAACTTGGGACAAGAAGCATATTCACCTGACAAGTTGTTAAGGATGGGTTTCCTGGGATAATCTGACTTATGGGACAGCTTCCCTTATAGGCTCATCTTGCTTCCTATCCCCTACAGTGGCAGCAGGAGGGTGGCCAGGAATCCAGAGACACTTACTTGAGCTGCCGCCAGTTAGTGCGCAAGAGCCTGCTGGGGCGCTTGCTCTCCACTGTCCAGACTCTAAGCAGGGCTGTGGACTGGACATCGAGCTTGGAAACAGAAGGCAAGGCCATGGCCTAGAAAAAGAAAGAGACATATTGCCACTGATTTTGAAAGTACTTGAAAGCATCTGAATGAAACACTACATGACTCTGAGGGACGAGCACCTCAGTGTCAATGTCAATAATTCAGTCTTATTAGAAACTACAGGAGAGCTGGCTGTGGTAGGACATGCCCACAGTCACAACACTTAAGAGGTAGAGGGCAGGAGGATGAGGAGTTCAAGGTTATCCTTAGCTACATGTTTGTATTCTAGACCAGCCTGGGATACATCAGATACTGTCTTAAAAAGTCAAAACATTACAGAAATATCTGTCTTAAATGAAGTATATCCTGGTACTTTTCATATTCCTTTCACTGAAATAGACCAGAAAAATGAGCCTTCTATTTTTAAATCTAAGTTAAAAAAAAACCCCCTATTTTATTATTTTTAAAATTTAAGACAGGCTCCTGCTCTGCAGCCCAGTGTGGGTAATCCTCCTGCCCAACCCCTTGGACACTGTATATTACAGTACGGTACTGGCATTCATGGCTGAAAAACTACTGTTGGTTGTTTTGAGACAAGGTCTCTCTATGTAGTCCTGGCTGTCCTAGCACTCACTATATAGACCAGGCTGGTCTTGAACTCAGAGATCCACCTACCTCTGCCTCCCAAGTGTTGGGATTAAAGGCGTATGCCACTACATTAGAATTGAAAAACTTCTTAATCATGTTTTTACAAAGTCACTTAGCCAATTCTACATGGGTGTGACTCATACATGCAGAGCCTGCTCAAAGAAAGCAGGGCTCGTCTTCAGCTCTTATCTACATGAACACAAGTCTTCAAACATCATCTCTTCAATGACAGAACTTTTGGTTTTAAAATACTTAAGACTTTGGCAGGGAGGCCCAAACTGTTTGCTCTAACTCCATAGGAGCAGGTAACTTTAAGCACCTTTTATACTGGAGATGAAGTGTAGAAAGCAGCCTTTGTTCAGTTTTTCACCTAAAAATGGCCATCTTTTATCTTTCAACTGAGTACAAGGAATAAAAAGGTCTTCCCATTTGTTTTCATGGAAATGGCACTTAAGTCTTTCTTAAGTAGGGTTATTTCATTCACTGGGGACACAAAAGAGGACACTGCAGGTCATAAGTAGGTCCTGAATCTGTCCCTTTAGTAACTGCCATGTCCACCACAGTCTAACAGGACAAGATACCATTTCATCACTGTGTGCTATCCATCATCCAGCCTTCCCATTTTGTAAGGTGAGATGTGACACACAAGACAACAAAGCGTCCAGGTTAGGATCCTAATACAGATAGCTCTCTGCTGACGAAGGAAAACCCATACAACACAGCTTGGAACTAATGATATTTAACAAGTGGATCACAGTGTACAAACAGCATAAATGAAGAGCTAAAGGGAATGCTTTATAAGTGATTCAAGAAGTCATGTTTCTTAAAAAGTCAAAAGGAACATAAGCCACGAGCTTCTGAGGGCCAATCCAAACACAAGCACAGCATGCCCGTGGGAACTGTGTGAGTGGAAACCACTGGGCAACAGCACCAACAGATACCAGAAGTGTCTGTGTTGAATGTGGGCTGCCTGTTGGTACTTACCCCTGACCATGGCATTTAACACATGCCATATCAGGACAGACTGTAATTGGGGGAAGAGGAGATAGAAGAATAAATTAATTAATATCTCCCTGGAAGAAGCCATATCAACACCAAAGAATGCTGCGGGAAGGGGCCTGACCTGAGACTTCAGTTCCACCAAGGTGGCCTCTTCTGAGATCTCCATATCTCCCAAGTAGAGGAGAGAGACTTCTGCAGGCTCGGGGCCAGGAGCACCTTCAAAAAGACAGAGATGCATGTCTGGGTAATCCAACTTTACCTCATGTTTCTGAAGTACTCTGACATGTTCTTGGACTATAAACAGGCTCACTTAATGTCTAAGCCTCTAACCTGAGTCCTATGCATGTGCTTGTGACTTGACTGTCACTCAGCAGTCAGGGATTATGCTCTCTCCCTGTGTGACCGTTCACACCTATGCTCTTTCCCTGTGACCGTTCACACCTATGCTCTCTCCCTGTGTGACTGCTCACACTTATGCACTCTCCCTGTGTGACTGCTCACACTTATGCTCTCTCCCTGTGTGATTTCTCACTTATGCTCTCTCCCTGTGTGACTGTTCACACCTATGCTCTCTCCCTGTGACCGCTCACACCTATGCTCTCTCCCTGTGACCGCTCACACCTATGCTCTCTCCCTGATGGTTGCTCTGCTCCACTCCTCCCTGCCTCACAGAAGACTACTGGCAGGATACTCTATGTTCTTCTCTTTCTCAGAACACTTACCCGAACTTGTCATTTTTCTGTGTATTTCTGTGTGTGCATATTTAAGAGCAGGCTTTGGGGCTGGAGAGATGGCTCAGTGGTTAAGAGCACTGACTGCTCTTCCAGAGGTCCTGAGTTCAGTTCCCAGCAACCACATGGTGGCTCACAAGCATCTATAATGGGATCTGATGCCCTCTTCTGGTGTGTCTGAAGACAGTTACAGTGTACTTACAGACATAAAATAAATAAATACATTCTTAAAAAAAAAAAGAGCAGGCTTTGTAAGAGGAGACAGACTGTCGTGGTGTTTGTCTATCTACCAATATCTGTTATGATGGGCTCTATATGGAAAAGGCTCAGTAAATATTCATGGAATGAATTAAATCTTAACAACTGGATCTATGTATGCTTGAAAATAAAACCCAAACCAAAAGATACCACCTAGCTGGTGGCATATGCCTGTAATCCAGTACTTGGAAGCAGGCATAGGGAGACCACTGATGTTGGGGTCATTCTGACCTATAGCCTGGCCCAGTCAGGGCTATACAGCAAGAGTCTGTAAACTTGGTGGTCAGTGATGTGGCACAGCAGATAAAGGTACTTTTCTGTAAAAGACTGGAAACTGGAGTTCAAGTTTCCAAATCCATGTAAAGGTAGAAAGAGAGAACCAATTCCACAAAGCTATCTTACAGCTTCTACATACACCCTATGCAGAAAGGCACACATAATAATTACAAACAGAACAAAACAAAACAATGGGGCAGGGTGTATGCCAAATGTTCTCTCATGGAAACACTACAAACTAAAATTTAGGCTCAGGCTATCCATACTCATTTCTGTCACTTATATTTCTTTGATTACTATGCGACACCTTGAGAACATATACTAAGAAATTATAGGTTGATTCTACATAATTAAATGAAATTCTTTTCCTGAGCGGCTGTTTGTTAAATTCTTGCTTTTAGAGAGAGGGTCTTACTATGTAGTCCTTGGCTGGCTTTGATCTTAGTCATCTTGCTTCAGCCTCCTGAGAATGGGGAGCACAAGTACACTCTACCACCTGCAGCTTACCAGTGGTTCTTATGTGCCCCCAAAATCTAAAGACTGAAACAGTTCCACTGTGACACAGAAACACTACCCAAGGTAAATGTTTCCCTTTACTAAAAAGAGATGTTACAGTATGTGAACACACTGTTGCTGTCTTCAGACACACCAGAAGAAGGTATAGGATCCCATTACAGATGGCTGTGAGCCACCATGTGGTTCTTGGGAATTAAACTCAGGACCTCTGGAAGAGCAGTCAGTGCTCTTAACCACTGAGCCATCTCTACAGCCCTATAACCACGGCTTCTATCACCTAGGTATCTTTAGATCTACTGACAATGAACTAATATAATCTAATCGGAATAATTCTCTGCAGATGCCACAGCAGACACTTAGGAGAGAAGAACTCAACTGTTTTACATGAATCTCATTGTGGAGGTTTAAGACATATGAACAAATATGGTCATAAGATGTAGCAATCACACTATATCCCTAAAGAGGTGGACCTGCCAAAACACATGTATCCCCTTTACCCACACTTACAGTGAAGGGAAACTCTGCAAAGGCAGTTCCTCCTCTGGTGGGGTGTAGTGTCCACTGTGATACATGAGCTGCATTCTGAGTGCAACAGTAAGTTTATGCTGCCTGTACTCCAACAATTCAGCTGAGATGACACCTGAGAAGCAGCTCCTGGGGTCTTTGGTATACTCAGAAAGGCCCCAAACTATCCAGTGCATGTCTAGACTCCAGCTCTGGCTTCTGCCCTTGTGGTCATGGGTGAGGCTACAATTATGTGGCCCATGACTGTAAGTGGGGCTATTGCCATGAGACTCTTGAGAGCTGCCACATAACAAGGTCTTTGAAAAAGTAACAGGTATTAGTAATACTCAAGATCTCTGCGCTGGTTTATTTTTTAGTCAACTTGACATAAACTAAGATCATCTGGGAAGAGGGAAATTCAACTTAGAAAAAGATCTCCATCAGACTGCCTGTAGGCAAGGCCATGGGACATTTTCCTGATTGTGTGCAGTGTCATTACTGGGCAGCTGGTTCTGTAAGAAGTCAGCAGAATATGAGCCTAAGAAGCAAGTCAGCAAGCAGATTTCCCAAGTGGTCTCTGCTTCACTTACTGTGGGACCATGAAAGGATAGCTTGGTTTCTGGTGGAGCACTGGCTAGAGATGTCAGAGACCCAACAGGTATCCCTGCAAGGGACGGCAGGCATACATTTCACCACGCTCCCAGACTTTAGGCTCATGACAGGAGGCCGAAAACTTCCATTGATCCGTGCCTTTCAGTCACGTAGGGCAATGCCCCTACCAGTCCCTCCATAGGTAGAGGGTGTGACTACAGGCCGAAGAGCCTCAAGAGATCTCCATATTAATGAGATACCTAAAGGCCAGAGGGCTTAGCCAATTAAGCATTCCTTCCCAGAATCTCCTCCTTACAAAAGATATTTAACCTCAGGCCCACCCTGAGGACACAGGGTACGAGGTACAGATTCATCCACTTTCCACCATGACAATAAACATTTTAAAACCGTGGACTTCTCGTGTCTTTGCCCCACCCCCCACCCCCCGGAGAACCGTGGAGGGGGCCTTTGACTACCCAGCTGCTGTCTAATCTCCCACCGATGACCTCTCTATGTTCCAGCCATGGAGCCTACCAACTCAAGCAAGCTAGCCGAGCCAGCCATGATCCAGACAATCGAGTTGTCACCCTTCCGAGCGCTGCCAGAACTTCTCCCCCTTGCCCCTCTCGGCTTTGGGCCGGTCCAGCCCATATGCCCTCCCAACCCTAGTCCTCCTGTGGCCTCCCAGCGGTGCCTGGGAGTCCAAGGACAGAGAACACCAGTCTCCCGTCAGCTGCTTCGGCCTGGAGACCCCCGATCCGAGAGCTCTGCCCCCGTGGGGCCACAGGCTGAGATCTGCCCATGCCCTGGCAGAGTCCGGCGGCTTCTCATAGCCCAGTGTCCGCCTAGAGCTGCGTGGAGTAAACTCAGTCAAATTCCTGTGTTCCCTGAGCCGTGGTTTCAGCCGCCTGGGGGACAGATGCGGGGAACCACAATGCAGCCCAACAGGACCCACGCCCACGTGTGAGCCACAGCCCCACAAGTTCTGACCTCCAGGTTCCTGCTAGAGTTTCTATCTTGACACTCCCTTCAATGTTGGAAAACTGTGGAAAGTATGAGGCTTATTTAATTTACCCTTCCTCCCCAAGTTACTTTTGATCACGGCAGTTTTTATCATAACAGGGTGGGCAACTGCTAAGATTATAGTACTTCAAAGAGCTTACAATTAATGGATATTAGTATGAAATCATCTGTTAAAAAGGAATGACTGGATTTTCATTTTTAATTCTGTGTGTGTGTGTCCTGAAAGTAGTCTGTACACGAAGCGCACACAGTGCTCGAGGTGTCAGATCCTCTGGAACAGGAGTTACAGATGGTTGTGGGCCACCATGTGTATGGTGGGAACTGAATTCAGGTCCTCTGGAAGTGGATTTTTGATGTGAGAATTGCAGCTGACTCTTAAGAGCACTGTTTTTACCTTGGGTGGGAGCAGCTCCCCAGCTGCTACCTTGAGAAAAGGCACAGTTTAAGTGGTCCCGACTCTCACAGTGTCCTGTCAGCCCTGCAGGCTGGTACCACCAGATAGGTATCTTCAAGTGACCCTGAAGAACAGAGCATTTTAAGACTGAGTCTTTACTTCAATAGTTACAGGCAGTTGTGTGCTTCCTGCAGTTGGTGCTGGGAATCACACTTGGGTCCTCAGTATAACCAGTACATGCTGACGGCTGAGCCGTCTCTCATGTACACATTTTCTACAGTGTTCTTTGAGGGAGACTGGCGAGATCAATTATAGATCCAGGGATATAGTTCAGTGGTAGAGTGAGAGATTAGTACATGCAAGGGTCTCACTTCTGTCTCCAGCACATACAACACAAGTACCTCCGCACAGTGGGCTACCATGTAGTTATTATAGAATGAGATAACGTCATATGTACTGATAGAGCACATGCTTAGACATTAAATATGAATGAAAAAAATTAGTGAAAGTCAGGCATGATGGCTCATGCCTGTAGTCCCAGGACTTGGGAAGCTGAGGCACAAGTGCCATGAATTCAAAGTTAGCCTGGGCTACGCACAAAATATGGCACATAGAATATATTCATCTATGCAAATGAAAAATACTCCTGCATGTACATGTATACTGTATACATAGAAGACACATACTTGAGTGTACACACACCAAAGTATAAACCTCTGGAAAATACAGAGAAAATTGGATGCCAATACGGAGGACTGGGGTGGTGAAGGCTGGGGAGAGGAGATGTTCCAACTTTTCCCAGCCCAACACTTTAGATATTTGGAATTTTATATTATATTACGTATTCAAACATTAACTTTAAAGATCACTGTGCACAGATCAATAGGACTCTATAAAATTATGAATAAAAGAGCAGATCCCATATGTGATCCTCGTATGGTAAATGAACCCAAACATGGAAGATGAGTTTAAAACACTGAAGCGATGTGACCCTTCAAGGGAGAGCAGAAAGGCTGCGCAACCTCAGTAGCTCACAGCTTGTACACATGCACATTTGGAGCCCCTTTCCCCTCCTTTATCTTTTCTTTTGAGACAGGGTCTCACTGTCTTCCAGTGTCAACCTCACTGGATGACCATGCTTGGCAGAGCATTTTCTTAGGAGGATGCACAAGGGAGACATGGATATGATTCTTGCTTTTCATTTTAGAGCTTTATCATTTGACAAACAGCTTTCTATGCTGTCTGAATTTTCTAATAAGTGAATGTCATTTATCTGAATATTGGAATTTGGAAACATTTTTTGCTTTATCATTTTGCCTTTTTGCATTAAAAATGAATAAAGAAAAGCAGTGATGTGTAACGCTTATTTTTTTAAAAAAAAAGCCTCACAACAGGCAAGGCAGAAAGCTCAGGATTAAGGTGGTTGCTTGCAAGTGTGACTTGAGTTTGGACCGTAGCACCTACGTAGAAAGACACATTGCCCCTGACAAGCTGACTGGCTAGACTAGCTGAACTGGCCAGCTTCAAGTTGAGTGAGAGATGATACCTCAGTATATAAGGTGAAAAGGATAACAACTAATGTTAACTGCTGGCTTCAATATGCATGTGAACACACATGTGTCCCCTACATGTGTCCAAAAACACACAAACACTCCCCACATGTGCATCAAGAGCACACACACACACACACACACACACACACACACGGACACAGTAAAGTGAGCCCTTTCACTTTCTAAGAGGATTATTATTTGGAATGTGTCAGGAAAACACTTTGGCAATACAGATCAAAAAGGTCTTTTAAAAACATGCATACCTTTTGATTTAATAATCCTACCTTAAGTATTTAAGTACTAACTATAAGAACAAAAATTAAGGGCTGGAGAAATGGGTTAGTGCTTTCTCAGGGGACCAGAATTAGCACCATTTTTTTTTCCAGGCAAAAAGATAAAACAGTGACACCAGCTCACAATTGTAACTCCGGTTCCAGAGGATCTGGTGCTCTCTTCTGGCCTCTGTGGGCACCAGGCACACACATGGTATCCAGCCATACACACAGGCAAATACCCATATACAAAAAAATAAATAAACTCTTTAAAAAGGCAAAAACTAAAAACAAGATGAACTTATAATACTGAAAATATAAGAAATTAGATAGCAGTAAATTATTAGTTTGAATGCAATGTTAATTTCTGGACTTTTGATGGGGTTAAAATATTAAATATAAAGCCTGTTATGGTGGACACATCTTTTTAAGCCCAGAACTCAGGAGGCAGAAGCTGGTGGGTCTCTTTGGGTTCAAGGCTAGCAAGTTCCAGGCCAGCCAAGGATATATAGTGAGACCCTGTCTCAAAGAAAGTTAAATATAAAAATAGAAGAAATAACATTTTCTCTATATTATTGATTTTAAACATAATTTTAACCTAATCACACATATATTAATATTTAATAATTTTAATTTTTTTACATATAGCTATTTTAATTTTATTTAGAAATAGGGAAGGAAATCTGCCTGACTGATAAGATTTTGGCAAAGCTGTCTAATTTTTTAAGACTATATTTTCTCATTCCCCATCATCTCAGTAATCAGAAAACAGTAACTTACTTACAAAATGGCCATTTAGAAACAGTATCTTACCGGGGGAGGAAGTTTTCCTTCAGTTAAAAGCAAAGTATCCCCAGAACATATCATGAGCTCTTTCAGTGTTGCATCCTGGGAACACAGAAATTCTTTTTGTCACTTCTGAAAGGAACAAAGAGACCATTGGATCTTTTTAAAGTCTTATACTTCTATTATCTTCTCAAGAGATAAACAACCAAGCAGACACTGAAGACAAAGGAGATAAACCCTAAGGCTATGAATCAGAATGCCACTATGTATTAAGCTATGGGTAGAGAGCAGAAGAGTCACAAAGGATCTAAGGACAGACAAGGACTTGTGGGACGTGAGATGTTAGTGATTCTTGGGAAAAAGGCTGGATTTGGAAAACTAGAGGAAATAAGATAAAGAACTTTGTTGGGAAAGAAGAAAGGGAAAGTCAGGGCTGACAACAGTCAGGAGCTGAGACGCAGAAGGTGAGAGTGTACGGCACGGGGGTGGGGTGGGGTGGAGGGGGCAAGCAGCTGCACGTGAAGCAGAGCAGAGGAGTGGGCACCGGCCTGGGGTGAGAGACAGCAACAGCCGCAGCAGCCGCTGAAGATGGTCTGGGCTAGTATGAGAGGCTGTGTGGGGACCGCCTGGCGGCCAGAGAAGCTGCTGAAGTCATTTAGTCAAAAGCAGACAACTCTTGAGGTCAAGCGGTAGTCTGGCAGGGTAACGGGCAAGGAGAGAGGAGAAAGGCCAGTAGGCCCTTGAAGGCCAAGACTGCATCTCAGAAAAGCATAGAAAACTAGGATGGGAAAGAGACCGCCAAGTTTTAAGGGACTTCAGCTTTGAAAACAATGAATGTGCTTTGAGCTGAACGTCTACTACTGCTTTGGGGACTGAGTATAAAGAGAGTATGCAGGCGTGGTGGTAGACGCCTGTAATCCCAGCACTTGAAAGGCAGAGACGGGAGGGAGGAAGTCTGAGGCCAGCTTGGATCTGTAGTAATAGCCTGTCTCTGGAAAAACAGTAGATAGTTGTGCGGCAAGTGGAACTGTGTCACAGACAAAAATTGGTACAGTTGAGCAGATTCAGAAACCCTGGTACTTCTTGTATCTGAGAACAGTATACATTTCATCTACTCCCAAATCCAGTTCCAGTCCTGGAACACATGACCATGACACGCCACATGAGGACTGTGACTAGTCACAGTAGCACAGAACAGAGTTCTCCATGCTAATGAGGTACCTAGATGGGCTGGCCCAAGGGTCTGGCCAATAAGCTTCCCCTCCCTGACACTCCTTCCTGCAAAAGGTATTTAATCTCTGGCCCACCCTGAGTAAGTCATATGGACCAATTTTCCAAGATGAACAATGGATAAAGTTTGGACAAGGACTATATCTCTCATTAAGAAGCACCATAGGGGAAGCCTTCATCATACAGAGCCACGCTGCTCAGGTTTCCCACAGAAGGCTCCTCTGCTTTTCGGAAACGGACACTCAGCCCTGAGCTAGGCTGGAGTTCCCCCACCCCATCACCAGCCTGGGTGGCCCTTCATTCCTTACTCCACATGATTCCCCTGGACACCAGGAGTTTGGGAACCCTTCCTCTTCTGCCTCAGCCTGTGCGGTTTCTCACTTGGGCTCCCATCTTACGCTGCCTTCTGCCACCCCTGTACCCCAGTGTAGCCTAGTGCTCTCCCATTTTGTCTGCCCAAGTGGTACTCACACACCCCAGTGGCGGGCTGGCACTCGGACCCACAGACAGTCAAGTGGCTACCTAATTTTAACACCTCAGGGTTCTCTGATACTTGCTTCTTACTCTGTCATCCAATCCCACCAGACTCAAAAAGGTGCTCAGTGGACTTTACTGACTGATAAAGTGTCCCAGTGGGAGCTCCACTGTGCCTGTTTAAAAACGTAAACTGCTGATTCCTAGACAGACAGCAGGAAGGCACACAGGGGGACAGTGCCAACCATGGCTATCTAAGGTGCCAGAGCTTCATTTGGCCACCTGCTAAGAATGAGTGCAGACGAGTGTAGGTCTGATGCAATTTAAGACCAACTGCCTAGACAGGATCTTTGCTGCTGCTGGACCATGTGACTGGTTGGTAGAGACATTTACTTACAGAGAAATTCTGAGATCAAAGTATTTGGAGGTTGGAGATTGAGTGTCTTCAAAAGCTTCCCAGCATCCTCGTGCCATTTGCTCTCTGAAATTCTCTGCTTGCTGATGAACTACTCCTCAAGCCTTCCTGCCCATCACGGTAAATGGGGTTTACCACTCACGTCAGAAACGTCCCTACCTAGCCCACACTTGCCATTTATCAGAAAACCAGTTGGAAAACGTGAACATAAATAGACATGCTTATAGATTCTTTTTTGTATGCTAAGAAAGAATAAAAGCTTTTTTTTTCTTTTAGAATTGCTTCCTATAATGGGAAGAGGGAATTGTGTATGAAACTATGAAATAGGTTTAACCATTTTTAAGAGCAAAATGTAGAAAAGATGGACTGGCACGATGGCTCAGCGGGTAAGAGAGCTTGTCACCAAGCCAGGAGAACTTTGACCCACATAAAGGCGGAATAAGAGAACTTTCTGCATGAGTTGTCCTTTGGATGCCTGCTGGGCACACGTGGCATGCTTCCCCTCCCGTCACACACACGATATAATAAGATAAAGTATTTGAAAATCATAGAGAAAGGCTCTTACTTCTTCACACAAAGGCTCGCCAGCTTCATAGCACCAGTCCATTTTCCTTAAGTGCCACTTCTCTCCTAGGAAGGAATTAGTAGCAAGGTGAGCACTAGAGAAGATGCTGTAAGTGTTTGCCAGGAGCAAACGTCTAGAGACAACAGGTATCAAATGAGGCTCCATCCAGCAGCAGACAGTCATTGTTTGCCTGAAAATTGTCTTCCACGATATGAAAAATATTAAGTTGGTCCTTCAATTTGTTTAGTTTGCTTTTCTCCCAGTAAGAACTTGTGAATCAAAACTACATACTCACTGGGGATGTAGCGCAGGAGCAACACTTCCTGTTATGAGCAAGAGCCTGAGTCCACACACACAGCCTAGCTGAACACAAATGAAAAGAACACTGATCATAGTGTACTTGCTGCTATGCTACAGTGTTTACTTTGTAGCTTTGTAACATGTATACTAGATCACACTTGACACACATGCACACACTTTTAAGTATAGAATCTCTTCTGAAAGCCCTAGGAAGCTGAAGTTGACTCTGCTATCGCACCTGAGAAATTTCTCGGGTATACCAGGAAACCTAGCAGTTAATGTAACAAAACTAGACAGTACTTCCTTGAGAGGCATGTTCATGAAGCGGGTGTGAGTTAACACATTTTGACTGGAGTTTGATTACAGTCCTGTTTCTCAGTAGACTGGACTACCCTGGTGAAATGACAGTTGCTTTTAAAAAATGTTTTTTTCTGTGGGGAAAATGTTGAATGGGGCAAGTTTAAAAATCTGGTTATTAAAAGAATAACAATGTTGATAAATATACCTAACAGGAAAGGTATACTGACTTTTTATATTTACCTTCAGGTAAATAAGAAAGCTTCAACTTTGAGTCTCCAAAGTACCCTTCTTTCTAAGAACCTGGTTAGCTGTTAGTTCTGGTTTAAACACATTAAAATTGCCAACTATCTTCCTTCCTTTTTTTTTTTTTTTTAGGGATTAGTGGGGCAGAAGGAAGTGGGGCATCAAATGAAGGGCTTTGCACATGCTAGGGAAGTACTCTATCCCTGACATACACTATCAGCTCTTGTTTTGTTTTTTGTTGTTGTTTTGAGATAGGGCATTGCTATATTGCCAGTCTGTCTTAGAACTTTTGTTTGTTTTTTGAGACAGAGTCTCTATATAACTCTGGCTGTCCTGGAACTCACTATGTAGATCAGGTTGGTCTGGAATTTAAGGAAATCTGCCTGCTTCTGTTTCCCTGGTGCTATCCCAGGGCTGGTGGCCCTGAGTTTTGTAAAAAAGCAGGCTGTGCAAGCCACAGAAGCATGCCAGTAAGCAGCACTCCTCTACTGCTTCTGCATCAGCTCCTGCCTCCAGGCTCCTGCCCTGTGTGAGTTCCTGTCCTGACTTCCTTGGGTGATGGACAGCAATGTGGAAGTCTAAGCCAAATAAACCCTTCCCTCCCCAATTTGCTTTTTGATCATCATGTTTTCTTTTCAGTAACAGAAATCCTAACTAAGACTAGTTGATATAGTGCTGGGGCTAACAGTGTGTGCCTTCATGCCCAGGGGCCTACAATTTTTGATCTTTCTGCCTCTCCCTCCAAATGCTGGGATTATAGGAATGGGGCAGCACATTGGGCCCTTATAATCTAAGTATATATATTTAAAAATATCATTAATGAGTTACAAGTGAACATCATCTTTTTACTGCACTGCAGAATGACAAAAAGATGGGCCCTGAAAGCAGAGAAATGCTCCCCATTGAAAGACTGGGACCGTCTTCTAGAGTCTTGAAGCCTCTACAGACTAGGACTAGGTGGAGATCCTTGTAGGGCTGTCGGGCTGCTACAGGGTACACAAAGTACTGCAGGAAGGCCGTGCATTGGGAGTATATTCACTTCCCTCCTGTGAGAGGGCCAGGGCTTCTGCCCATAAAGACGCTTGAGAACGACAGAGAATGACAGCAGGCACTCTGGCGCCTGGCCAAGCTGACTGAAGTCATTCTGCATAGGAAGCACTTTCAATTGTTCTCAACCTGTTTTCTTCATTTGTATTACATTTTCTAATCCACAACACAGAAATAAACATGTGTAATTAAATTTTGGATATTGTGATTTTTTTTTTAGAAATCAATAAAAGACCTGAACAGTCCCAGGTGGTAGAAACCTTAGCTTTCTCTGTGTTAAACCTCTGCCAGACCCAACTTTACTTATCTTTACTTAGCACCAATCTGCGGTTACTTTTAATTTGCAGATAAGAACAGGAGAACTTGTTATGTATGCACAAAATTTAAGCTATATTTTCCTCACAACTCTCACAGAAAGAAGCCAACTTGAGAATTCCTCATGAAGCTTCCAGGTAACTGTTTTAAAGGATGTGAATAAGGTTTCATTATCACAGTAAAATAACTTACCTTGCTGACCTGACTTCTCCAGCATTATCTTTAAACACTGTAAAAAAAAAAAATATGTTCAGTTAGTTTTTGTTTCTGATCTTCATAGGGAAGAGAAATCCAGATTTTGAACCTGGAATCAACTGAAGTCTGAATCTACTTCAATGTTCATGGATTAAAAACACACAGTTTCGATGATTCACAAGCTAGCTCTCTTCTAGGACCGAAGTAGGGCAATCCAGATAGGGAAACAGTTTCTGCCACTTTCAGCCAGGACTGTTCACAATTCTAGGCCTGGCAGGTAGCATATGATTGTAATTCCAGCCGCTTAAGGGTCAAATACACACTACGACAAAGCCAGAAACATTTAATTCACTTATTAAAAGGACAGGCAGAGTGTGCATGACTGAGTTCTGGATACACTTAGGAATCCTACACAGAGAAGCCAGCCTGAATTAACACCCAGAAAACATTCCACACAAAGAACTATGGAAGTCCTGACCTCACAGCACAATGTAAAACATCAGACAACATGTGCTAAAGACTGAAGGAAAAAAGCATAATTAATAACACCCACTTCCTGAGGGAAACATTCCTAAACCAAACACGTCTTAAAGAACAAAGTTTGAGAGATACTTCCTAAGAGCAAGAGAAGTGAAATTTGGCTTCTTCTCATTACCTATCAGAGACCTGAGGTCTAGTTTTAGAAGGAAAGTGAAACATGTCTAACTTTTTGGTCCCTAGCATCTACTACAGTCCAGGTGACCAGGATTTCCTTGTAGGGCTTGCGTTGTGTGTGCATGTGAATGAGGGGCATGTATGTGGACTCCATGTATCATTTTAGGTAACAAGTTCTTGGTATGTAACCCTGCACAGCCTGGCCCTCACTGTGTAGCTCAGGCTGCCACAACATACAATGCCCCTGCCTCAGCCGTCTGAGAACTGGCATGGAAGCACACCTCCTTTCATTTTTTTCCCCTTCAAACCCTTTTCTTAAATTTTTTTCCTTAACACAGTCTTATTCTTCCTGAAGTTCAATCGTCCCATGTTGACATGTGGACCTCAGCCTCTACAGGAAGCTTCACGGTCTTTTGTGATGACACAATGCAGCTTGTCATACACTTTTTTCCTGATCTACACCAAGTACTAGAATTTACTCCAGGATGCCCTGGTTCCTCTGTCTAGAACCAAGTAGCTAAGTCTAGCAGCTATCCCCTGGGTGCTAGGGCTGCTTCCTGCTACTAGGTTGCTCAGGGGTTGTAAACTGTGGCAGGGGATAAAGCAAGAAAACATATAGGTTTTAAGAGAAAATAGATGTAGTTCATTCAGAATCTTCGAAGTCAAATACAGGAGTGAAGGCTTACTGAAAATCCCAGCTCTTACTGACACCAACACAATTATTCATTTCTTTCCTTAATATACATAAACGTATAAAACCCCTCAACCCTGTTGTGTGATTTTATATGTATATTAAGTAGGAAACATATCAAAAGGCTAGTGAGATAATCGATAATGAAGGGTTTCAGCATTTTCCTTTTAAAGCCTTTTCTCGTTTAGAAATGTGGTTTCTGTCACTCAGGCTGTCCTTGAAGTACTATATAGACAAAGATGACTCCTGAACTCCGGATGCTTCTGCTTCTACCTTCAAAGTGCTGGATTACAAGTGTGTACCACCCTGTCTGCATAGCTCAAACTTCTGTAGTATTATCAATCATCAGAAAAGTAAAAAGTAACAAGGACAATTTTATTTAAAAGTCTCAGTTGGCTCAACCAACTTCTGAATTTCTTTTTAATGAGCACAAACAGTTTCTGAAAGCATAACTGTGTAAGCCCTCAGCTTATAACTTCCGAATCCTGACACAGGACATCATGGCCCCCAAGCCCAAAGCAGTTACTTACATCTCTCACTGAGAGGGCTTCTTCTACTATGACTTCCATCTCTGCCCCAGGGTGAATGTCAGTCCCCAGAGCAAAAAACAGGAACAGCTATGAGCGAGACAAAAGCATGAAAACCATTCTCCTGAACTAAAATACTCTACAAGCTTATTATTTATTTTCAAAAAAGTAAGTCAAAGGCCCACAGAGAGCTAATCAAAAGGTCAGCGGCTGGGAGTGGTATTTTGAAGGCCCTGGGTTTAACCCAGAATTGAAAAAAAGATGCAGGCAGGCAGATAAAACAAACACCAAATTTTGTGAAAACAAGATGATATTGAGTAATTTCACATCATCATTTAAACAACAATTGCTCCCTTTCCTGAAAGCAAAAGTAAAATGCTACCCATAAGAACTGGACTCCTAGAACTTTTCACACCATTTTACCAGTGTTCTCACTTAGGACTCAGTCACTCCACAGGAATCTGTAGTCGTTGTACACAGTATGCATGATCTGTGCTTCTGGAACATTTAACTTATTCCACACACTGCTGTCCCACAGCCCCACAGGAAGAAACGGAATCTCCTCTCATCAGTTGGGCTCCTTAGAGCAGGCCTAACTCTACCTCACTTGCCACAGCTTGCCGCACCTGCTACTTGCTAGCATTCCAAGGAAAGCAGGCTGAAAGTGGTTGGGGAAGTCATAAGATGTATCTAGGAGTCACAGGGAACAGGATCAAAGTCCAGACTGCCTTGATTAAGGTAGCAATGGAGCTATGCTAATAACATTTCATTTTCTAGGGAGACCCTGGCAAGGGATTCATTTCGTGGTATTTTATATAGAAGGGGATGCCGAGGAGGAGGATGGCGAGGGAAGCTGGCATTTATATCCCTACAAGACTCACTTAAGCCCAGTTAGTGTTTGGAGTTTATAACACATACTGGTTCAAACTGGTAGCCCCTCAACTTTACAAAGTCTTCTCAACTACAAGAAGAACCTCAGAAATATGCTTTGGAATGGTATTTTTTGTTTCAACAGTATAATAGTATAAAATTTAAAGAAATTTAAAGAAACTTTTACAGAAAAACAGTATTCCTGGAGCATTAAATATATCAGTTACAAAATACAGACATTTTAGTTGGGAAGGACCAAGTCTGCATGCTGGGCCATACTATACCTGAGAGGAAGTTGGTGCTTTTCCCAGACACAGTGCCATGGAGCTCCCCATCTTCACCTCTGCTTCTTCCAAAGTGCTAGTATCTGGTACTGTGAGGAAATTTGATAACCAAGTGAATATTTTGAATTCCTACCTCTCTTTAGTAAAATGACATCATTTTCTTTGAAAACCAAGAAGATCAAGGCTGGGCTCAGAAGGAAAATCTGTACTTATCCTGGAAGGCCCTGAATTCCACCCAGCACCACCACAGCGTGACTAGCTCTCTATGCACACTCTGAGAGAAAGCAGTGAGCTGTGACTCATGTACAAGTAGCACGTGTGCTATGTTACGGTAATTCTCACATCCCTACACTTCTCTCCTTACCCCTCGCTAAGGAACATGATTCATACTTAATGAACATGATTGGCCAAAGACTTGTTTCTACAAATTTAAAAATCTGCACAGTGGACTTGCTTCATCCACATTTAAAGTTGTGACAGTGAGAAACATCAGTTATTAGACTCATCTGTGATGTAGTCAGGGCTGATCTCAAGAAGTGTCAGAAAACTGGGAAGTAAAGACTCTATTCATAATGGTATCCCAATGAAATGAACAAGCAGAGAGACCTAAGAGGTCAAGCTACAAAGACCTTAGACTACACCATGACCACAACAAGGACTGAGGCATCAGAAAGAGCTTTTAAGAAAACAGAGATGGTGTAAGTCTTTCTGTAAGGAATAAGATATTTGGATAGAAATACCTCCAGAAGTCAGTTTCCCGAAGGTAACTTAGGAATGTGAGATATGGAAGCCAGTGTTTACTATCCAGGTGTTCTGAATGAGAACCTGCTAGTCTTTGAAAGCTGCCAAGATTTACCTGGACAAAGAAGCTTCCCGTGTCTATCAATGGGTCTCAAACAGCTATTCTCAGCTGTGAATGAAAAGAAGGTGGTTAACTACTAAGCAAAGAGCTCTTAAGTAATAATACTCTACTATGTTAATGACAGTGAGTACAATAGGCTAACCTCCACCCCCAAAAAGCAAAGCTCCAGGTGAGCACAGTGGCTCTGTTTTCTGTACTCTCAGTGCTCACTCAGGAAGCCAGGGAAGAAGAGTCACGGACTCAAAGCCAACTTCAATTACACAATGTCTCAAGAACAAAACAAAACAGAATACTCCAACAATCAAAAAACCAAAAACCAAACCAAAACAAAACCCCAAAACAAACCTCATATGTGGATAACCTTCACTTTGCAGTCTTGCAATACCATATAAATAGCTGAAATGGTTCAGTGGAAAAATTACAACTAGTCAATGACTTTAGCATATTTTTTTCCCAAAACATTAAAAATTGTAAGGTTACACATGGTTCAGGAAAAGAAAAAAGTAAAATGAACACGTATACGTACATTTAAAACACTAGAACCAGAGATGAACATTTCTGTCTTGCAGGACACTGATCAAAAGCAGGGTGTGATGCTATGTACCCTTACTACAAGCATTTGGGAGAAGGAAGCAGGAGGGCTGCTGAAGTCAGCTTGGTCTACAGAGTGAATTCCAGGCCAGCCAGTGCTAAACAGTGAGACCCAATCTCCAAAATATAAACCAGGAACCAAGTCCAGAGCGTGGACAAGGGTTGTCTTCCCCTTGTGGGGCAGCTGGTGGAGGGGCATGAGGGGATTTCTTGCCCCTTGGCAAGTGCTTGTACTTCTGCCATGAGCTCAGCTCCCAAGACTCTTTCTGTATTTAATGTTGGAAAGCACCTCTGCGAGCTTGTTCAATGTGAAGTTTTTCTCCAGCATCATTTCTCCTGGAATGTTTGCATTTTTAATACTGTCCTCACTTAAATCACTGTTTGCCTTTTAGCAAATTCCTTAGCTTCATGTCTGGAGCCTCTTGAATGTCAGCTATGTCACCATTCCTGTCAACAGTGGCTGCTTCCCTATTGTGACTTCTGTTTCTTTAGGTGCTTTCTTTCATGATGTATTCATGTACAATGTCAGGTAGGCTTATGACTGGGAGAGAGGGAGCAGAACTACACACTTTACTGTCTGTGTGCAGATATGCATGAGACACACACTAGCCAGTCACCACTGAACTTGCAAGTAGGGAAGTGACCGGTCTGATGTGTGACTACAGAGCTAGTAACTGTGGGTAGGGTTAGCCAAATGCTCACTGAAATCAAACTATTTAACTGAAATTCAAGCAAATTCCAAGTGTGCAAAGCAGACCGCCTGCATTTCAAACACACTTAGCAATGGATGAGGCCAGCATGCACTGTTGAGGATACGGACTCCTGACCCTGAGAAGGAGCACACTAAGTTCTTAGTCAAAATAGAATTCTTATAGTGAAAAGCATGAACTTGGAAGGAAGAAGTGTCAAGACTTCTGAGTGGACAAGAATGAGCAAGCTTAAAACAGTCTAAGTTTAACAGAGTGGGATAGACTTTCCTCCTGAGACTTCAGAGTTCTGTCTTGTGTACTGTGTTGTTATGAAGCTGGGATACATTTTAAAATATAAATTTCTTATTAAAGAAGTAGATAAAAGTATTTCCCTAGTTTAAGAAAGTGGATTTTAAGTACAGTGCTTTTAAGTCATTTTTTTTTCAGTCCTAGCTGAGTATGGTACTGTATGCCTATAGTTCAAGCTACATGGCCCAGTGCAAAAGGGTTTCTTGAGCCCAGAAACTCAACATTGAGGCAAGGTAACATTGCAAAACAAAGCCCTCATATCAGACATGACAGCTATCAAGCATGACAGCCATGGACTCTGCCCTTGCACAGTCTCATCTAATGGGAGAAGTGAATGGTTATGGTACAAATAAAAAAAGCAGTTGCAGCTATAAACACTATAAAGCGAAAGTACAGAGTGTTAGGGGTGAAGCCAAAAGCCTGAGACTGCATGGTCAGAAATAAAAGAGAATATTTAGGTTAAGAACAAATGGATAGCTCAAGTTAGAGATAAGAGTGCAAAGGCAAAAAAGTCCAGAGATCAGAGCATGGACAGTCTCCAGGTAGACAAGAACTTGTACAATGGGGGTCCCAAAGGCAGCATGTATAGTCTGCTGTGAGTCAGAAGGACAGTGGCAATGAAGTCATAGATAGACAGGTCCTGACTGCAGGTCCCACAGGAGGTAGTTTCAGAGTTAGTGAAAGAGTAGTGGAAAAGCAGAAAGAGCTCTGAGAGGGGGCAGAATCTAGCTCATGGAAGTGGATAGGATCCCTTGCTGCATGAGACACAGTGTGGAGGGAGAAAAAGCAACAGGATGAGGAAATCAGTTACTGGGCACAGTATTGATTCCCACTTCCTGAATAAGCCATATGCCTTTGGTAAACTTTACTGGTGTATTTTTACTTACAGTAATACAGTCCAGTCTAAGAGCACACATTGAAGAGCTTGATAAACATACACGTACTCGTACACACCACACCATCAAGCTCCAAGTTCCTGCTGTGCTGCTCTGCAGTCAACTGCTCGCTACACCCCCACCCGCATCTGCCTTCTTGACTGCAGCTTAAACTTTAGTTTCCTAGAACACCTCCTGTGTGGAAACATCGGTTTACATTTGTTTGTGTCTAGTTCCCTTCATTTGGCACACGACTACTGAGAGCCATGCATGCTGTGTGGAGAGTGCCGCTCTATAGACCACAGTGCCCACTGACGGGCAGCTGTAGTTAGCTTATTTATTCACTCCCTTGCTCATAGACATGCGGCTTGTTTCCAGTTTTGGGTTATGAACATTTACGTTTTTATAAGGTTGTATGTTTTACCTTTTCTCCAGTAAATATCTAGAAATAGAATTGGTACATTAATGTTTGAATTTATAAAAACCAAGCCAAACAAAACTAAACAAAACCCAAACCAAACAACAAAAAACCAAGCAAACAAAAATCAACCATGCAAACCCAACCCTAAGTTTTCCAAAGAGAATACAGCGCTTACATTCCCTGCACACAGGAGCTCCACATTTGGTTTTATTGAGACTGGATATTGCCCACGACAGAGGTGTCATGACTTCCCTCTGCTAGCTGTTGACACTGTCCCTCTCTCACAAGCAGGTCTTCCGATTTGGGCTGGGATGTCTTTGGATTGGGTTACAAGTACTTTTTATAAATTCTGTATCCAAGTATAAATGCATATTTTCTAAGATTTTCTCCTAGTTCATAGCTTGCTTTTTCAAATGTCCTTTGAAGAGAACTTGTCATGGCTACTTTGGATAATTTATATTTTTTTTCTTTATATATTCTTTCATGGTTTGAATGTGCTTAAAAAAATTCTTTTCCACATAGTTATGTCATCAATATTTTCTTCAAGAAATTTTATTCTTTTTAGTTTTAGTGTTTAGTTTTATATTGATTTAAAAATATTTTACAAGATGGAAGGTAAAAATGAAGTTCACTTTTGCACACATGGAAGCCAATGATCCAGAACTATCTATGGTACACTGGCTTCTTCTTGAAACACTGCCTTAAAGGTGCAAAAACTCTTCTTTGTCCACTGTAACAAAAGTGGGTTGTGTACATCTATATGCTCTACACATCTTCCTAGATGCCAACAGATGTGGCAGAAGAGTCTGAAGCCACACTCTGCAGCATTCCTGCAAAGCTGTTATGGCTACTTTAGGGCTTTTGTTGCTGCTGTTGTTTTTGAGACAAGGGCTCACTATGTAACCCTGGATGGCTTGGAACCTGCTTTATGCAGACCAGGCTGATTAAGCTCTCACAGAGATCTACCTGCCTGAGTGCTGAGACTAGCCATACCTGGTTACTTTGAATTCTTTGTATTGCCATGCAAATTTTAGAATGGCATCATCCACTAAAAAATAAAACTGCTAGTGTTTTGAGTGAGAAAACACGGAATCTAGGGAGATAAGCTCTTAGCAATACTGTGTTTTCTGATCTATGAACATGGCCTCCTGTTCCCTCTATTCATGTGTTGTTCTTTAGTTTCTTTCTGCCTGTTTTCTAGTTTCCAGTGTACAGATCCTGCATATATTTTTCCAAATACATGTTTAATACATAATGATATTATTTTTGTTTTCTGGCAAACATATCAAGGCAAACACTTGAAATTCTAACATAGGAAGTTAAGGCAGGAGGATTTTTGAGTTCCAAGCAGGCCTGGGTTATATAGTGAGACCCTATATCCAAAACAAAACAAAACAAACAAAAAACCCCCAAACAAATAAATAAATAAATAAACAAATACAGTTTTCTCAGTTTTGATATCCATTTTGTTTTTGTTACTGACAAGTTCCTGCATATTAACGTTATATTCTTGCCTTTAATGAGATACCCATTTACATCCACTGACAACAGAACGGGGCCATGATAAACATGAGCAAGGACTTGGAGAAGGTGCGCCCATGACACACTACTGAGATGGTAAACGGTAAATGCTTCAGCCTTCAGAAAGTGTATGATAGTTCCTAATAAAACTAAACATAAATTTGCCAGACGGCCCAGTTAAGTCTGACCAAGAGCCCTTGAAGCGCATGTGCACACAAAGAGTCATGTTGAAGTGTGCACAGCAGCATTACTCCAAAAAGGCGAATGAAGTGTGGACACCCTTACAACTGAATGGAAGCCACCACGAGAAGAGATTAAACTCTTGGAAGGTTCTAAATAGTGTACAGACCGAAAAGACTCGTATGCTAAGCGACAAGAAGCCAGACACAAGTCTATGAACCCCGTGGCTCCATTTACAGAGAATGTCCAGAAAATGAGCTGACAGAATGCCAGGAATGTTCCTGGAGTGATGGGAGTACTCTAAAACTGGACTGTGGTGTTCTATATTTATACATTCCCGACTGTCACTAATTGACACACTCAGGATGAGGACACTTTATGATCCCTAACTTACATCTCAATGAAGCTAGGAATAAGCAGTAAACGTGTAGACTTCCCACTATAAATTTTATAAAAACACACAAATATACCTAAGCATACAACATATAGTACATTATGAATACAGTTGAGTCAGGTATCTCACTGTCTTGGGGAGAAAGGAAGAAAGGTCTGAGAAAGACACAGAGAACTGTTTTTATGTTTCAAAAACAAACACATGGAAAAATATTAACATTTGTCCATTTTGGGTGGTAGGTATGAGAGAGTTCCTTAAATTATTTTTTTGTACTCTTCCATTTTTTAAATAAAAGAACAAAATTAAGAAAAAAAAAACCAAAAAGCAAATAGAAATGGTTACCTAGTTCCTTCATTAATTTTAATTCCTTTATGGCTTTAATTCGAATATCAAACACCACCTAAAATAGAGAAATAAACTAATGACTGTGTATAGATTGAATGGATGGAGATGAAAATGAAAATTATCAGTGTTTACACAGAAATCATTTTGAGATATTACCTGACATTTGTTTTGCCTACAGAGTTTTTTAGCCATCCCTGACATTATTCTGTAAGATTGAAAGCAAAAGCTCAGAATAGATCCTAATAGTTAATTAAGTTTTTACCAAACTGATTTTAACTGGGACAAAAGGATACCAATGAAAATGAAAGAAATAGTTCTCCCTGGAAAGCAATAAACTGACAACCACTCACCTGATAAAAGTCAAGGAAAGAAAACAGTGACAGGCCCATTCCTCACAATGGGAACAATGGATTTGGGACCCCAGAACAGAGTATAAAAGGTATAGCAGCAATCCAAGATGACTATGGCTTTTATTTAAATGACTTTTTTTTCTTTTTGAGCCCACATTAGGCCAATATCCTCTAGAGCATCAAATGCTGGTAAGACTTACAGGTGAGAGTGATGTCAGAAATTATGTACTTGCCCCTCTACCAGATCCCACAAAGTGCTAAGCAGCAGCAGCAGCAGCCTCAAATGACAAAGGGCTTCTCCAGCACTTTCTACATAGATCAGGTACTAGTGTGCACTGATCCTAGACTGTCTTTCTAAGAATACTAACAAACATCAAGCTCCGTAAGAAATTCTAATGCCAAGGATTGGCAAGATGGCTCCAGGGGGATGGTGTCTACTGCCAAGTCTAATGGCCTGAGTTTGATCTTTGGACTCTGCATAGAAGAGAGAGAGAATGAACTCTGACTTCCACACGCATGCCTGTCCCCACAAATAAATAAGTGTAAAGAAAAACATTTTAAAAGAAATTATAAAATAATATAAATCATCTTAGTAAGTTTCTATTTCTTTGGTATAGAAAAAAATCATTAATATTCTAGTAACAAGTAAATATAAAAATATGTTTCCTTGAAGTGCCAGGGTGGGGAGATACCCAGGAGAGCCCCCACCCACTCAGAGAGGAAGGGGAAGGGAGAAGGTTTGGGAGAGTGTGACCAGGAGGAGAGCAGTGAGTAGGCTGTAAAGTGAATAAGTTAAAAAAAAAAATGTTTTCCTAGTCAGATGTGGTGGTGCATTCCTTTAATCTTAGCACTCAGGAGACAGAGGCAGGTGATTTTTGAAGTTTGAGTTCAGCCTAGATAGTTCAGGACAGCTAGGACTATATAGAGACCTTGTCTCAACCTGCTCCTCCAAAACAAACAAACAAACAAACAAACAAACACACAAATGGTACCAGAGATTATTTTTAACAAAACCAGAATCACTGCCTTCACACATAGCTAGAGGAATACTTTTTAAGGGTAGTTGGTTTTGCATAGGACACAGTGTATAAAAAGAGTAGTTAAGGATAAAAATGAAAAGTTGGCAACATAAGAAGTAAAATGACAAATATACACATGTGCTTTAAACAAGGTGGAGATGATCTATGACAACAGTTCTTCATGCTTCTCCAATCTAGAGGACTCCAGAAGCCACCCAGGGGAGCCCCACATTCTAGTTCTGAGCTTCTAGGCTTAGGAGTTTAGAAGCAGAGCTCATACTGCGTTGAAGTAGGCCACTGGTTGATGTAAGGAAATAAGCACTAAGAAAAGTAAGAAGACTTTAGATGATATCTAGACTTTAGATGATATCTATTGACACAGATGTTCTGAAAGACTGACTCTGTTTTATAAATAAAAATTCTGTTGCCAGACACTACAAGCCAGGTTAATGGCTGTCTACTTACTGTGTGCATGGTCACGGCTATCTGAACCTGCTTCTCTTCAGACTCTGACTGGCAGAAATTTTTCACTTGGAGCCAGTTGAGCTCATTCATACTGTTGGTCCGCCTCCCTTGTTTTGGCAATAGACTGTAAGAAGAAAACATTGAAAGAATGAATCCTTACAAGACACTCTTCCTTGGGTATCACTGTCCAGACTCGGCATGTGTCCCCTAAAAGGACTAAAGGGACAGGACCACACTTTACTGACTTGCTACCATGACATTAGTTGTTTTTAGGGCAATGTGAGGCAGTAGTCTATGAAGCCAGTTTTCACAGCTCCAAATCCTGAGTGACTTGTGCCTGCTTTCAAGGGGAATTTTTTTTCTACACAAGATAAGGTCTTCATAGCCCAGACTGGCTTTCAATTCATCATGTAGCCAAGGGCAGCCTAAAACTCCCAAGTCCTGGGAAAACAGGCAGGTATGTATCATTACATTCAGCTTGAAGGGTCACTCCTATAAAGGAACAGCCACCTGTTGTCTTCCTGTACAGGAATCCCTAGAGTGGCTTGAGAAGACCATCAAAGCCTGCGCATTGGGGTCTGGATTTAACAGCAGGGCAGCTGTGTACATACATGTAGATTGACAGTGCACAAAAGTGCCATACATATATACATACAGTCATACACATCAATACATTTGTATTCCATTGAAGACTTCTGTTTTTTATGGTAGCAACTAGAAGTAAAGTTTCTTCTCCTAACAAAATCTTTCTGTGGACTGAAGAAATATATGGGCTATCAAAAGCTCTTTTGGGAAGTACAGAGGTTTGAATATTTGGTGGAAATGTTTGGGAAGGATTAGGAAGTTCAGTCTTGTTAGAAGAGATATGTCACTGGGGACAGGTTTGAGATTGTAAAAGCTCACACCATTACCAGTCTCAGTCAGTCAGTCAGTCAGTCAGTCAGTCAGTCAGTCAGTCACTTTTTCTCTCTCTACCTCCCTCCTACTTGTGGATAAAGTTGTAAATTCTCTGCTCCAGTGGCATGCCTGCCTGTCACCATGCTCCCTGCCATGACGGTCACGCACCCTAACTCTCTGGAACCATGAGCCTCAAGTTAAATACTTATAAGTTGCTTTGGCCATGCTATCTTATCACCCTAAAGACAATTCTACTCTTTGTTTCAGTTACTGCACTGATAGCAGACCTCAGAATATAAAATGCAGTTTTAAGCATGAAGATGTTCATGAAGACTACCTTACAGCAGTGGACAACTAGAGGATGATGCCAGTGGCAAAGATGGCACCACAATGAGCATATGCAATGTGTGACCACTTAACTCTTCCAGTCCCTACACTCTATGAAGTGGGTATTCACTGTCAACTCATCTTATGGAAGAAACTGAGCAGAGAGTGGCATAAACTTGTCTAAGCTCACTCTGTTGATTACACAGCAGACTGGAAACAGCCCAGGCACTGGCTGGAGTCCTCATCCTTACCACTGGGTCACACCACCTCACTTAGGAGTAGCTGGGCAAATGATGATGGAAGCCTTCAAAGGAGGCTTACAGAGTTTACAAACACACGTGGGGAAAGCAAGACACAGACAGCTATTTATCAGAGAGATAATCATTAGTGTGCTTAAAAGGACAAAAACCTTCCAAATGATGATTTCAATTTAGAAGACAAGGAGAGCCACCAGGACACCAACAGTGACCAGACCTGCATCCTAACAGAGGGCTGGGATCGCCACTGTCCTTGTGTCATCTCCCAAGTCTAAATGAAGACTGTCTGTTATAAAGAGCACATGATCCACTCTCCTATACACAAGAAAGAGAAGCACAGCTGACGAATACATCTCCTTGGAGGACCACAAACGTTGACAGGCTCTGCTTCTCAGCATCTCACACAGGCTGCAGAAATGCAGGGACACAGACACAGGAGCACGAAGGTACAGAGCTTCAGAGTTTCAGATATGGCTACAGGGTTCAGGGTAATTTCTCCAGGCAAGTGCCCCTTTGGGAAGGCTGGGTCTCTCCTAAGAATTGCAGAGAATACTACAAGGAAAGCCTAAATTGTCCTATGAATCTCTTTTCTCTTATGAGAATAAGCTTTTAGTTTTATAACTCAATCAGAATTCACTTGATAGGATTTTGTCTATAGATAACTAATTGAGGACATATTTATAACAGTTTTTTTCTCTAAGTTATACAAACCCAAACATTCCTCTGTACATTTGAGAGCTAAGCCTGATGCAACTAGCACTTCTGATGTGGAGGCAGGTGGATCAGGAGTTAAGGCCGGCCTCTCCTAAACAGAGGCTGAGGCTAGTCTGGACTACACAAGATCTTATCTCAAAACTGGACAGCAGGAGACGTTGAAGCAGGTGTGGGTGAAGGTGTTTGTGACACAAGCTGACAACCTTGATCCCTGGAGCCTATGTAAAAGGTGGAAAGAGGGGCCCACTCCATTGTATTTTCCTTTGACTTCTACATGTACGTACATGTGTGTGCACATGTGCACACACACAAACACATACACACACATTATTTTTTAAAAGAATAAACAACAAAATACAACTCAACGCTAGAAATAAAGGAACATTTACTTATCACCAAAATAAAGCTTCTGAATTCTACAGGGTAATGCTGTAGTTAAATTACTTTGAAAGTTCTCCCCATTTCTCTCTTTGATGAGTTACCTGCTATCATCACTGCCTGAATCCTGAACCAAAATTAAGCTTCCATTTTTGAGACCTTGTTCTCTGAATGTTTTCTTCATGTCTTCTTTGGGAATAGCAGTCCAACACTCTCCATCTGCAGATTCCACACTGTTCATGAGGATGACACCTACTGGGGTGCCCAAAGCTGTGAGCACCATGCCCACTTCGGCATTAGCGGGAAAGACATGTGGCGACTCCACCAACTGTTCACACTTGGAGCCTTCACCACTTAGTTCTAGATGAAGAATGTGTAACAGCAGAGGTTCACAATCAAAACCAGTCTGAATCTGGACTCCACCAACCTGCAACAATATCAATACAACACTAGTGAAATTTATGTTTGCCAAACTAAAGTAAAATAAAAATTATTCTATCACAGGGAAAACCTATTCTTGTAGTTTTCCAAGAGAATAGTTTTTTCACACCTCCTTTTTAAGTACTAAAAGAACAATTTTGAATTTTATGTTGAAAATTTCTCTTATCCATCTTTTCTGACTTGAAAGTAGAGATTTATGAGTTTTCAAATGGTGGTAATGAGGCCCTGGAAACCCAGAGGACCAAGAACAGGCCACAGGACATCTGAGATGCTCCTCCGACCTGAGACAACGGTCACTCCTGCCATTCCTACTTTAGCACTCCTGGCCACAACTTTCTCTATCCCTGCAGCTGTCACACACACACACACACACACACACACACACACACACCCTATAGCCTAAGGTGCAGTTATTTACATAAGAAGGCCATTGATGACTAACTTATCCTGCATCAAGCATGTGACATACAGTCTGGTACGATGGAGGTGCTTAATTACGTTTGTGCATGTGCATTTGTGCATACAGGTGTGCAAGAACACACACTGTATGTATATATGTGTGCAGCCAAGACCTTGGTTGTTCTTCCTTTTGAGACAAGGTCTTGCACTGACCTAGAACTCACCAAGTAAGTAGGTTAAGCTGGCTGGTCATTAGTCCCAGTAATTATGTCTATCTCTGCCTCCCCAGTGCTGGGATTACAAGAACAAGTAACCATACCTGCCTTTTTACATAGGTTCAGGGCATCTAATTCAAATCCTAAAGTACTTTCCCTATGGCACAATCTCCCCTGCAATCCAAATATTTCTTTAATCTATCTAATAAATACCACTGACTAGATCTCAAAAGTACTGAGCATTCCAGAGTTTCCTTTTTTTCCTTTTTCCTTTCCTTCCTCTTTTCTCCTTGCACCTCCTTTCAGTTTCCGAGACAGAGCTTTACTACATATCGTAGAGCTAGCCTGGTACTCACTATGTGGTTCAGGTTGCCCTTTAACTTGAGTAGTAGTTTTTCTATCTCAGGCTCCTTGGAATACATGTTCACCACCATACCCAGTTCATTTCAGTAATTTTCTGATGGCTAACTGCATGCTGAATAAAATTTCATTACAATGTGTTTTTTATGTTTGTTTGGTTTTGTTTTTTTGTAATGAGACATGGTTTCATGTTGCCCAGGTTAGCCTGGAACTTACTATATATTGGAGGATGGCCCTGAATTTTGATCTTCTTGTCTCTACTTCCTGAGTGCTGAGATTATGAGTGTGTGCTACCGTCACACTTAGTTGTATGCAGTGTGGGGAACTGACCCAGGCGCAGGCTTCATGTACGATAGGCAAGCAGTCTACCAGCCGGGCCACACCCCAGCCCTGCAGCAGAGCTGTAAAACATCCTACATTATTATCAACACTTCTTCAGCTGTTCTTACCTCTACCCCATTCCATACAAAGATGTCTTCACCATCAGCAATCTCAGCTTCACAGAGTGTCAGTTCATCTCCTAGAAAGATGAGATACTCAACTCATTCCCCATGACCACAAATACAGCTAAGCTAAAGAGAACCATGACTCTCCAATGTGTATTTGAGAAGGCACTTATTAAGAAAAAGCATAAAGAAGCAGTAATTATTTTATTAGTTATACTATTATATATATACACATGTGTGTATATGTGTGTGTGTGTGTGTGTGTGTGTGTGTGTGTGTGTGTGTATTTTAAAATCTGGACCATCATATAGTTTTGTGATCACAGCAGCAAGACAGGAAGGCACATAGAGGTCAACAGCCCAAATCACCCGAGATTACCCATAGATTCCAAATGGCCCAGATCACCACCAAACTGCTGCCAATGTCAGTTGTCACAAATAAATGTATATTACAACACTACTATTCTTTATATTGGTTTGTTATTTCAGAGAAGAAATGCCTTTAAACTCTCAAAAGACTTGTCTTTATTGCTATAAAATCTGAAGTTGAGTGGGTAAAGCCATATATATAAGATTTTAATGGTTTTAAACCATTTTGCTCAGTCATTTGTGACTGTGTGTGTGTATCTACATCTATATACCTAAAGCATGTTAAAGTTTTGGTAGGATGGTGGTCTTAGTTTTAAAAAAATGTAAAGCATTCCATATTGAGATGATTTTACATACACATTGGATAGACTGCTAACAAAGAAGGGCTGACAAGGTGACTCAGTGGGAAGACATTTGCTGCACAGTCTGATGACCTGAATTCCATCTTAGAACCCATATGGTAGAAGCAAAGAATCCACTTGTGTAAGCTGTCCCCAAAGGGTCCTGTGCTTCCATGAGCATACACATGCATTGTGGATGTATATACTGACATATACCCCCCCCCCAGATAAATGTAATTAAAAAAGACAAAGGTAGGAGGCAGAGAAGGACTTGCAAGCTCCCCAAGACAAACACAGAATGAGTTGCTGTGTTCTGCAATTGATCTTACCATCGAGGTTATGGTACACATGAAGTCCTGCTGGCATACGCTTTGCAACACTAAGAACCATGTCTCCTTCCCAGAATTCCAATAGCTAAAGAATATTTAGAGTGAGAAAACAATGAGCCATCACATATGAGCAGCACAACTCTTGACTCAGTAAGAGTAGCAAACAAACATCCCCATTCCTAAGCAACACCGCATTTTAGAAATAAACATCATTTGATGAACTACTCAAACCCAAAGATGGTGACTGCATCCACTGCTGACTGAGGAATATGGGTGCATAAGCCCCAGTAGCCATCTAAACAATCTAATTCAACTTATGTAAGGACAGACTTTCTGGAATGCAATCTGGCCTAGGAATTTCTGACCCTGCTTTACTTAGAAAACAACATGGCTCCAGGGACAATAGAAAGGAAAGCCCCCTACTCTAATTTTAAAAGTAGCATTTTGGGCTGGGATATAGCTCCATGGTACAGTATTTTGCCTAGCTTGTGTGAGGCCCAGAGTTTTATCTCCCCTCAAACCACCCCCCTCCCCACCCCAAGCACAGCATCAGTTATGTACTAGAGATATGGGGCTTGTTAAAGTTCTAAACCTGAGCCTCGGTACTGGCAGAAACCGCACTGAGATAGTACCAGAACAATTATTTTTCCTCTAGTCTTTTCTATAATATTATAAGATATTTCTCTTACGAAGACAAGGTATTTTGTCTTTACAAGACATTTATTTATAAGATTCATTTACTGTGTCAATCTCCTGGTCCTTCAACAGTGGCTTGTGTCTAAGTTAACAGTTTGTAGCAATGCAGGACTGAAATCCTAGATAGACAGCATAGCCAGGGAAGCATAACACATACGAGACAAATCACGCCTTTTCCTTTAGGAATGAACGCCCTCCACAGCTCAGAGCACCAAGCTGCTGAGCTGAACTCTGCCAGAACTGACTTGGAAATGACCTTTGCTGCAGAAGTCAGGTACATACAGGATTCTAGAGTGCCTGCTACTCAAGCATCGATTACATGTAAACCAACTGAAGCAAAACAGACACTGGTTTGCTTTTCTTAGAAGAAAATAAAAGAAAAAGCTGGTAATTTTGATGATAGATACAAATTTTTAGAGAATCTAAATTATTTCTGGAGCATCCTTGATCCTACTTAACAAATACTTCTCCTCCTCTTCCTCCTCCTCCTCCTCTTCTTCTTCCGCCTCCTCTTCCTCTTCTTTTTTGAGATAGGGTCTCAAAGTTGCCCTGTAGCTGAGGCTGACCTTGAACTGATCTTCCTGACTTCGCCTTGAGAATGCTAGGATTATAAACAAACGCCTCCAAGCCTAGCTTTCTAAACCCTTTAATCAGTAGTATGCGGTGAGAAAGTGGGGCTTAGGGACAGGACATCAGGTGGAAGAGGGAGAGACCAGAGCTGAAGTCCTAGCACTACCATAGCAGGTAGATGTCTGTGCACGTGCAACACTGAATGCTTTAAGACACAATTTCATTTTTTGGAATGGATTTGGCTCACCCTCATGAGGCTGAAGCACCAAATAAAATGATGTTTGTGAAAGCACTGTAATTAAAACCAGGGAGCAGCTCCACTGTCCTGTGCCTGAAATACAGGCAAATAAATGATCTGGAAGTATATACTAGATAAAAATGTCTGCCTTGTAAATCACATCTGTAAAACCCAACACTCAGGAGGCTAAGGCAGGGGGATTACTATGAATCTGAGACTAGCATGGGGTATAGTATGACACCATCTCAAAAAACATAGAAACAAGAGCTAAATATCAAACAAAAGAATCTGTTTAGAGCTTGTTCAGCATGCTCACACCAGAATAACAAATACAGATATTAGTAGTCAAGCTAATAATAACAATAATCTTATTCTAGAAAGTACAAAACTAGTTATTTTAATGTGTTCAGTGGTTCTTGGTTTTTAAGTAAGAGCTTAACCTTTCCTCTCATTCCTTTTGAAAAGCAATTCTCTTTGTTTTCCAAAAATAGAGAAAACTTTACTGTCATCTCCTGACACCATTAAAATATACTAGGCTCAATCAGTCACTTCAAAGCTGCTGAGAAAACACAGAGACAGCATTTCTGAAGATGGAGTGGTAGCACAAACCTGTGATCCCAGTACTTACTAGGGGGGCTAATGTGGGAGGATTGTGGTTTCAAGTCTAGCCTGGGCTATATAGTGAAATATATCTAAAAAGACTTCACATCAACCACCACAACAAAGAACAAAACAGTAACAATCCAGACTTCTAAGTAAGAGAAGGTTTCATTCATCCTGCTGTGCACTGGCAGATGTAGAATCTTCCTATGGAGTTTTGGAAAAGTTGTAACTTGAGTTAAGATGGAATGGAAAAAAGTCAGCCTGAAAGATCTTAATGTTTCTGTTGAATTACCTGAAAGATCGACTGACGGAGGTCTCCTACAGTTTTTCTTTTATCAAATATTAAGTCCCACATGCTCTCTGTCTGAGAGACTGCAGGGTGAAGAGCCCCATTGAAGAAACGGTAGTGAGGTCCCAAGTGGAGATGCAACTCAAAAGTACTGTTTGCAGACTCACATTCTGCCCTTTAGAGACATAAACAACACACATACACTATGTTTTGGTAATACTCTTTATCTCAAACCAAAGATATTTGCCTTACCATACATGCAAGTTCTCCACTCTACCTTAGTAACATCTTTTTCTTCTGCCTGCCCAAATGATTCACTTTGGCTTTTCAACACACAGCACACATTCAGCTGGAACTGTGCCATGAATTCTAAGAGAAAGTTATTTCCATGGACACTGCACGTGTTCTCTCTAGTCCTGTCACAGCTATGGACAGAATTCTGGATGTCTGCCCACATATTCAGAGGTGGATTCCAAACACTATCCTGATGGCCACTAGGCTCCTGTGGCCTTCCTAGAAGATACTTCCCAGCGTTTGTTTTCCAGGCTGAAAACAACAAGCAACAGTCTCCCCTCTGGTACATTCAGCTGACTCAAAGCCTGTTACCAAACTTGTTCCCTTAGGCAGAACAACCTTAGGCTGGAATGAGGCAGTCGCTGAGACTCAATACTTCAGGTGTATTCTATGCTCACCTACAGGAATATTAGCTTTTCGATGACCACATTAAGGACTTTAGTTTTAGCTTTTGCCATTTTGTTTTTAATTCTTAAGTTGCAATTACTAGCCTAGGTCACGTATGCAGGCTATTTTCTGCATTTAACAGGTTTCAATTTTCACTGAGAGTTCCATTGATCTTGGTATGTCATTCACTGAACCTACTATTTTCACTCCTAGTTTCAAGTCTATGATACAATTTCTGAACATAGCCTGCTACATTATCTGACCCTGATCCCACCCCTACCCTCTGCTGATACTACTGGAGAGCAAATACAGCAACAGAACAGGCTCTACAGCTCAAGGCTAGCCATGTTCTTAAGTTATGCCTTCAGTTATTTTAAACCTTTGTTTTTATTTTGGGTATTTTGCCTATATATATTTGTCATGTGTATAGTATCTGCAGAGGCCAGAAGAGAACATAGGATCCCCTAGAGCTGGAGCTACAATTGTGAACTGTGATGTGAGTGCTGGGATCTAAACCTGGGTTCTCTGGAAGAGCAGCCAGTATTGAACCACCACTCTGGCCCAGCCATTACAGCTCCCTTCCCCCGACTGACACTAAGCCCCTTTAGAATCAACCCACCTCTAGTCTTCTGTCACTATATGTCAGTTCTTACAACTACTTAAAATTGAGGGGCAGTTTTATTGACAAGTTTTCTGTAAACTCATGGGAATAATTTGGCTAGGCCAGAGCACAATTCTTGTAGCATGCTTGCCAATTCCTCTAGGCTTCCTAGGCTCTGATCCTTACTTAGCAATGGTTACCATGTTATTATTCACTCTTACACATGGATAAATGATGCCTTGTCTATAACTAGTTGATAGGTATACATACTTTGGTAAACTTTCATATTGAATGCTTATGTCCCAAACTGATCAGTATTTTCCAGAAATACTGTCTAAACACCAAATGTAACTCAAACTACCTTCTCATCTGCAGTAGAATGTTGGCTGCATCCATTTCCTTCAGCAAATGACATGGAACTCTGTATCTTGGATTGGCTCGAGCTGTGAACAAAACTGTCCATTAATTTGTTTTGACTAAACAAAACTATATTGCTAAACAGGCAGGATAAAAAACCTGAACTCAGGTATGATTACATACCTGCAATCCTAGTACTGGGAAGGCCAAGGCAAAGGATCTTGAGTTGGAAGGCCAGCCTGGGCTACACTGGAAGACATTCTTTCAAACAAAGATGAGTAGCTGCAGAGATAGCTCAGAGATTAGGTGTGCTTGATACTTTTGCATAGGACTGGAATTTGGTTCCTAATACATCAGGCAGCTGCCTGTGATTCCAATTCTAGGGGATCTGATGGCCTCAGACACTTGCATGCACACAGTGGACATAAATGCATGCAGGTGCACACTCATGCTGGAAGCCAGGAGCACTACGATGGACTACTTAAGGGAAAACAAAGTTTTCTCTTGATCTTAGTTTTGCCAGATGAACAATGAAAGGAAAGATATATATATATATATTTTAAAAATCTGATCTAGAAGAATCTCATTGTTTCAATTTTCTTTAAGCATTTTTTAAAAGAACACCCACTAGTTTTGTACTGATTATGATTTTAACAGTTGGTTACCGTAAAAATTCAGAAATTAGGGCTGAAGGTGACTCAGCTGCTACTAGCCTTGCAGAAGCTTGAAGTGCCAGGGTGGGGGGCCAGCTGCTCAGAGAAGGGGAAGGGGGACAGGGGAAGGATTGTTGGAGGGAATGGGGCAGTGATCAGAATATAAAGTGAATAAATAAAAAAAATTAAATTAAAAAAGAAGAAGGAAAAAAAGCTGTTCTTCACTGACTGCTTCACTGACTGCTCTGTCTTTCAGAGGACCCAGGTTTGGTTTTCAACACCCACATGGTGGTCAACGACCTGCTGTAACTCAAGTTCAGGGGATTCAATGCCCTCCTTTGGCCTCTCAGGGCACCAGGCACACATATGGTACATATACAAAAGAGGCAAACATTCATACACTTAAAATAATAAATCTTTTTAAATTTTAGAAATTACACTTATTCATTTAGATTTTTTGAGACAGAGTTTTGCTATAGTCTGGGCTGGCCTGAACCTGACTATGTGTCTTGGGTTGGCCTTGAACTTACTACAATCTTTCTTGCTTCAGCCTCCCAAATGCTGGGGTTATATGTATGAGCCACTATGACTGGTTTGAAAATTATTTTCAAAGTACATTAGGGTACTATCTGTAGTCTCACTCCCAAGACATCAATCTTTTTATAAAAACAACTGAGATTGTAGTCAGCAAACTAGTAGTGATTTTTCACTTCATATTTCCACAGGCTAAAATTTGTGACTGTACAGTAGTGCACTTAAGTAAAATAGTCTAATATTTTCTTTCTTTTGAAAAGAATTATTTACTTAATGTGTATATATATATATATATATATATATATATATATTTTTTTTTTTTTTTTTTTTTGCCTGCATGTATGTCTCTGTACAGTCTGTATATCTGGTGCCTTTGAAGGTCTGAAGAGGGTATTAGATTTCCTGGAGCAGGAATTGCAGACAGTTATGAGCCATTATGTGGATGCTGGGAATTGAAGCCAAATCCTCTGAAAAACAGCTAGTGATCTTAATAACTGTGCCATCTCTCCAGCCCCAGCCCCAGCCCCTAATCAACCTTTTTCTGTTAGATATTATAGTGGTTTGAATAAAGATAGATTTGAATACCTGGTCACCAGGGAGTACATTAGTAGTTGTGTTCTTGTTGGAGTAGGTGTGTCTTTGTTGGAGGAAATGTGTCATTGGAGGTGGGCTCTGAGGTTCAAATGATCAAACCAGACCCAGTGTCTTTCCTATTGCCTGCAGCTCTGGATGTACAACTCTCAGCTACCTCTCCAGCACCTTTCTACCCTGCATGCCACCATGGTTCCTGCCATGATGATAATGGACTAAACTTCTGAACCCCAAATAAATGTTTTCCTTTATGAAAGTTGCCGTGGTCATAGTGTCTCTTCACAGCAATAAAACCATAACTGAGACAGATATGAAGGTGATTTCTAACTAGTCATGATTATAAAAATCACTCACTGCTCTAAATCTTTTTACCTCAATTTAATTTGCAATCTACTGGGCTGCAGAATTATGGGTTGCCCAGGCTGGCTTTGAACTCATTCTAAAGCCCAGTCCGGCCTTGAACTTTAACCCTCATCCCCTCAATTCCTGAGTAGCTGAGATTACAGGGATATGTTAAGAGGCTAGAATCTCCTCTTTCCTCCTTCCAAAGACAAAAAGCCTTTCTGGTTAGAGCAATCATGTGTATTCATGATCTAGAAAAGTTAATTTTTCTTTAATTCTCATGCAAATTAATAACTGTTTTATTCTTTATAAAAATGATCACTATTCCCATTTTCTATGAAAATGGGAGTTATGCTCTGTTAATCTAAGAAGCTTTTTTCTGTTTTTGAAACAAGATCTCACTAACTAACACAGCTGGCCTGAACTTTGCTGTGAAATTAGGCTAGCCTCAAATTCACAGAGAGATGTGTCTGCCTCTGCCTTTCAAGTTCTGGGATTAAAGTCATAAAAACCCATCATACTCAGCAGCTTTTTACTTCTGAGAGAACTTTGGCAAGGGATCAAAGACAACCTACCGATTTACTTATGATAATATCTCTATTGTAAATGTTCTTTATTATGCTGAGATTGGAATGGTTAACCCACAAGGTAGAAGTTCTCTCAGACACAGAGCACTTCAGATATATTTCAGTTGCTCAAGAGCATAACACGCTGAGGAGAAGAAGGGGCTGGAATATAAACGTGTCAAGAAAACAAGACCACTAACAGCTCAAAAGCAACACATGCCAAATGACAAAGATAAGCCTAACCGGACAAGTGCACTCAGGTTGTCCACCATAACAACAACGTATGTCATCCAACGAAGTCCAATTAGGAAAACATAACTATGAGCAAGGGAAGGAAAATGTCAGACATTTCCTCATAAAATGACGAACTGAAAAATAAGGCATGATTTCCAGCTGAAATAAAGAAACACATCAAGTAAGAGAACCTTAAATGACAAGCTGATTTCATTTGGCAAATATGCTTCTATTAGTTTTAAAATATGAAAAAGTACCCAGGTAAAACCATCTCTTCAAAAGACAGAACTCCAGCAGCATTTGAAGCATATCTGCTGAAGTTGTTAACAAGACAAAGCAGAACACTTTTTGTTTCCATCCATACCTTCAGTGGGTCTCTGCAACGTGGCTTTCCGATAAAACAGCATGTAGGCACTTTCTTTACCCTGGAACTGTTGTGTGATATCTTTCTCTTTGATTGGATGGACTTTGGAATCATTGATATCAAACCAGTGTGAGCAACTGGTGTTATCATTTAAGCCTGGGGGTTCTGAAGCAAGTGTATATAGAATCTGTTCACGGTTCTGTAGATCAGTTGGGGCCTGGGTAAGATGGTTCCTCAGAAGACTAACTGTACTTTCATCTGTGCTGAGCAGAAATATCTGAGGATGGAGCTGTAAGAACTATTCAGAATAAACAAAAAACAAAAATTAGGATTCTTTAAAAATATTTTAATAAAAGTTTTTAAACAAGACAAATTCTCTCTCTCTCTCTCTCTCTCTCTCTCTCTCTCTCTCTCTCTGTGTGTGTGTGTGTGTGTGTGTGTGTGTAGAATGTGTGTCTGTGTGATCTGTGTGATTCGATGTTTTTAACTTCACTTTTCTTTTTTTGCTAGCCTGTGAGCAGGGAAAACTTGTCTGGTTATGACAAAATTGGAGCATCCTGTTAAATATGGTAACAGTTCTGTCAAGGGTGAAAGGTGACAAGCCACAATGTAGAAAGCATTTTAATAATATGTCACTACTGTTATTTTAAGATTTGCTATTTGTTATTTGTTATTTTAAGCAAATGACTACTTGCTGTTTAAGTGCTTAAATGAAGAAAATTGGGAAGAACAAACATTTCTGAACTATTTAGTAGCCATTTAATTCTATAGATTCACATTTGCCAATTCTTGGGATTGTTCTCCTGTATTCTCAGAGTTCTCAGAAAACTCTTGCCCACAGCTGTATCTTGAAGTCTTTTCAATTAAAAAGCTTTCACAAAACAAAAAATCTGAACCATCAAAGTGAAAAAACTTAATGAAAAAAACTTTGCCAACTACAATTAGACAGGGGATTAATACTGAGCATGTAGAAAGAATACCAAAAATTAAACACCAAAATAACAAATCACTTAATAAATGGCCTAATGAAATGAATAGAAAGTTCTACAAAAAAAAAAAAAACCCACAAATGACAAATAAAAGCTTTAAAAGTAATCATCATCCTTAGTCACCAGGGAAATGCAAACAAAAACCATTTTGATTGAATCTTACCCTAGTCAGAATGGCTGTCATCAAGAAAACAAACACTGGAGAGGATCTTGGGGAAAGAGGTATAACCATGTGCAGCCACTATGGAAATCAGTATGAATCAAAACCTAAATCAGAATTACTATATGACTTAGCTGTGCCAACTGTGAGTGTACAGTGGGAGGACTCTAATATACCATAGGGATTTGCACGTCTATCTTTATTGTTACACCATTTGAAGTAGCATAGCTGTTTGTCAAAAGATGAACAAAAATGTAGCACATGTATACAATAAAAATTTATTTAGTCATAGGAAAAATGGAATCATAACATCTGTAAGAAAATGAATATAACTGGAAATCATTAAATTAAGCAAAATACACTAGTCTTAGGAAGACAGTTAACATAAGCCTCATCTTATATGTGGAATCTTGATTTAAACATATATTTATAGATATCCATGTATAAGTATAATATAGGCATGTCTTATATGTGATCATGAGCAAGAAGCAAGAGATCTTAAAGCAGTGGGAAACTGATGGTAAACAACAATATACGCAATAAGAAGTGGAAGCTGAGATTAACTGGGGGAAGAAAGGAAATCACCTGGAAGGGGAGGAATCATGGGAGGGTAGTGCGGGAAGAAGATTAATGAGCATAAGTAAAAGGAAAACAGGTCATTATAATTCAAGATGAAATCTATTACTTTATATGCTAATCTAAAACTTTTAAAAATAAAAAAAAGCAATTTAAACAAAGACAATCACAAAGTTTAAAAGTATTTTTGATGATGGCTTACTGTATATATCTAGAAGAAGTAATCATAGGACCAAGTCACCTTATATTTTAACCATACTAATCTTTTCTACCATGGAAGCTAATCTGGAAGCTCAGGCAGTCCAAGAGCATAGGAAGCTCAAGTCACAACAACCTCAAAGACTATTCAAGTTCTTGCAAAGGAATAAGAGAACAAACAAAACCTGGCTCTACTGTCTTTCTCCCTCTAGCTTCCTTAAGTCTATTCCCCTCTCCTATATGGCACTGGCCGCCCTCTCCATTTGCTGGATCAAATCTCTTGAAGTGGAAACAATTAAAAATAAGAGCAGGAATAAAATAGAAAACAGATAAACAGTAGAGAACATCAATAACATCAGAAGCTATGTTCGCTTTTTTGAAAAGTCTTTGACAGTATCCTCAATGGGAAGGAAAGAAGCAAGGAAATAATACATCTTATTAATGAGAAATAAAAAAGACGTTAAAACTTAAAGTTCTAAAGACACTAAATAACATAAATACGTTGTATGTGAGCTGTGACAGCAGAATTCTAACCACTAAACAAAAATACTGATCATTTTAATCTGTTTTAAAATTTCTTCTACATAGGTATTTGTATTGCTGGGATTGTGATATGTTTTCCTGGGATGAGAGGACTTCTTATGTTGATACTAGCACTACCTTTCGCAATGGTCCATGCTGTTTCCTGTACTTCTTGTTCCAAGATATTCCTGTTTTTTTCAAGAGTTTCTGGCCCAGATGATTAACAGGAACTTGATTGGCCTCCTCCTTATGAAAGAAATACAGTCAGTTAAAATCTGATGAGAAATAATTACACCACAAATTTAGAGGGATCAATAGAAGTGAACCTGCTCGCCTTCCCTAGAGTATAAACTTATAATGGGATCAATCAGACCTATATATTTTTAAAGTAACCTTGAGCACTGGTTTATAAGATCTTGATTTGAAGATCTCCATTTGCGAAGGGCCACAAACAGAAATTCAAAGAGTACCATCAGAGGGAGTCCTAAGGTCTGCCACATTCCTGACATTATTTATGATTTTGGAAGAATAAACAAGGACAATGTGGCTGATACAGGCTTTATGTTGACTCTTTAGCCCCCAATGCTTCAGAACAGGACTGTGCTTGGAGACAAGGACCTCAAGGCCACAGATTAAAATTCTCTTCTGTTGTGTGTTTTGAGACAGAGTCTCATGTTGCCCAGGCTAGCTATGTAACTGAGAATGATTTTGAACTTCTGGTCCTCTTGCCCCCATTTCCCAAGTGCTGGGATTATACGGCACTTCATATATCACTCTATGTGGTACTGAGATTGAACCTGGGGCCTTGTATGCTACACAAGCACTTTACCAATGAGGCCACATTCTTCGTCCTTATTATCATTTTTTCCTTGTAAGTGGTTCCAATAGCAAGACAAATGGATTTAAAAACCAAACCAAACCAACCAACCAACCAAACAAACAAACCAAGTTCTCATTCTCTAGCCAGGCTGGCTCAAAACTCAAGGTGTTCCTTCTGCTTCAGCCTTTCAAGATGAGAGATTACAGGAAAGAGCCACCACACCTAGTGATAAATTCAAAACAAGTCAGTGCATGGTGCCAGGCACCTTTAATCGAGCACTGGGGAGGCAAGGGCTGATATATCTCTGTGAGTTCATGGACAGTCTGGTCTACAAAGTAAGTTCCAGGCCAGCCAGGTCTACACAGTGAGATCTTGATTGAAAAAAAAAAGTTAAAATGAAAATTTTCCATTTTAGAGGTAGCCCTAAAGCAATCTTATCTGATATTCTCATATAAATATACTACATATACAAATGTACACAACATACACATGTATCTATAATACAAGCCCCCAAATATGTACAAAGACTCATTCTACCTGCAATAAGATTGTTTTTAGAACCACCAAAGGATCATCAGCCTTTTCTTCATTCTGAGGGGCTTTCAAGTTCACATCTGTATCATTTATCTCCTCCTAAGAAGGAAAACAGTGAAATGTTTCTTTCACAGGTGCCAGTTTAAAGGAATTAACCAAGTAAGAATCTTTAAGCCACTGGAGAAGGAAAGGTAAAAATATAATCTCTACAAGCTGGAGAATCAGGCTTTGAGTGTCAGGTTTGTATAGTAAATCTACACAATTTACTTAATCTCTCTGGCTTTATATGCAAATTAGGATTATGAGACAAAGAAAGATTCTAGGCTGTGTGAATAAGAATGGCCCCCACAGGCTTATATATTTAAATACTTAGTCACCAGGAAGGGGGCACTATTGGAGAAGGAGTAGGTGTAGCCTTGTCAGAGTAGGTGGGGTAGGTGGAGCTTTGATGAAGCAGGTGTGGCCCTGTTGGAGGAAGTGTGTCGTGGGAGTGGGGTTTGAGGGTTTCAAAAGCTCACACCAGGACCAGAGTGGCTTTCTTTCTGTTTGTGGAGCAGGATGTAGTTTTCAACGACTTCTCTAGAACCATGTCTCCTTGCATGGCTTGTTGCTCTCTGTCATGATGACAATAGAATAAATTTATGAACTGTAAGCCAGCCCCCAAATAAATGCCTTCCTTTATAAGAGTTGCCTTGCTCGTATCTCTTCATGGCAATAGAACAGTGACTAAGACACAGCATAATACACATAGAGGGTTCTAACGGTTTCCAGATAAAAACATGGTGTCTCTAAAATTTGTGCTCATTATCACTCGTCTCAAAAAGCCCGGGTTGGGCATTGTGACACACGGTTTTCGGTAGGCAATTTTTGCTGATTTAAAAAAAAATACATATGCCACCTTGCAAAAGCATTCTCTTTGTTTTGGTTTTGAGATAGGGTCTCAAAATGTAGCCCTAGTTGGCCTTGAACTCACAGAGATTCACATGCCTATGCCTTTAGAGTACTGGGATTAAAGGCATCAGCTCTCTAAGTTTTTCTTTGTGTGTGTGTGGGGGGGTTTGGATTTCTGTAAATTATAACTTTCTTGGATTTCTATTTAAAACTTTTATTTATTTTATTTTGTGTATGAGTGCTTATGTGTGTACCACATGTGTGCCCTAACAGGCCTGAAGAGGGCATTAGATTCCTTAGAACTAGAGTAATAGATTGTTGTGTGCTGCCATATAGGTTTCTTTCTGGAATTGAACTCAGTCCTTTTTGATAGCAGCAAGCTGAACTGCTTCTCCAGTCCATCAAAAAAGTATTTAAACTGGCTAAAACCATAACTGCTAATTGATAGCATTAAGAAAAAAAGAAACTGTTAAGAAATAACAGCTTATGGAAGACCAGATTTATCATCTTTCTATAAATTATTAAAAATGATAAAGTAGATAAAACAAAAGCATCTTTTTTATATACTGATTTTTAAGTTAGTAAACAAAATAAGTTTAACTGACAACTTGAAAAAAATCTAAGATCACCTGGGAGGCAGGCCTCTGGGCATGTCTGTAGGGAATTATCTTGACTAGGTTAATTGAGGAATGACACCATTCCCTGGGCTGGAATCCTAGACTGTATAAAAAAAAGAGAATGTGCACTCAATACCAGCATTCATCTCCCTCTGCTTCCTGACTACGGTTGCTCTGTGACCAGGTGCATCCTCCAGCTCTTGACACGATGATTTCTCTGCCACTGGACACTGGAACTGTGAGCAAAATAAACTGATCCTCCCTTAGGTGTCTTTGGTCAGACATTTTATCACAGCACAGGACAGTAACGAAGCCTAGCCTTGCTGACATTTCAATGCTCATACAGAACAGCATCAGAGAAGAAAGCCTACGGTAAACTCAAAGCAGGAAGGAAAGGACTAATGTTTTCAAACAACCAACTCTCCAATTCTGAATGTCCTACATTTCCACTCAATTCTGACACTAGCTATGTGGTCATGTCAGATACCACCTATTGAGGAGTCAGTCTCAGAAGATTGGTCTCTCCACTTTTCAAACACCAACTAAAACTTTCTGGAACAATGTGCGGAACTCACTAGAGTTTATCACAAGAGATATCAATGTAGAGACTGGATAAAGAGGATTGCTGGGTAAGGTTTACAAAGTCAGGTGCAAGAGGCTCTGTACCCATCCCAGGCATATAAAATTCCTACACTTGTTTCTCAAGAATTTGTCACTAAAGTTTTACTATGGAGCATTGTGATAGCTATTCTTGGTTGTCAACTTGACTACATCTGGAATTAACTAAAGCTCAAGCGGCTGGGTATACCTCTGAGGATTTTTTTTTCCTAATTAAATCATTTGAAGTAGAAAGGCCTACTTTTAATCCATCCAGATCTTCTAAGGTGAGAAGATCCACCTTTAATCTGGACCACACCTTCTGCTGACAGCCTATTTAAAGGATACAGAAGAAGGAAGTGTTCACTTTTTGCCTGCTGGCTCTTACACTCAGTGGCAAGTCCATTCCTTCACTGGTATTAGAGCCTACTTCTTAGGGTTCTGGTGTATACTGAAGACCAACTGAGACATCCAGCCTTGTGGCCTGAACAACGACTGTTAGACTTTCTGCTGCTAGACAGCCATTGTTGGACTAGCTGGACCACAGCCTGTAAGTCATTGTAATAAAGGTCTTTATATATCTACACAAAATATATAGATATATTTTCATTCTATAAGTTCTGTCCTTCTAGACAACTCTGACAAGTATAAGCAAAACTGGTGAAATCACTGACAAGAGGTGACTGAACTCAATCTCCTGCCCCTTTTCCCTCCCTAAGGTTGGAAGGTGGGGCTTCCAATTTTAACTCTCTAAGCACATAGTTGTTTTCTCTGGCAACAATGTCCCACATTAAAGTATCTAAGAATTACCTCATTAGCATCACCTAGGTAAGGGGGCAAGAGGCTCATAAATAGCAAAATATACTTCCATAGAAAATCCCAAAGGATACCCCATGAACAAGAAAAAAATACCAAGCACATGCAAATCCATAGAAAATATACCATGTTCACACAAATATCCGAATTTTGCTTATTTTCTTTTGATTATATTGAAACAGGGCCTTAAACTCATGGTAATTCTCCCGTGTCAGTCTTTCAAAGTGCTAGACTTGCAGCTATGTGCCCCCATGCCCTCCTTCTTCTGATTACTCTTGATTTTGTGAGGAGACAGGATTTTAATAAATTAGCAACTGGGTGTGACAGCCAACACCTATGCCTGAAGTTCCAGCATTTGAGAGACAGGCAGGATGAGTGTAAGTTACAAACCCACATGGACTACAAAGTAAGACAGTGCCAAACAGACAGACAGAAAGACAAACAGAAAACACAAAATCAAACCACCAGATTTCAATGGAAAGAACATAAAGCTTGTTCCTTCAAGTCACACTAATAGCGAAGATTCTAACACTCTTACAGAAGAGCGAGTTGCTGTTATTATCTATTGAGATAAACACAAATTTTCAAAGAGATGTTCTAGAATTCAAAGCCCCAGAGGAAGACAGAAGAATTGTTAAACTTCAAAATAAAATTTCACATGAATATTTCATGAGTTTACAGGCTGCTGGCTGAGGAAATACTGCAACTCTGAAAGCAGCTAAGAAGAACTACAGGAGGCATTGAGGAAAGCCAAGACAGGCTCCCTCAGCTGAAGCTAGACTGGTCCAGAGGTAATGTACCTTTTAAGAGCATAGCGAGGCCTTGTGCTTACTGAAAAGGGCTGTAACAGACAATGGAAAAGGTCAGTGATCTTGATGGATGGCTGGGGAGGAGAGTATCCTTGTGCTTAGTAGGCAAACACAAAGCATTTCCCAGCAAAGGAGCCAGATGCTCTCAACTTTATTCCAAACTGTTCACTAGAGTAAGGTCACTAGTGTGTAAGAGTCTACGCCACATGCACAAATACAACAAGGTTAACAGCTGGAGATTCGAGGTAGAGGGCACATGGGAGCTGTACATGTAAAATGAACTTCCAATGTTTTCTAAAGGAGGTGAGTATACTGAAGGCAGAATGAACAACAGAATTCTGTAATAGGATTAGAAATACAAGTTAATTTCAGAGTTATTTCTAAATAAATCTGTAAGCTTACTTGACATTGCCAGTTGCCGAGATGATCAACATCTTTAATGTACACATGGTAATGACCTCCATAGCAGCCACCTTTGTGGATAATGACGGAGAAGAGGTCATACATATATTCCATGTCATCCAGTTCACTCTAAAAGAAGGAAAATAAACATTAATACAGATTAATAAGGTGAGATACATAATCAAAGGGGAAAAACTAGTAAGAAACATCCTTGTTATATTCATGCTTCACAGTAAGATCCCTCTGCTGCTAAGTCACCTGATACTTAAAACACTATTACTGTATTTAAGGATAAAGATAAATGTAAATAAATGGGCTTAAATTAACTTTTTTTTAAAGATTTATTTATTTATTTATTATATGTAAGTACACTGTAGCTGTCTTCAGACACCCATATGAGGGCATCAGATCTCATTGTAGATGGTTGTGAGCCACCATGTGGTTGCTGGGATTTGAACTCATGACCTCTAGAAGAACAGTCAGTGCTCCTAACCACTGAGCCATCTCTCCAGCCCTTAAATTAACTTTTTTTTTCATTCATTTTGTTGAGGATGGCTTCAAATTCCTGGAGGTCCTTCTGCTTCAGCTTCTTGAGTGTTAAGATTTTAGGCATGAGCCACTATGCACAGCTGAATTTTAAGTCTTAATCTATTGATTTATTGTTAACCATATCACACTGAGCACATGCATCTGAAGATGTCATTTTTACTGGCTTTACTTAAGACAATGAGTCTGTGCTAGAGACTGTTAGTAGAGAAAGCCATCTTTGCATGATGCCCATTATGCCGTTTAGGACATATGTTCTTTTCTTGCCAAAACTGTCTGATAGCCCAAGAAAGTTGCTGTCTGTCTCTAGGTCAAGGCCCTTCTGGCATTTTAGTTCCCTGCACAGAATATGAATTCAGCAATTGTGATACCACCTGGTGTTGTTCAGAGGTGGTTAGTTTAGTGGAATGAACAGGTTCTTTCTTGCTTTTCTAATTTATGATCAACCTCTTCCATAATTAATATAGTGTGCAATTACAAGTGACCCAACAGGTAAATTCCTCCAATAACAATGGGGGAAAATTACATTAGATTTAAAACATGCTTTAAATTCTGGGTGTAGAAAGAAAAGGAAAATCCAGCTGTGGTTATATCTCTGTAACTCCAGCACTTAGGAGGCCATCCTTGGCTATACAGTGGGTTTGATGCTAGCCTGGGCTATGTGAGGCCCTGTCTAAAACAATAGCAAAAAAGGATGGAAAGAAAGAAAGAGAAAGAAAAGAGAGGGAGTAGGGCATGAGGAAGGAAAGGGAGGGAAGGAGAAAGGAGGGTGGGCAGGCAGGCAGGCAGCAGACAGGCAGGCAGGCAGGCAGGCAGGCAGGCAGGCAAGCCTTAGTTTTGACATTGTAGGAGGAATGTGAACCACACGGCATGAGACATAAGGTCTCTTCTGGCTTTGAACTCAGTGTCATCTGCAATGTAAAATGTGCACACGGGTATTACCTGGGAGATACAAGTTACTTGAATTTATTTCCTTAGCTATACTTTTTAAGTGGGCAGCATTAAAAAATGTCACATTCAGGAAAAAGATAAGACACACAAAGAAAAGATATATTTTTCTCAGTATAGAAATTCAAAAGTAAAATTAATGTGCATTTCCTAGCCAAGTGACCAGTTGTTTTTTTTGTTTTTGATATATCAGTGTATGTTAGGACCATGTGAGAAACCATCTTTTACTTTTTTTTTTTTTTTTTTTTTTTGGTTTTTCGAGACAGGGTTTCCCTGTGTAGCCCTGGCTGTCCTGGAACTCACTCTGTAGACCAAGCTGGCCTCGAACTCGGAAATCCGCCTACATCTGCCTCCCAAGTGCTGGGATTAAAGGCGTGCGCTACCACTGCCCGGCGAGAAACCATCTTTTATAAGAGAAGCATGTATATTAGTAACTCTTGGAAAGCAGTTTTATGTTTCTGAGTGTATGAGTAAAGTCTCAGAGCCAGCAGGCACTACAGACTCTAGGGATGGAAATTCATGTAACAAAACAAACAGGACAGAGTTCAGGGATGAAGCCTAAAGTAGAGGGAGGCTAGGCCATGAAGTTAAAAAAAAAAATGTGTGTATATACAGAGAGAGAGAGAGGGGCGGGGGAGGGAGGGAGGGAGGGAGGGAGGGAGGGAGGGAGGGAGGGAGGGAGGGAAGAGGAGGAGGGGAGGAGGAGGAGGAGGAGGAGGAGGAGAGAGAGAGAGAAAGAGAGAGAGAGAGAGCAAGAGAGCGAGCGAGAGTGAGAGCTGGCTGTTCTTAAACAAAAAATGACTTGTTATAAGAAATAGGTAGAATGATGGAACAGAACTGACAATCTGGAAATAAAGACAAAGCTATGCTTACCTAATTTTTGACAAACATACATTGAATAAAAGGCAGCCTGTGCAATCAATGTGCTGGGTTTCTACTTGTACAAGATGAAGTTAGATTTACATCTTTCACCTTGTACAAAATCAATTCACAATGGATCACAGACCTTAATTTAAAGCCTTTAACACTGAAATTTCTAGAAAGAAAACATAGGGAACATCCTTCAGGATACTGGGAAGGCAAGAACCTTTTGAATAGAACACTAATACAGAGGAACTAACCCAATGTGGAAAGATGGAACTACATAAAAATAGAAAGGACTTGTATAGCAAAGAAACAATCAGCAGAATTAATAAGACAGTCCCTAGGATGGGAGAAAAGCTTTCACAGCTATACTTCAGACAAGGGGATAATACCTAGAATTTACAAAGAAATGCAGAAATTAAATGCCAAGGAAATACAACTGCCAGTCAACACAAGGGCATACAAATTTAATAGATTAAAAGACAGCTAAAAAAAACTCCACAAATAGACAATAACTATTTTTAGAGTTGCTCAATATCCCTCGAATGAGGAAAATGCAAATTAAAGCTACTTTGAGGTATCACTTGACCCCAATCTGAATGGTTATCATCAACAAATGTGACAATGAATGTTGGAGAGGATATAGAGAGAAATGAAATCTTCTTCACTGTTATTGAAGGCATAAATTAATACAGTCACTGTGGAAATCAGTTTGGCATGGTTTTTTTGTTCATTTGTTTTTTTTGGGTTTTTTTTGTTTTTAATTAAAAATATAACTTCCATACAGCCCAGCTACTTCTCTCCTGGGCATATAATATACCCAAAGAACTTCAAACCTTATTGTCTTAGGGTTCCTATTGCTGTGATGAATCATCATAACCAAAAAACAACTTGGGGAGGAAAAGTTTTATTTGGCTTATATATCTTGAGTCACAATCCATTGAAGGAAGCCAGGGCAAGAACTCAAAAAAAGGGAGAGACCCTAAGGTCAGAGCTGATGCAGAGACCATGGAGGGTGCTGTTTAATCCCCACTGCTTGTTCTGCTTGCTTTATTATAGAAGCCAGGACACCAGCCTATGGGTGGCACCACCCACAACTGATTTGGTCCTTCCAAATCAATCACTGATTAAGAAAATTCTGTACAGGCTTGCCTGTAGTAAGATTTTATGGAGGTATTTCTCAATTGAGGTTGCCTCCTCTCAAATGATATTACATTTGCCAAGTTGACATAAAAACTAGCCAGGACAACTGATCCCTTGTTAAGCTGACATACCAGTACTACACTAGTTAGCTAATAATCTTTCCTTTTTTGTTCATCCCCTAAGTCACACATAATAAACATCACACTATAAAACATTTCAACTTTTAAAAGTCCTAGAGTCTTTAAAAATTCAAACACTTTAAAGTCCAAAGTCTCTTTAAAATATTCACTCTCTTAAAAACCCAAGGTATATTTAAAAGTTCAGAGTCTCTTATAACTATAGGCTCCTGTAAAATAAAAAAATAAGTTAAATATTTTCTCATTTTAACAGGGAAGAGCTAGGGCATACACACAATCTGAACCTAGCAAAACCAACTCAAACAGTGTAAATAACACAGTGTCCAATGTTGAGGATTCACTCATAATCTGGGGTCTCCCAAAGGACCTGGGTCACAGCTCCAGTTCTACCTTCTTCAGTCCACACAGACTGTCTTCTCAGCTCAGACCAGCCCCATCCCATGGCTGCTCCTGTCCTTGATGATCTTCCCATGGTACTGGCATCTCCAAAATGTTGAGGTCTCCCAACATTTGCAATGGCTGCACTCTCTCCAATCGCCTCTCCTGGGCTCTCCCCATGGTACCACACCTCAACTTCCCTCCATGATCCTTTCAAACCTGGGCCTTCAACTGCTACTGTAGTTCCAGAGGCTGTACTTTCATCAGTGACGTTTATTGACCTCGCAGAGTACCAACCTCAGCTGTTTTCCATGACCCCTTCATGCTTTCAAAACAAGTATTATCTGTGAGATGCTTACACATTACTAAGTTCAGCTGCCAGCTCAAGGTACAACCTTGGAACACAGCTTCTGTGTGTTTATTCTAACAAAATACTTTTCAGAAGATTTCACCTTATGCTAGTCTCTTGTTAATCACTGTTAATCACTCAGCACCAGCTGACTAGCATCAAGTGTTCTAGTAAAGCCAAGGCTTCACTTTAGTGATGCTGGCCTCCTGTTGATCACACTGATTCTTCAGCCCTAGCTGAGCAGAATCAAAGACTTTCAATTCATAATAGCAACCAGCCATGATAGAGTATTTAATCTTCTCTCTGAATTTCACAAGCCAGTCCTCCATCTGCACCATTCTCAGCATTATCTTCAAAGCTCCAACAGAAGAGTTCACAGAGATCGCAACACTTTTCTAGCCCTAAGTTCCAAATTGTTCCATAATCCTCCCCAAAACAACATGGTCAGGTCTGTCATAACAATACCCTATAATGCTGGCACCAATTTCTATCTTAGGGTTACTATTACTATGATGAAACACTATGATCAAATGCAACTTGGGGAGGAAAAGGCTTACACATCTGGAGTCATAGTCCACTGAGGAAAGCTAAGGCAGGACTTAAACCTGGTGGGAACCTGGAGGCAAAAGCTGATGCAGAGACCATGGAGGAATGCTGCTTTCTGGTTTGTTCCTCATGGCTTATTCAGCCTGCTGTCTTATAAAACCCAGAACTACCAGCCCATGGTGGTACTAACCCCCCGAGTCCTCCTTCATCAATCACTAATTAAGAAAATGTCTTATATGTCAGATCTTATGGAGGCATTTTCTCAAATGTGGTTGCTTCCTCTAAGATGCTATCAGCATGAGTCAAGATGACATAATACTAACCAGGACACTTACTATCAAGATATTTCCACCACTGTTTTTATCACTGCTTTATTCACTATAACAAAGAATTGGACTCAATCTAGATGTCTGTCAACAGACAAGTGGATAATAGAAATGGATGAACTTAGAATGTATAATATTAAGCAAGATCATATAATCTTCTCAAGAAAAAACTGCATGGTAGCCCTTATATGTGCCAAGTCAATAATATGCACATGTGGGTACAATGTGACTGACATGTGGGAAGGTGAAGAAAGGCTAAGAGCAAGAGGATAAGGAAGAACTTCATATTGGATTTTACACTTTCACTATCAAATATATTTTTATGAACGTATCCACCACCAAACAGACTCTCAGACATGGTACCACAGGCCTTAATCTTAGCACCCATGAGGTTGAGACAGAAGTTGAATTCAAGGCCAACCTGGGCTACAAGACATGTTTCAAAGAAGAAACAACAAAACAACAACAAAGAAGAAGAAATTCAAAAGGAGTATAAAAAGCAATTTGGACCACTCACTTCGCCTAGGAGACATGGACTTTTGTCAGTGGAGTAGGGATGCATACCCATTATACAATTTAACTCAAAACGTTAATAGGGCCAATGTTGAGAAATCCTACAACAAACTGAGTATTCTAATCTTGGGAGGGAAAGAGAAAGAATTTAAAAATAAAAGGTTCAAACCTGTTCACAAAAAGGCTTGAGATTGATCCGGAGGGGGAATGTATAACAGCTAGTATCCTTGTAGCGTTCACATTTCACAAAATCAAAATTAAATCGTAGTAATGAAATAGTAAGAAAAGGAGGCAGCTTACGCAACTTGGCAGACTGTAAAAAGAAAAATTGACAAAGTTACATGAAAGAATACATAATGCCATGTAAGGTAGTAAAAAAATGACATATGACACAATTATAAATATGTCCTTAAACCACAAGAACACATTCTGAATTCAATATAAAACCATTTACTTTATGGAACTAGGAATAGTATTGTGTGGTTATGCTTATAACAAGACATTTCCTAGCCAGTTTTATGCTTTTTGGGTTGTTATCCTAAATTACTATTTGATGGCTGTGTCCTAACTGGGTGCTCCCTCTCTGTCCTTGCTCATTTCTTGTCTAGCCCGTGGCCTTTCACCTTGCTCCTTGGGTCTGCATTTCAATTAGCAAGCACATAGATCGTATTCAGTGAAGAAGCAGAACTCTGAATGATTAAAAAAATGTATGTATATATACAGTTTTTCCTGGAGAAAGAAAGATTCACAGTTGTCATAAGACTATGAAAAAGGACTCTTGACTCCCTAGAGTTCAAGATCTACTGATGGGGCTTTATTTGTTGTTTACCTGTTTCTTTGTTTAAGATTTATTTTTCTTTTGTGTATAGGTATGTTGCCTGTATATGTCTGTGTACTACATACATATATGCACAGTGCACAAGGAGGCCAAAAGACATAGCTGGATACCCTGGGATTGGAGTTTCAAACAGTTATGAGCCACTCTGTGGGTATAGGGAATCTATTCTGGTGTTCTGGAAGAACTTAGCTGTGATCTTAAACACTGAGCCACCTCTTCAGTCCCTACCTGTTGTTTCTTAAGTTCAAAAGCAGGTATCTTGTTGCTGTATTAACTCCTCAATTTAAAACAAAACACTAATTAAGTTGTTTAAGAGTCATCATTTGTCCCCAATACTCTTTGCACTGGTGGCCTTAGGGGAAAAATGCTCCCCTGTAGATAACAATCAATAATTCTATGTGTTTAACATTATTGAAAACATATTTAAAGTTACAAGTTCATATATTCTATGGGTTAAAAAAGTGAAACAAGGCAAGGAATGGTGTACTCTTATAATCCCAGGATTAAAGGGAGGAGGAATGTGAATTTAAAGATAGCCTGTGCTACAGAGTTCCTGGCCAACCTGGGTTACACAGCAAGACTGTCTCAAAGCAACAAAAGAAAGCAAAGCATGCATTACAACACGGATGATTTCCAAACTCACTCCACAGATGCACTCAACTCACTCCATCAGAGACTCGGCTCTGAGAACAAGTGCTGCACTGCTCACAGTGGGACAAGGTGGCCAGCGAGGTGTAGCAAGTGGCACTAAGCCAGAGGAATGGGAAATACATTAGCAACACACACACACACACACACACCACCTCTAGTAATAATTTTATATTAATATTAAAAAATTACTGACACTTAGCAAATCTGCCAACAATGACTTTTGTTGGAAGTTAGCCATGTAAAATACATTAAAAACCAATTTCATACAGAAATCACATACAGCTGTGAAAGGATGTTGAGAAAGAAATATAGTCGGTTGCTAGAGGAGATAAAGGAGAGAAAAGTTTTTCCAAAAATCTGTCTTCTGAAGATAGCACTCACAGGTCAGACTCCTGAAGAATAAGTAGGTAAACTCAGGTAGGAAAGCATAGAACCCTTCCCTAAGCTGGAAAAGCACACTAGTGTGTAGCCAGCTTCCAGTAGTGCTGAGGTGCTTTGTTGTCTTTGAGCAAGGTAGCATCATAAAGGAGCTTAGAGGTGATGTGCGTGTGTGTGTGCGCGTGCGTGCACATGAGTGCATGCGTGCATTCGTGTGTGTGTGTTTGTGTGTGTACAGTGTATGGAAATAACACGGAGCAGTGCACTCACCTAGGTGGTAGCCCTCCCTATTCTCTTATTGCTTCTGCCTCCCTAGAACACAGGGCAACTGTGCTCACACGAGTAACTGTATACAGGGCTGCAATGAAAACACCAGAACCTGACAGACCTGAGTCCTTGCAGCTCACTGAGTTCCCTTCTGCTTCAGCTCAGATGGAATGGAGAAGAAATCAGCCCTCTAATCCTGTCTCCCTTGCCTTGATATTCACAGCGAGGGAGGAAGCTGCTGAGCCCACACTTAGAAAGGTAACCATCCCTGATGGTTGCTAACAGGCATACTGAAGAAATCCTGAGGTTCAAACACACTGTTCCATGAAAAGTCATTGTTAGATTAATAAAGCTTAACTTTTTTCTGTTCTAAAAATTAAAATACAGGTAATGACACAAACATTTTCTCAATCCTTAGTGTTCAAAGTAGTCAAGTGTGTCTTCCCGACTCCACATGGTGGCTTCAACAGGCACAGCTTCCTGTCTCCAAGCACTAAGGGTTGGAAGGCATGGTTACCTTTGCTGCTTTAACCAGCCGGTCACAGGTTCCACAGTGGTACAAGTTGTCATAGTCGAAAATTTCTTCCTCCACATACATGTTCCAGAGTGCATCTTCTAAACCGGATACGTTTTTGACAGCTACTGTCAAATCCAAGAAGTCTTCCTGAAATACCGAAGAATATTATATTAAGATAATAAATGATTGCACGGAGGGTTACAACTGAAATATATACTGGGAATGGTCATATATTTTTTTTCTAAAATTTTACATACAAGAAGATATACATGCTATGATTACATATTGTAATCTTTTCCCCTTCCCTTCTCCCTCTTGCTCCACCCCTCGCTTGCTCTGGCCCCCTCTGGGCCCTGCTCACTCGGGCCCAAAGGTTCTTATTTATTCATCATATGTAAGTACACTGTAGCTGTCTTCAAACATCCAGAAGAGGGCATCAGATCCCATTACAGATGGTTCTGAGCCACTATGTGGTTGCTGGGATTTGAAATCATGACCTCCGGAAGAGCAGTCAGTGCTCTTAACTGCTGAGCCATCTCACCAGCCCCCACACATTGTAAATTTTTATCACTAAATTTTTCTTCTTAAATCAAACTATAATTTGGCTTAAATTACATTAGGAAAACAGTTTAAAAGAGAAAGGTTTATGAGTTTAGATGTAGATGCAATAAAACCTCATGTTTCCTCAGGAAATACACTGAAAAAATATACATACCTGAGTTTAAGTATCACACACAACACACACACACATATACCCTATACACACACCGATTGTTACATTGCTTTAATCTTTAAAATGATAATAGCACTCCCAAGGCAGAGTTGAATTTTCTAATGTAAACATCTTTATTTTCTTTTGGTAAAGTTGGTTTAAGATATGTTGAAAAAAATAACAAGAAAAAATATTTTGATCCAGATTAAACAGGTATTTCTACTGCCAACCCACCAACCTGAGTTCAGTCTCCAAGACTCATGGGCTGGAAGGAGAACACAACAGATTTGATTGTGTAAATTATAATTTACAATAATTTGTTACCAGAGGAACTCCTATCTGCTTACCAGCCTTTCGCTGACGTTCTTACACTCTTTGCAAACAATCTGGTTCACAATGGTGCCATGGTATAGACGATGAATGAGGTCATGGCCAGAGGTCCCAACTAAAGAAGTCTCCAAAGCACTGAAGAGAATTCGGTTGAGTTCTTGCACATCATGTTGTCTCATTTCCTATAAAACAGGAAATAGTTTTTATTTTTGAGACAAGGTCTTTGGGTAGCCAAGGCTGGCCCTAAACTTCCTGCTTGAGTCTGAGTGCTTCCATTATAGGCATGATGCCCAGCTAAAACAGCAGACTTTAAATATAACTTTTACTTCAAAGTTTTTAAGAACAAATTTTAAAGAATACTATCAATTAATAGAAACACATAAGAAAAGCTTTGAAGAGATGCATGGATGACTAAGCAGGTTAAAACATCACCACCTATATTTATTTACACTACAAAATAGAAATACGACTAGGCAGTGTTTAGTGTGTACACACAATTCAACTCACTCAGTGACTATGAGGTACACTCTGTATCATGAGAGAACACCCACCTGCCCATGTCACAAGGAGGAGAGAAGGAAAGAACAGGACAAGTTCAGGTAAAGTAAGCAAACCAGTATGTAAGCCAGCCATATGTACACAGGTAAACCTCACTTAGATCACAACAGCTGGGGACACCAGAAACCAGAATTGACTACTTGGAAGCATAAAGCAACAAAAATAAGAGTAATGTAGTGTTGCTGAGAAGAATTCAAACTGGCTCTTGCTTTAATCCATTCTAAGTCACTGGCCATGTATGAACTAGTCTTTCAAAACAATCTGTACCTCCAAGGCGTGCTCTATCCCAGGGCGGCAGGAAAGGGCAATGAAGGGAGACCCAGGAGCCAAGTCCTCTAGAGACTTAACAGAACAGCCAGTGCTACTGAGCCCATCCCACGGACACTAACAGTGTCGCAGACACTGCAAAGTGTTGACACATTGATGCCACTGTTGCCTTCACCAAGGAAAGCCAAAAGCAAACAGAGAAACAATTTGGAGTGTAGAAAGAAAGGTAGCCGGGGAAACAATATAAAAGGAAGTTTATGCAACATGTGGCAGGTAAAGAGGATGAAAGCTGAGGCCACGGATGAGACTCAGGATCTTTTTTCTTGCCTTTTAAAATACAAAATACCAAGGGATGAAAATCTGTCCTATATTACTGGTTTGAATGGGAGGGGAAACTTCAAGGGCTATTTCTGAACAATTATTTATTTGGCAAAAGAACCTCAAAGACCTTCTACTATCCAGCTTCAGTCCTTTACTCACAGAAAAATAAAAAAAGAATTAAGAAAAGCATTTCAGGCCTTTTAAGAATTATAAAGCCAGCAACTTAGTGGAAGCTCAAGGACAAAGAAAAGCCTCCATTGAGATGTGGCATATCCATGCAGCAGAGGCTCACTGGGTAGTAAGAAGAAATGAACCTTGGCATTGTCTTAAGTGAAACATGTCAGTTAAAAAAGATCATGTAATGTCTAGCTCTACTCCTATGAAATGTACAGGATAGGCAGAGCTCTAAGTGGGAAGTAGGTTACAGACTAACCAAGAGCTGGAGGAGAAGGTAGGTGGGGAGTGACTGCAAATGCATGGGGGTTCTTTTCAGAACAGTGAAAAGAATCTAAAATGGACTGTGGTGATGGCTGGCTAATTCTGTGAAAATACTAAAAGCCACTGAACTGCAGGTTTTGACAAAGTGAAGTTTATGGCATGTAATCCTCATGAAGTGGTTATGATTTAAAGGCAAGGATAAGGGAATATAGCCCTAGCACTAGTCCTATATCTGGAATGCCAGTTAAGGGGATGTGCTGTCATCTGCTACAAAGTCCAGTTCCTGCTTTAATACCACAGGGCAGTAACACTGGATTAAGGCGTGTTCCTGTTAGAAGGCCACAGGTGAGAGCTTTGCAGGGATGGACCACAAAGGATACAGTCATCAGGTGTCGGAACTGATGTACTGAAAAGACCCTTATCTGTTACCACAGATGTTTATTTACACAGGTGGAACACCTTTTAGGAATACGAACTGAACAGTAAGACAGATACAGGGTTCAGGGTGGAAAAATGAAAAGTCAGGGGTCAAGAATGGAAAATGAGAAGATCTAGGAAAGTGCTGATCTGATGGCAGTTTGTTCTCATCAGAGTCAGACAAGAAGCACACCACCAAGGTGGGCAGCCTTCTAAAAATCCACTAGCATATTGCTAAAGACTGAAAACTTGATGAGCAGTTTGACACCTAAACAGTAAATAACATGGATGTTAGCTCAACTAAATGACACAAAATTGTTCAGTACAAATTTCAAAAATCAGCTCCTGTATTTCTTCTTATATTAACAACATTCTTCCCGGTCCCAGGTCATAGCTAGTTGAAACAGCCTATGTTCAGTAATCCTCTAAATACTCACCTGTGAAGACATTCCAATGTGCTGAGGCCCTGAGAAATTAAAGGACATTAGACAAAACGTGAAGCAGGCCGATGTTTCCTTCCCTGCGAGCACCTTCCTACCTCATCATTGGTCCACCCGAAGCTGTCAGTGAGATCTGTGGTGGATGCAGCCTCCTGATCCAAGAGCAGAAGCTGAGCAAACAAGCGCTGCAACTCCAAGGGTATGATCCGAACCTGAGGAAAGAGGTGTGTATGTTCACGAGTGGAGTTCAAAAGCTCTTGACTGGTTTTCTCCTGTCTTCTGGCTCACTGAGCAGAAAGGGCACGAATCTCTCATCATAGAGGAAGAACTAATTAGGATTCGGTCCTCTGAAAATTCTAATCCAAAAGTTTTTAGTGATCTGGAGAGTTTTCTCCCTTGATATAGTTCAGATCAATATTAAAAATCTAAATGGGTCCCAGCAAACCACACAAATGATCAGACATACAATTCCCATACTTCATTTTTTGCTCTAAAATATCTACCTACACACACACACACACACACACACACACACACACACACATCCCAGGTTAATGTATCCAAGTTTCAGGTGCTCAGATCTCAGTCTGGAGCTCTCAAGTTTCAGAAGCTAACCTATACCTGCTTCTCTTTCTTTTAGCTCTAAGCCAGAGAACAGAGCCTCTCACAGCCCAGTGTGCAGGCCAATTCAAATGATTCAGAGGGATAATAAGCATTCAGGAACACCTGTGACAATTCTATATTCCCGTGACATTAAAAGTACATACTACAAAAGCACTGATCTGCAACAGACTAGAGAGAAACTGACATCCACTAATGTCATTTCTTGCCACACAGCTGTTTTTGAAGCATGTGTCTGTATCACAAATCACCAGTATTCCACAGACCTGAGCCTAAGTTTCATGAGAGGCCTCTGAATAAGATTCCATGAGGAAGAGGATGCTTAGAGTTATGCTTTAGAGAATCTCACCACAGCAATATACAACACAATGTCCTATATTTCTCCTCACTGTATTTCCAGAACACTAAATTGAGTAAATACTGGTCTCTAGGGTTTCCCCCATGATGTATTTAATGCATAGCAAGTAAGTGGATTGAATGAATGTTCTGGTCAGCTAGTATAGATTATTTCCAAGTCTCTCCTTTGCCTTGAAAATGAGCACAGCAAGGCAAGGCATATTGATAATAGCAGCAACAGCAGCATGGTAGTTGGAAAAGCTATACTTTTTGTGGAGAAAATTTCATTGCTAATTAAGTATGAGGCAAGTCACTGTTAATGAAGATGATACTTTGTAGTAAATAGATGTTTTCTGTGAAGAAGGCACTTAATTCTTTCCTTAGAAAACATTTCCTGGGCTAGGGAGATGCTGCAGTGGTAATGTGCATGCTACATAGGAATGAGCACTGGAGTTCAAATCCCTAGCACCCACTTAAATGCTGGGTGGGTGTGGTGGCCTGCCTTAACCTCAGCTCTCAGGAGACAGTCAGGATCACAGGGACAATCGGGTTAGGGAGAGAGCTGAAACAGGACGAGAGAGAGATCCTACCTCAATGAATAAGGAGGAGTGTGAAGGAGGATATCAACCCCTGCCTCTGCATGCACATACACACACTTGTATGCTCACATGCATACCATGTACACTCTCCCCCATCCAGCCCGCAAACATGCATATGCACAGGCATGCACATAACACACATACACATGCAAAAAACCCCAGACCATTCCTGAATGTTCTAAGAGACTCAATAAATTATACATTTAGTACCTTTGCATCAGGTTTATCCTTATCCTCTAAAGAACCAAGCTCTTCCGGACCAAGAGAAAATAAAGCTTCTAAACAAAAAAGTAGAGTTAGAGATGTAAATGATATGGCTTCTTCTTAGAAAATTGTTTAAGAAGCCAAGACCCCCATTAGGCAATATCAGCAAAAGATTTAGAAATGTCTAAGGCAACATTTGTCCCCTTTAGCTATACATTTTGAATTCTTTTAAGATTTTTGCCCACCAGATCTAAGAACAGACATCAAGTGACATTTTATTATGACATATCCACAGAACATAAAAACATAAGCAGGCAGAGCACTGTGGGACATCCTACATTCCTGAGGCAGAGGCAGGAAGATCTTCAGATCAAGGCCAACTTGGTCTCTATAAGAAGACTTTGCCTCAAAAAATCCAAAGACTAAGCATGTAGTTTAAGGATAGAGTCCATACCTAACATGTAACAGGCACTGCGCCAACCTCTCAAACAAAAATCCCTATAAGCATAAAAAAGAAAAAAAAAGATTGGTTGTCACTACCTTTGGCAATGGGACTCAAAAGCTATTAGGAGTCTCAGAAAATAGTAAAATGTCACAGGTGTGTGTGTGTGTGTGTGTGTGTGTGTGTGTGTGTGTGTGTGCGCGCGTGCGCCCGTTCACATGTGAGGCTGTTAACCAACCATTCAAGTCATGGACCAGGCTGGATGTCTTTTACCTTGAGATCCTCCCTTTTTTGGTGTGTAAATGTCTATGCAAGTAATAAGACACAGAAATGACCTTACTTGAAAATGAAGCCATTGGAGTTGCTTGGCAGGAATCTGGCATTGGCCAAGGACAAAGAATTGGGCTTTAGACAAGAATCTGACTTTGGGCCATGACAAGGAAGTAAGTTCAGGCAGGAGTCTATTTTTAGGCTAAAACACAGAAGTAAATTCAGTCTGGAATCCTAGTCTTAGGCTAAAACAAAGAGGTAAGCCTCAGGCATGAATATGACTGTGGGCTAGGACAGGGAAGTAGGCTCAGATACTTTGTCATCCTGATGAGCCCTTAGAACCAGCGTAATGAGGGTGATCTCGCGACTCTGTATATGGCCTTGTTTGTTCCTTGACTGTTTGTTTCTATTGTAATGTTGGTTCCTCAAACCTAGAACTGACCTAAATACTTGCATGTAATTAAAAGGGTTTAAAAGAAAAGTTGAATTAAACGAACCTGCCTTCAGCCTTAGAACTGGCTGGGGTCACGCTGCAATTTTGTCTAACCGGCTCTTTTCTTTTAATCCTCACTCCTGCACTAGAGAACCTGTTGACTGACTGAGGGGGCTTGGTCAAAGTTGTCAGTTCCTGCACTGACCTCCTGTGTCTTTTGAATCTTTCCGTTGAGGTGAGTGATAAATGGAGTGAATATCTCTCTGTACTGAAAAACACTGATGCCCAGTGACTACTAAGAATGTTCTGTTTCCAAGTGCTAGGACTGGGCAAAAATAAACTAAAAGCCTACAGGTTAAGGAACAAAAGCACTCACGGGCTTTCTAGACTAGTGTCCCATTGTTCTCACTGCAATGTACTGGAGATATAATAGAACTCAATTTAGCCTTACTTTAAAACACCACGCCCCACAGAAGACATATACACAGGAAAGTCCCTGGTTTCTTCCTTCTGTACTCTGTTCCTCCTTCCCCTTTTCCAGGTTATACCTCCTCAACAGCAGGATCATGCTGAACTGTGCAGAGTGCACAGTGCACACCAGTGTCAAAATACACACTTGAAGAGACAAGAGAAGCTAATTGCTCTTGCTCTCTCCTCTCCTCTGCTTGCTCTTGCTCCCTTACCTTCTTCCCCCTCTCTCCCATTCCTGGCCCCCCTCTCTCTCCACATGTTCAAAGCTGGCCTCTACTCTTCTACACACATTCTCTCTCTGCCTTTACCTGTCTCTACTCCCTCAACTCTCCCCTGCCCCACATCCCCTAAATAAACTCTCTTCTATACTAAGAGAGAGAGAGAGGCTTATCTACTCCTCTCTCTCTCAAGCTCTCTGCATTCTCCATGATCTGCTTTGGCCCTCACCTTCTCTTTCTCTCTTTCTTTTTTTTTGGGGGGGAGTGGCATTTGAAAAAAAGTCTTCCTAGATAGCCCAGGCCAGTCTTAAACTTTTAATCTTCCTGCCTTAATCTCCTGAGTGTGAGACTACAGGTATGTGCCATATAGCTGGTATTCAGTTTCTCTTTCTTCATTTTGTTTTGAGAGAGGGTTGGTCTTATGTGGTCTTGAACTTGTGACCCTTCTCTTGCTCCACCTTCCAAGTGCTCTCAAGTCTGTCTTAAAGCTATTTTTACTTCAAGTTGCCTTTTGACTTCAACCATATTAAAACCTTGACTTATTTTTGTTGCTGTTGTTGTTATGAAACACTGTATCATTATACAGAATAGATTTTTAAAATGGTAAGTTTCACTATTTTCTTCACAGAACTGCTAACACATGTTTTCCTTTGAGACAATGAACACATTATTGAATCCACCTTTAAGACTCGTTTTATGATTTCTGCATAACTAATTACATATAAAACCCATGGTATATATTATTATTCAAATGCATATCACATAGCATACCTCTGAATTCAGGTGTGAAATGAAGAGTCTGAAGAAGGGAACTGAGGTAACAGGTTCCACCCTGATTTCTGATTCCACTTAAATTGGTGAATTCTCTAGGGGCAGGCAGCTCCAGACCTTTAGTCTTTAATTTCTTCCCTCTTCCATACTGACTACTTGACACACTGGAATAATCCTCTTCAAATAGGTTCCCAAACATTGTGGAGCTAAATGCTATCCTTTAAAGAAAATGATATATGTTACATAAATGTTTTTATTCTTGAAATGAACATCCTACCCCCAATTTTTTCTTATTATTTGAGTGAAGTTGTTTTGTTAAATTGTTCTTCAGAAAATACAGTAGTTTGTGTTTGGAGATAACAAGACCTGACTTGTCTTTCCTACCTACAAGGGGTCCTGATTAACCTGTGTGATCCTGGACAAGCTATTGAACTACCATTTTTGTCTATGTAAAATATGGCTGCGCCTGTTTAGTAGGGTAATTTGACCAAGTCACATGACAAAAGAAAGGTTACTGAGTACAAAGGGCTTGGCCACAAGAACCGATAACTATTCTTGGATTCCACAGCAGTTAGTGAGAAAGAAAGAGGAGGAGGGGGAGGGAGCGGGAAGGGGGAGAGGAAGAGAGAGGGGGAGGGGAGAGGGAGGGGGAGGGAGATGACAGCAGCCTTCATCAACTATGAAATCTCAGCTTCGACCATCCCTTCATATACTGTACCAGATCACAGCGTTTCAGTGACTTAAACCTATCACATTAATCTTCTTGACAGTAGTTTCAGCACTTTGGCCCCAAACTAGAGAGCCTGGAGTAAGTACCTTGAGGAAGAAAAACTACGGTCATTAGAGCTATGGAGTCCAAAGGCCTTCCAACACATACCCAGGAATCCAACCCAAAAACTGGGGACCTGCGGGAATCTGCTCTGTCTCTTGTGTGCTGAAGGAGCATTTGAGGTAAAACTCTGAGGACACTCTCATAAGTGACAAGGACGGCCACAAAGCAGTTCTTTTCCTTTCCAACACAGTCCTCTGAACAAAAGCTCAAGAAATGGAACCCGCGAGTCAGGCCTCGAGCTCGCGGGCTGCACTCCCGTCATGCCACTCCAGAGGCCGTGGCCTTCCCGCCCACCAAGCCGCCCAGCGCCCAGGAGCGCGACCTGGCGCGTGTCCCCGCGGTCCGACCCCTGACGCGCCGCCAGCAGAGGCCCGGCGGCTCACTCCAGGCCGCCAGGGTCCCTACGCTACCCTCGTCCCTCCCTGCGCCCAGTTCCCCAGCCCCACTTACTGCCTATAGCCCAGACCCCCGCCCCGGCCACAGCACAGAGTAAACGAACTCGCTCCGAACGGGCACCGCCATGCCGGCGAAGACTGGTCTCAGGAAAGTGATTTCTTCTCACCAACCCCCACCCCGATCCGGACTACACTTCCCAGAGTGCGTCGCGCCACGCAGAGATTTATGGGTAGTTATGTTGCTGAAGAGCTTGGGAGTCCTGTAGAGAGACTGCTCTTTTCCAGACAGCTTGCATGTTAAAATTTGTAGTTACTGCTGCCTGCAAAAAGCGTTGGAGCCACATTCTGTTAGAGCTTCCACTAATTAAGTGAAGTATGTATTTATGTAGTCTCTGCTCTAGGATATACAAAAGAGCCTTAAAACCGTTTTTCTCCCTCAAAGTATATCTCCAATACAAAACTTGTGAAAATGCTCTACGTTCTGTTACCCTTCTCACATCATCTTCAATCCACCTTAAGTTGTTCTAACCAAGCAAGCAAGTATGCACACATATTCCCTTCAAAATTGTCTATCCTAGTGGAGCTCTTTGGATGTTTTACTCCCCACCCTCCGCACAGACCCCATTTGTAACTCCCTCGTCTCCTCCAACCTCTTTATTCAGGGCGTGAATGAAGGAAACAGGTAAAAACTCATTTTTATTTCAGCCGAGAGTTTGAGAGATGGAGAATAAAGATGGAGGGAGCTGCGGGGGGGTGTGTGGGGGGGGCGGGGAGTCAAAGTAAAACATCAGCCCAAGGGATTCGTATTTGGAACATTTGAGGGAGGCTGGTGTGGCTAAAAAGCTAAGGAAGAGTTTGAAGGAAAGAACTGGAGATGAAGATTGGCCAGGAACAAGGGGGTCTGAGCCACGAAATGGACAGGAGAGTACTCGGCTCTCAGTACTCCAGTCTGAGGAGCACTTTGCTTTTTAGCAACCTCTTCTTCACTTTACTTTTCTGGCTGCATCTCTTTCTGTCGACTTATGGCACTTCATCCTCCTATTTAAAATCGCAGATATACCTTAAACTTTTTTTCCCTGACCAAAAACCAACCACTGTAAGGCAAGATCCACAGACATAGGAGGCTTTCCTTTCTAGGCAGCTATATCCCCTTAGACCCATGTGCCTGTTAGTTAGGTTTTGATTGGTTTTTTGTAGGTTGTTTGTTTTTGTACTTTATTTTGTTTTGTTTGTAAACTGGACACAAGTTAGAGTCATATGGAAAGAGGGAACCAATACTGAGAAAATACCTCTCTAAAATTGGCCTGGAAGCAATTGTGAGGTCATTTTCTTGATTAATGATTAACGTGCGAGGACCCAGCTCACTATGGGTAGTGCCAACCTTGGGAAGGTGGTCCTGGGTTGTATAAAAAAAAAACTGAAAGCAGGGTTTCTCCATGTTCTCTGCTTCAGGGTCTGCGTCTAGTCCCTGTCTTGAGTTTTCGCCCTGACTTCCCTTCATGGTGAGCTGTCTGAAATAAACCCTTTCCTCCCCATGTCGCTTTTAGTGGTGGTGTTTATCACAGCAGTAGAAGGCAAACTAGGACACCCTAGCCAGCTTTCCAGTGCCTGGCTTATTGTAAGGTCTTAATATTAATTGAATAAAGGAATCGACCGTACCAGTAAACGAGTAGAAGGCAGCGGTGCCAAGAGCAATGGAGACTGTGCCGGCCTCGCTTTCAGGTTCTTGTCTCAAAACCGCTTCCGAAGGCCGTCCAATTACGTGGCCGCTAGTCACAGCAACCGCGTCATTCTTGATACCCGTTTTGGATTAGTTATTTTTCTCATCGTTGTCTTAAATACTTAACACCATTTAAGGAAAGTAGTTTCTTTTTTGCTTCGAGTTGGAGGACTAGTCCACCGTGATGGAGAAGACAAGGTGGTGACTGCGACTCTAGGTGGTGGCAGGGATGTGGGACAGCTTGCTCACAGTGTCTGCAATCAGGATGGGGGGGGGGAGGGGGAGAAGGAGGGGAAAGGTAGAGGGAGAGAGAATATGAAGGAAGAGATGTCCACGAGCCTCTTCATTATGTTCTGACTCATAGTCCCCTTCCACCACCTGTCCACATATTCCTTCTCTCTCTGGGGTCAACTTACTGCAAGTGGCCGTACCTCCAAAGCTGTCTTATCTCTTAGATTGGCTTACTTTCTGTGCTTTTTCTCTAATTCTGGGCACCCAAGACCAGTCCCCCACCCCATCACACTTTAGGACAGTCTCTTCTACGTTTGTCTGACCTACTTTATTTTCTGTCTGACCCACTTTATTTTCCTTCCTCTCGCGGCTAAAACTCTGTTGTTTGTCCCAACCTTTCGATTTCTCTCACACAATGAGGCAATATCCACCGATTGAGGTGCATTCATTCCCATAGCCCCTTCTAACTTTTAGATTTTCCCACAAATTACAGAAACCTATTGTCCTACAAAAGTCATGGTAACCATTCTCACATCTTCTAGGGTCTTTGATCAATATCCAAGTATTTTTTGACATTCTACAAAAATTCTTTTAAAATTCTTGGGATCCTTGTTTGGATTTTGATGGACTTTTATATTTTATTTAATTTTCTTTGCTTGGGAAACCCTTCACCTGTTTCTTTCAAAGTGCACTGTCTGTAGCTAGCCAACTTACCCTTCCTGCACTGTTTGACTTCCAGCTAGGTTCCGTTGTTTAGAACAGCTTCTGTTGGCAGGGGTTCTGAATGGGTTATTCTTGATGGACACATTGAGATTCCATCAATGTGCCCATTAATGTGTTCCCACAGTCTTGCCTACCATTAATCTCTACTGTGGGTAATCAAGCATTTAAAAACAGCGCTAGTGTCTGATCAGCTGGATTAGTGAGTTGAAAAAAAAAAAGGGACTCTCAAGCCCACTGTCCTAGACATATCCACAGAAAGTAATTTAAAATAGATGATAGTCATATACCACTGGATCCCTGGGATAGTCCATGTAGGTGAATTTTCAATTTTAACTTAGCCACAGAGAAAGGATTGTGTCTAGAAAGGGAAGAAGAATCCCGCTGCAAACAGAGCAGGACAAACAGCAGTGCCTATTCATGGTAGAATTGCTTATGACAGACCAGGATCAGGAAGAACAATCCTCCCAGGGCTTGCTTCCTTGGAAGCTGGTTGCCGACTTGTTTCTGAGGAGAGAGTTTTCATTACTCGGAGCACACGTCCCAATAATTGTTTCTGAAAAAACAAAACAAAACCTCCAAAAAGTCAATGTCTCTTCAAACTTCCTCTCACTTTAATCTTTCTGCACTTTCAAAGTCTAAGATCACTGGTTAAAATTCTGTCTCAATACTTACATTGCAGAACACAATTCTCTCTATAACTAAACATATACCGTTCTTTTCAGGAAAACTAAGGGTCTTGGCAGTTGCTATGCATTAATCACTGATCTTCCGAGTTCAGTCATTGGCGGTGGGCATAGTATTTTATCAATATGTAAATATGAAAACACGCCTGTGGGACATTTGTGCTTGCATTTCTCCACTTGTGTTGTAAGAGCACAGGGTCAAATCAACTGGATCCCCCTGGCTGTACATCTCCCATGGCTCCTGCAGACTTTCCAGCCTCCCTTCCTCTCTGGGTGTGTGTCTGCTGCTGGACTCTGGATGATCACTGGAAAACTCAGGACAGTAGCATATTTTCTCTATCACAACATCCATCCGGTAGTTTCTTTGAACTAATATTTTCCCACTGTAGGAGTTTGTTTAACGACAAGAAGTTAGTGGAGTACTTGAAGCAGAGTTCCTTTGATGCTGTGTTTCTGGATCCTTTCGATGTGTGCGGCTTAACTGTTGCCAAGTACTTTTCTCTCCTGTCCGTGGTCTTCAGCAGGGGAATATTTTGCCACTACCTTGAAGAGGGTGCCCAGTGCCTCATTCCCATCTTATGTTCCTAGACTTTTCTCAAGATTCAGACACCATGACTTTCAAGGAGAGAGTGTGGAACCATCTCTCCTACTTTGAAGAACATGCATTTTGCTCCTATTATTTCAAAACTGCTGTAGAAATTGCCTCTGAAATTCTTCAGACCCCAGTGACTATGACAGACCTCTTCAGCCCAGTGTTCATTTGGATGTTTTACACTGACTTTGTACTAGACTTCCCCAGACCTATGATGCGCAGCATGGTCTACATTGGCGGGATCAACTGCCTCCAGGGAAAGCCATTTTCCAAGGTATGTTATTTCTCCTTTAGCACATGAAGTGTGTCCTGGCTTTGGACAATAAAATTTCCTTACAAATCTGTGATTTGTTGTTATGTTAGTTACATCTTAGATTTCTTCCTGGATTAGAGAATTATTTTGTGCCGGTTCATTAATAGAGCAAAAATGTATGTATCACTTCATTGTTGACATGTTTGTGTATATTCATGGTATAATTAGATAGAACTTGGAAGCATAATCCAGATTTGTGTGTGTGTGTGTGTGCATGTGATAAAAGTTGAAAGGCGAAGAAGAGGCCTTTTGTGAGGCAGGAAGGGGAAAGAGAGAATACTGGGATATATAATACATGAAAGTGTGAAAGGAACTTATTGAACTAAAGGAGGAGATCAGTAAAAGAGACCAGAGGAAGGGTGTAAGGCCTGACTGGGCAGGTTTTCGCCTCTGAGCTCTCATCATGATTAAGGGGAACCAAGATATCCTCGATGTAGTTGCCAAAGCTCTGACAATCCAGAGCTACCTGAATCTCTTGCTTGGGACACTCTCTGACTGTGTTCTAACCATCCAACCTGTTTTCTGTCTCTCAAACCACCACCCTTGACTCTTCTTTGGGGTTTTCATGGCTATTGCCTTCTCTGCAATCTTGCTTCTCCCGAATGTGTCTGTGCAGAACATACCTGTTTGAGTATGGTCTCAGTGATATCTTTGGGGAAAGTTCCCATGATCCCTGTAAACAGCTCAAATTAAATTTTATGGTGGTTGGGGACATTTTTCTCCTAGGATGACTCATCACAATGCCAACTGGTAAATTATTTTCAAATCTCTCTGTCTGGTCTGTCATGCCTCCCTGTGCATAAACATCCCCAGGGCAGAAATCAGTGTGTATCTATGTATCTATCCAGCCTGGAATCAGGAGATCTTCTGTTGGACATATAAAAACAGGGCTGGAATTT